TGTCACAGGATTAGACTGTGAGTGCGAAAAAGTGTGATTTTTTTGTAGTTTGATCGCGGGCGAAATCGCGGGTTCTGCTAGTTATAATTAAGTTTCTTAGACAATCTATGTCCTTCTCCCTGAACAAAAACGCTTTAAAGCTGGTTCACCCTCCGGTACATCCATCATGTAGTTATTGATATAACAAATCCATAACCTAACATAAATGCATGTTTTTTTTTAATTTTCTTACCACTAACCATTCTCGGTCTTAAATAATATTAATGACCAATTTCATTAAAATATAAAGACACTAAGAAAACTGAATACTATAATTTATTACCAGTATTACAAGAAGTATGTTATGTAAGTAGAAAATTATAGCAATAACTTATAAGGCAAACACGTGCAAATGTAGTGAGTAAAACATTCACGGCAAAGGCGCTCAAAATCGTAAGCTCGTTCTAAACAAAAAAAGTAAGTACCATTTATCAAAAATCGATTTCATTGATATCGAGTATCTCTTGGCATCTATATAATATATTTTTATATTATTTGTAGACACTTCATCCATCATAGACAGTCACGATTTTTAATAGTGATTTCAATCTTGACCCACCAGAACGTCTCCAGTGTTTACTTTCTGCCCAATGAATCCTTTTTATTGGTATTTTATTTGTTGAACTTGTTATCTAAGAGTAAATATAAAATGTCTATTGTATCTTAAGATAATAAAAATGTGTAAAATGTGTTATTCGAAAATATCAACTTTTATCGATCACAAAATCTTTATTTTTAACAATATATATGTATATATAATATTTGTTACCTTCAATTTGGAATCATTAAAACAGATAATATACATTATAATATTTAAAGAAATACGTAAGAATTGAAAGTGTTTATTTTTTAATATACCTGCATAGGAAATGACGTTAATATTTGGGTACATTCCATGTCATGTAATAAAGTAGTTTGATAGCACACAGCTGATGGTTAAAGGAAGCAATATCTATGTATTGATTAGCTTTCGAGAGACATAAAACGTAACAGAAGTTAGTTCCGCGTAATTCCAAACAAAATAAGTATAGTGATGTACGTAATTCCAGTTAGTTATTCACTATGTTAGGCAATTATTCAGAGAAATTGTAAAATTTCGAAGCACACAGTATTTACTAAGCAGATGGCTTTCGTTAAGCATACAATTCAGTTCACGTAGCATTAAGAAACTTTTACTTTTGGTCATATATTTTCTTTCAAACAAATTATTATTACTCCTTGTTACGAATTGGATTATCTCACCATCTTCGGCATATGTATTGGCTGCCTACATAGCACTTAGTTACGAAGATGTCAATCTTCACCTAAGATATAGGAGATATGTGAGAATTTACTTCTGCTTTTCTGATATACAAAAATTGAGTGCGTTGACCTCCTGGGTTTATTAATTGTGTAACGTGCACTAAAATCACAATAATAGAAATTAACTAACTAGCATTTAACTACACAATACACATAATAATGTATAAATCTGACTAAAATAATATGGTTATTTGTAGAGTTTTAAACCTAGTAATAAATACTTCTTATAAATGAAACTTAGAGACGATTGATTAAATAGTAACAATATTTAATCAAGTCACGCATTTCAAAGAAGAGCTTGAAAATGGCACAAAGTTACATAAATCTGCATCACAAATAAGTATTATTTCATTTGTTGCAAAATCTGAATGCAATCTCACCAAAAAGGAAAATGCAGTTTATTTGGAAACTTGGCACGAGTTCGAGTTATTATTATTCTATTTGAATATACTGTAAACAAAATTATGTGCTTTGAATGCGGTGATCGAAAGTATTGCGAACATACGCAAAGTGTCGAACTGCCTCGTCATGGCCTAGAAAGCTTATCTATAGCTACACACACTAACAAGCAATAATTTGAGAAAATTAGAAATTCGCTGAGGTTCTGTGCCAAAAATTGTAAGCAACATGACCTTTTAATAAATAAGTATAATAAAATTTAGTTTTAGTATGAGCACTTTTAGGCATTTGATATTACATAATAAAAGAGATGTAAAATATAATCAGATTAAAAAAAAACAGGGTAGGTACCATAGTGAAAATTGAAATCACTTTCTATATCGGGTATTTCTAATTTTCGTCTATAAAGCAAATTAGATGTAATTATGCAAGCGTGTAACAATACGTAAAACAACCGCTAAATTTCACACTTTGCTATGAATTTTAATAGGAAATTACACAAAGGCGTTGGTGCAAAATTATTTTCACTAACCTTATTATATATCGACACTGTAAATGAGAGTTAAATATCTTATATCGTTATAATTATAAAAATGCTAAGAATGTTAATAGAGAATTTTCTATAGAAAAGCTAAATACATATATAAAACATATAAAAGGAAATCGACGATAATTTTAACACAATGTTGCATGATTTTTCACAGTTTATTACAACGATGGTCACAAGTTCGATGCTTGAATGAAAAAATATAATTTTAATTCCAGTACATATTTCTAATTTGATGAAAGTAAATCGGGACCTTGGATAGCGGGAAACTGTTCGAAATAACAGATTGTTTCAATCAAAATAAAGGGTAAAGAGTGGACTGAAGTCCACTATTTACATTTCCTAACCTGCAAAAGAATATTCTTTTATAAAAATAGTAGGGTATTGATTATAAGATTAGTAAACGCATAACATTTAGTGTGATTGAATAACAATCGAGCAAGCAATAGGGATCGATCGCCGGGGTAGTAGAGACACGCAAGTGAAAGCGTATATCACACGACAACGAATTAACTAAGCTTTAGAAATAAATGAAGTAGTGTTGAATATATAAGTTTTATTAATATTTTTCTTATAAGAAGTCATATCATACTGAGTACACAAAATAAAAAAAATATTTTCTCTGTTAAATGGCCCTACTAATTATAGATTTTAAACTTTTATAAATGCATAAGTAAAAATAGCAATAGCCTTACATAAAATAACTTTTAAAAGACATATACATATGTATTATATATGATGTAGTAAAATTCTAATACAAAAAATATTAAAAATGATTATATTGTCCTCCTAACGGAGTTTAGTTACGATGGCAATTTTCACTAATACCAACCTACTACGCGGAACATGTATATAGTGCAAGATTGTATGCAGACAGAAGTGCACTCTCTATTCCTCTTAACTCTCATAATCCGATAACTCAAAAGCTCTCTGCTACTGCTCTGAGTGGAGGGGGTTTTAAAATGGCGACTTTTAAACCCACCCGCGCCTCAGGCATCCCATGCTGATTCCGGGATGCTCAGTACAATATTTCGTAAGAGAAAGACTCGAACCCTGGAACTCTCGATTTGTAGCCACAAGACCAACGTGGCAGTAAATAAATTTACAAAAATCTGATATCTAAAATCAGAATTACATACATAATACCGCCTCTACGGTTTTAGCTGTTTATTTACGGAAGTAACGATTAAGAAGCGTGTACGCGGTGGCATTGAAAACAATGCTGATAACGGGAGCGTTCTCAGACTCTTCCCCGACAAATTACATATTACCTAGCTAATTTACAATAATACTTGCTGTCTTCATAATAAGGTTTGTTTTTTAAAAATATATATGTATGTGTATTTGCATGATTTGCCACAAATCTGACCTTGATTCCTACGGTAACTCTCGTATTGTGTAGATATATTCACTTTTTACTTTTCTTAGTAGAAACCTAACTCGTTCATATTCGCGTTTTTTCGCGTGACTGATGTCATCAGAAATATTTACGTGATCCGGACATGGTCCAATTATGTAGCGTGAACCAGAAACACAGAATATAATATTCGATACGGTATTTAATTGATTAACAAAATTATTTATACGTATAGTTCTATAACATCGACTTCTTTAAATAATGTTTTCAAAATGCATGTATAAAGCAAATAAGTTATTTATTTTTTAATATATGTACCTATTACATTTTATTATTATTTATTATTATTATTTTATTTTTTTTAACTTATTTCTCTCTGTGAGCTGTCTTGCCTTTTGATTTTTTTTATTATATATTATAATACATACATATATATATATATATATATATATATATATGTGTTTCTGTGTAAGTATATGTATATGTATTTATTAGTATAAACATATATACTTATGCATATTTGTAGTCTACTTTTTTATATATTGTGATATATTTAACTCTATTATTTACACCCCTTCCCTCTTGCAGTTTGCTATCTCCTACACCTAAAGGTTGCCTGGAAGAGATCGCTGTTTTAGCGATAAGGCCGCCTCTTGTACATTTCTATTGTGTATATTTATTTTCTTTTGTTTTTGGTGTATGTTCTAAATACTCTTTACATGTACATTCTTTTGTAATTTAAAAAAATATTCTTATGTTCGATTCTTATGTATGTCATTCATTCATATCTTTATGCTAATAAAAATGTCTTATGATTTTGTGTACTGAATTATTTTAGTGTACAATAGTTTGTTATTATTATTATTACATTTTTATTTATTTTTCTAATGATAAGTCTAAAAATAAAAATATATTATACTACACAATATTTACACATACAAAATCTCCTTAAATGGTTACCTATTAACTTAATATTGCGTAAATGGTTGATTTATTTCAATTACTTACTACTATTCTTATTTAAATTAAATTATTTTTTCAGATTTTTACGTTTTTGTTTTGTTCAGGAATCAAAGAGCAAAATAAAACTAGAATAGTTTTTACAATTCATATAAATGGCTAAAAAATGCATTAATTAATTTAAAAAATCATTTTCAATTAAAATATTCGAAAGAGTATTCATCATCAAAAATCATCAAACAACAAAAGCAAACATCAATATTTCTAACAGTTAATCAAAACAGTGTCAAAAGTTCACAACAACGAAATTGTGACAATGTCTTTGTCAAGACAATTTGTAAATATCCCAAAAGATTTACTTTAATGATTGCTCTCGCGACAAAACATGTTTTATTTATGCAGTGGATATTAACTGGCCTTGTAACGTTTTCGTGTTCGGTAAAAACGTACCAAGTTAACCGTATTAATGAGTCCTCGTATCTCGTGACTAGCCTCCCAGATTTTGAGCACGCGAAGAAATTCGATAAAAAAGCCAATGGGAACAGGATTGTACCAATTAATAATGATAAGAGATCTTTTACGATTAACGATTATTACGACTCCACACCAAGCACAGTGAATGTTGGTGAAAAGAAAGAAAATTTAAAGGTTACAATTCCAGCATCATTTATAAAGAATGCCCGCGATCAATATTTTCGTAATTACTATCCTACAATGAAAACATCAAATAGTTTATATTCTCCAGAAGTTAATTCATATAGTGAACTAGCTCCATTAAAAAAATGTAAGCCTTTACAATCACGACACAATCTCAATATAGCTAGATATTTAGCATCTAGACTAATTATGGGAGAACAAGATGAGTTGGGACAAGATAACAAGATAATAAGAAATAAACGACGTACAAAATCACAAAGGTTTACCCGACATGCTATATTAAAATAAAGTTGCATAAATCATTTTTTTTTTCTTTTACCACATATCCCTTTGAAAAATTAATTAAGTAAATACTGGAAAGTAAACTACCTAAGTAATTATGTTTAGCACTAATGAAGGTGCCATAGTTCGTTAAATACGACGGCGTAGCAGATTTTATAATGAAATTAAATTTGAAATCAAACTTTAATTATTTAAGCATGGCTAAGATTCTAAAAAAACTCATAAAAAAAGCAGATCAATTTTATTACAATTTTTCTTTCTCTAAATGTCCTGTTCGGATTATTACGAACATTAAAAAAATTGCCAAATCGGTCGAGTGATGCCCTCACCAGTATTTCATTTTTATTTATATACATTTCATATACGTTCATTTCTCTTTTCCTCAAGGCTTTATTTACGTCTGTTATCAGTGCTTCAATTTACTCAAAGATAATGTAAAATGAATTACGTCACTCTGAAGCTGTTATTAGGAACTTTAATTCCATACATTCTTGAGTATATATTTTCCTGTATAACATTCAATTCATTTTATAATTATCGAAAATAGATTTCTTTCTAGAGAAACAATATAAGTAGACATATTTACTAAAGAAATTTTAAATGTGACTATGTTTCTTACTATGTATTGTCTTCACGGAACAATATTACAATACAGTGTATTGATATTTTTTTTTTGCATCAAAATCTTATAAATTGCCATGGACTAGACGCAACTATCCTAAATAAAGAGTCCTCCTGACTGAATTTTGGGACGGAGGTCAATTTCACTAAGGCTAGCATCTGCACAAGAGATGTTAATAATCTCAAAGTAATTCGAGTTATTTTTATTAGTACAGTCACATTAGGGGTGTCACCTCGGCATGAAAGGTAATAAGCTGAAAATTTTTATAAACCTCGGCATTCTACATGATGTGTCAAAAATCTCGTATGATCTCGTGCAGGCATTTTTAAGATATTAAAGGTTAAAGGGTGCAAAAAATATTTTTTACAAATATATCGCTAATACGGGCTAAAGTTTTTGTTTAAATTATTTTTTTATTGATTAACCGTGTTAGAGGTAGAGCGCGGAGAGCCATGTCAGTTATATTGAAATAAAATCCTACAGAGGCGTTAATACTACGTTATATTACAGATCAAATACTATACTAGTAGTTATATTAACTTATTATAATTTTTAATGAAAAAGCTTTATTATCATTTCATAAAAAAATCATGTAAAAAAAGTAATTAGGTGAAATACCTTAAGTACATAATATAGGGATAAATTAGAAATCTTTGAGCGACCGAATAAAGAATACGATGACGACGAAGAAGTAATCTGAGATCCATGTATGACTAACAATAATTAAAGTGAACAAATAAATGAAGATCACAAAAATAAAAAATAAAGTTATATATTCAAAATACTCTTCATTCATGAACGAATTAGTGGCTAATTCGTTCAAAAAAATTCAAAAAAACGAAATTAGATTTCATGCCCAGCTTATTTAATTGGAATCGTCATTGAAAAAAAACATAACATTCAATTACTCAGTTTTATTTATTACAAACATAATTTGTAGTACATTTTCTAATTCGTGGATTAAATAAAGACCTTCCTGGACATTGGTAGGTATACGCGAAAAATTCGCTTTTAACTAGAATGCAATATGTATATTTCTTACACGTAGTGTCTGCTGCATCAGGGAATCTTCCAACTCCCTTTTCAGCACAATTTACAGCGGCAAGGACTTGCCATTTATAATTTATGATGCCAAAAATCTACAAGAGAAAAAATCTCTTTAGCCAATAACATGCGTGACATAGCTACGTTTAAATAAACGTAGAGAATGATAAATAATGATTTTATACGAAAAAATGACAAATTATAAGAATAATTTAAAAAAGAATTCTCAAATGTAATGAAATCAAACATTATTTAGTAACTCTGTTTTCAATTAAATTATTACTACTCACAAAATATATAATAATGAAGTAGATGGTGCGGTTCATTTTGATTCTCCTTGTATGTTCAAGTGCATTACATTTATTTACCATTCAATATGTTATCTTACGCTCAAGTTATGTTAATTTATATAGTATCTATTGAATCCATTGTAATCTGTTGTATAACAAGATTAATTACGAATACAGGTAATACTTAATATATGTATGTATGACGTACGTATGTATTTACACAATATCTACTATTATATAAATCTTAAAAAATAGATTTCTTAAATTAAGTTAAGTTGTGAAGTTTTAGATATCGTAATATTTGAGAACTTAACATTTTTTTCACAATATTTAAAAAAAAGTAAAAAGTTTATCGTTTAATGAATGAAACTTTATTCCTAATAAATAATCATTACAATTAACAGCGTCAACAAAATTTAAAACAAAATATATAAATCAGTCACCAATCCTGTCAAATATTCTTTCAACTAGGGCAAGTATAACTCGTGGTGCACAAATGCGTCGTAGGACTGAATACAGATGTAGTCGGGCAAGTATATCCATAGTCTATATATGTTCCATTTGATGCTAAAACACATAAATAATAGGTCTTACAAGTAGTGTCCGTAGAATTTGCGAATCTTCCAGCTGCTGAACAAGTAAATGGGGTAGCTGTCTCTGTGTCATTGGTTGACGACGTGCAATTATAATCAGTTTCACATAACGTTGTGTTTGGGTTGTAAAAAGTGTCGGTCGGACAAGTTAAACTGCTTTCAGTGAAGGTCCCGTTGACTTCCACGCATTGAATGTAAGTGGTGCAATTGGTGGAACTGGGATCTGCGACGAAGCCATCCTCCGTGCAAACTGTATTATTTACAGTGGTATTAGTGGTATCCGATGTAACGTTGCAGACGTAATTTGTTGTACATAGAGATGTAGTTGGGTTAAAAAGAGATGTGGTGGGGCACACGTAGTTATAGGATGCGAATGTAGAGTCGCTTAACGCGATGCAAAGAGTGTAGTTCTTGCAAGTAGTGTCGTCTGGTTCCGCAAAGCGTCCAGCGGCGGTACAGTTGACTGCAGCTTGTGCTTGCCATATTAGGCAAAGAACCTAAGTGATAAAGGAAGTTAAATAATTACATTAACTTAACTACGAACTAATTTGCACTATTATCTGGCGAGTTAAACAAAAAGAACATAGTAATATTTGTTTGTACTCGATTGAATAAAACAAAAAGTACCTTTGTAATTTGTATTTAAATTAATACCTATCTATACTAATGTTATAATATAAAGAGGTAAAGTTTGTGAGTTTGTGACGTTGCAGAGGGTAATCTCTGGATCTACTGAACCGATGTAGATGAAATTTAGTGAGAAGATAGTTTAAGACCCTGGGAAGGATATAGGATTTTTATGCCGGAAATCATTCTTTAAAGGGGTGAAAATGGAAATGAAAGTTTGTATCGGGAATCAAGCTAGAGACGAACCCGAACGAAGCAAGGGTGAGTCGCTAGTATAATATAAAAAATAAATTAAAGCAGTTAACTCGGTCGCAATTAAATAAACACACAATTTAACAAGAATTGTAAATATGTACCTACATTAAATATGACTTTGAATACACCCAAACTTTGACTCCCATTAACATTATTTATTGTATGTATTTATTATACTCAGATATATATAAAGCCATAAAATTATTTATAATTAATTTAATGAAATTACTCACAAGAAAAAGAACAATACCAAGCTTTCCCTCCATATTTTCGGTCTCAGTAAATCTAGGAAACACGTCTACTTATACCTAATACAGTTTATGTCCATAATAAACGATTAGGATTAACTCAATGGCATCCATAATACTTCAATTACAGCACTTAGTCCGACTATAAGAAATTTTCCTTGATGTCTGTCACTAAGGCCTATACATACGCGTACATATAATAAAATAGTCAAAAAGCGACATTTGTACATAAAATAGCAGCTAAATAAAAGTATGGACATTATAAAAAAAAGTTTAAATAAAAGTTGTAGAGAATAAATGAATCTTTAAAAATGGATAGATGCATTTTATTGATTAAACCAATATTTTATGAGTTATCGGCCGCGATAGAAGAACGGGTTCATTAAATGGGTCATAAATAAAAGTAAACGGTACGTTACGTTTTACAAAAAAAATATTAGAAAACAAAACATGCGAAATTTTATTCTCTACAAAAATAGTTTCAATAACTTTTACCCTAAAGTGCATAGTTTCCGAGATATCGGCCAAAAAAGTTTTTTCAAGATGGCGCTTGAAGCTCCACCGGAATCTGTGAGCACTTTGTGATTTTATACTCAGTAAGTGATCCTAAATATTATAAAATAAAAAAATTGGATTAGAAATTTAGTGCAAAGTTAAATTCTATTTTTACTGTAGTATGTATACCGTAGTGATTTAGTTCAAGCAAGAAGGTTTGATGATCAACATAATCAAAGACATTAAGTCATTACATAGTACATCTTTTATATCATTTAATATGTTATCTTACGCTCAAGTTATGTTAATTTATATAGAATCTATTGAATCCATTGTAATATATTTTGTTATAAGAATAATTTCGTTGAAAATACATATAACACCTAATATATGGGGCATTTCACGTGAAGCGGACAACGAAAATAAAGTGAGGTTGTGAAAATTGTTCATACTCTGGTCAGTTATAGTTCTAGTGGACATGGATGTGAAAATACATATTTTTTTTCATATGATGCTTTATTGCCGAGTTATGAGCTTTTAAAAATTTACGTAGTATGAAATCCGTACTTTTTGAATGCTTATTATTTGTATCAATTTGTTATAATATCTAAAAAATATCGTTTCAGAAAGTTAAAAGGATGCAGTTTTTAATTTTTATATCGAATTACAAATTTGTTTCTTTTTACGTATAGTAAACCGGAAGTGAAAATTTCAAATGGATGTTTGAGTAACTTTGACATATTTTTTTTTATATTTTACCTTTGAATTAATGCTTTAAATATTTTGATTCTTCACAAAAAAAATTATAACGTGATCGCCAATAGTTTAGGACTTAGAGCATATTGAGTAGGTACATACACATCGCACTGCGCGCCACATCCAGAACTTTTTTGGTTGAGTCTGTCGCCTTTAGAACATAGTATACCTACTCTATTTTTTTTGTAAAATGATATTTAATAAATAAAATATAACTGCTAACAAATATCATTACCATTAATTTATTTCTTTTCTTTTTATAGTAAGTATTTGCAATTTTTAAATTTAATTTTTCGTGAAAAAATCTCACTACAATTTTTTAACAAATTTCGACTGTGAAATAAAAGAGTACGTATAAATCGCAACTATATTATATATATAACTAGCATAGCATAGTTCAGATGACCAAAAACCAAATTCTTAGATTTTACGTACCTATTAATATACTCTTACAATGCAGTTTTTGTATTTTTTCTCAGAAATGAGACATTTTCCCGCGGTAAAAAGTATCCTATATGTTGACCCGGATAACCAGATACCATTATACCAAATTTTATCAAAATCCCTCCAGTGGTTTTTCCGTGATGCGGTAACAGACAGACAGACAACAATTCTAAAAACTATAGAATTGGCCTCCGTATCGAAAATAATGTTTATCTCAATAAGATTGTATAGAAAACTTAAAACAAAAACTTTTTAACAAAAAAATAAAAACCGACTTCAAACAAAAGCACTAAAAAGTAAAAAATAACTGATTGGTAGTTTTCACTTACTATACATACCTAATCAAATATTTTCGAAGTCGGTGTGCTTTGCTTTGTATGGGCTGGCACCGATTTCGAAAATATTTGATTAGGTATGTATTTAATAGGTAGGCTTTAATTACTTAGCCAAAGCACACCGACTTCGAAAATATTTGATTAGGTATGTATAGTAAGTGAAAACTACCAATCAGTTATTTTTTACTTTTTAGTGCTTTTGTTTGAAGTCGGTTTTTATTTTTTTGTTAAAAAGTTTTTATTTTTCCCTTTTTAGTGTAGACAGTAGTAGCGAAGTAAGAATTCTAACGTGTTAGGCTTGTCAAATCAAACAAAATAAGCCCAAACTCGAAGTATCTACTATTAGCCGTTGAAGAGTTCCACCTATCCACCTTCTGGCCTTACCATCAGATCAGGTCAACAACACCGAACCACTGTACTATCAACGGAAATAGAAACACTTGCAAATTTAAAGTTAATATGACAATTAGAAGTAGGTTAAATTCATCATTAGCTGCTTTTCCACCCTTAGGGGTGGTATTTTTTTTTGAAATTTAAATGGGACCAATCTGGAAGTATACCCTTTCAAACAACACAAAAATTGTCCAAATCGGTTAATAAATGACGGAGTTCTGAGGTAACAAACATAAAAAAAAAAAAAAAAAAAAAAAACATACAGTCGAATTGAGAACCTCCTCCTTTTTGTAGTCGGTTGAAAAATAGATGCATATTGTAAGTAGTGTCGGGTGGCTCAGCAAAGCGTCCAGGCGCAATGCAGTTGACTACAGCTTGTCAGTGATGAGCATACCCTTTAGAACCAAAAAGATTTTGTGAAACAACGAAACACTTTTTCTGATATAATCGTTATCTTGACAGCAATTAATAAAATTTATATACACAACAGAAAATCATGCTCCCGCCAAAACATCAATCAATATGTCTTCGTCGTCATACTTTTCCTGCCTGCCTGACACCTGCGTAGACAACACCACAGAGGTTGTATGAAGGCGTACTTGATGTCTTCGAATAAACTAGCGGCGCGTAACAATTTTTTAAATCGGTTCACAATTGGTGAAAATATCGATGAACATACACAAAAAAAAATACATACAGACGAACATAGAACCTCCTCCTTTTTGGAAGTCGGTTAATAAAGGCACTAACTACCTCTACTTATTTCAACTAATAGAAAGATCGATAAACGAGTAAGGCTTGTGTATATCATTTGTAAATGTTTTGTACAAAATAGCTGAACTATGACGGTGTTTTGTCAAAAACTCTAGCTAAACCTTTAGACATAAATCAAAATAATATATTATTATAAATTAAAGATCTTAAAAAGGTCTACTTCTCATTTTCTTGTTTACGTTATCTTAGGGTTTATTACGAGTATCTATAGATAGATCTTTTAATCTTTAAGCAAAAATACTTACCGAAAATTTTAATGGTATATAAATTACTAAAAATCATAGACAAACCTCAACATTTATCATTTTAGGACTGCTAACGGAATCATAAATTAATCTTCTTATAACAAACTTAACTACACATAGAGCTGTTCCACGTATCTCTTGTGTGTAAACAAATATATGTACTTATCAAATCTCCACATAGTGAAGTACCTTTATAATAAATTTATTGTTATTGAATTACAGAACGATAATTATATCACAAATTAATGACAAAAGAAAAAATATATATACATATACATACATGCTGGTATATTAGAGTAAAAAAGATATTCTCAACACTTCATTATAAATTAAAAAATGAAAATATTAACAATACTAGCGGCTCACCTTCGCTTCGCTCGGATTCGCTTCTAGAATAACAAAAACAAACCTATCCCAGAGGAACTGTATATTTTTCCGCAATAAAAAGTAGCCAATGTGCAATTCCAGAATATTATAGATTATTTTATAGAGATAGATTATAGAGATAGATCTCTGTGCCAAATTTCCTCCAGATTCATTCTGCTGTTCTGCCGTGACTGAGTAACAAACATCCATCCAAACCTCCAAACATCTTAACTTTCACATTTATAATATTAATAAGACGATTATAAAGGCCGTTTTTCTCAATGTTGGTTAAAATTATTCTGATAATTTTATTTATCGAATCGATATAAAATTGTTATAGTACGTCCCTATTGTTTTCTGAAGGCTTAAAAGGGAAGAAAATTTCTCAGTTTCTGCTTTTATCTCACGAGTGACTGATATGAGAAATGTTAATATAGGACCAGCGAATCAAAGATAAAAACGATACTTAAAAAAATATTAAATAAAATAGCAAGAACAAAATGCATTTATGGACTATTATTTTGTTATTTGTAAGTGATAACCATTTGTCAAGATATACCCCCATCTGCTTTTTATGCTTGAAAATTGTTTGCGCAGTACCTATACATATTTGCATAAACTTTAGCAGATTCTAATGACAGGCCTCTTACTTAAAGTTTTTTTTAGTTATTCTGAGCCACATGTGTATCAAAGCACTATTTAATTAGATTTATCTTTAAAAACTACTATATAATGAAGTAGTTAAAACAACTACCATATGAAGTTTACTAATGCTAAACATATTTATTAACATTCGTCCAGGTACGCATTAATTTCAATTAAAGTAAACGACCAATAACCAACCATCTAAACATTATGATAATGATTTTATAAGATGTCAGAATAAATAAACCTATTTTTTGTAAAGTTCGTTATTTGATAAATCATAAATACATGTATTTAATGTACATAAACCGAGTGACGCGGGTTCAAATCCCGGGTCTCGCACCTCTGATATTTTCATGTGCGAATCATTTCTACCATGATTACCACTTGCCATTCGGTAAAGGAAAAAATAGGGAGGAAAGCTTTATGTCCGAGAGAACCTAGCAAGCTTTCGAAAGGCATGTGAAATCCGCCAACCCGCACTTGGACAGTGTGGTGGCCTGATCCCCCTCGTATTGAAGGGACGCTCGTGCCCAGCAGTGGGACTTTAAAAAAAGGGCTGAAGACACATACAATTACTACAAGTTACAACACGAAATTGATTTTTGAAAAATATTACCTACTTAGATTTTTATTCAACTCTAAATTATTTAGCCTAAATCCTAATGTCCTTAAATGTACATAATACATATACTGGCATTCGTATTTCGAAAATATTCATTAAGATTAATGTTATATAATGTAAGTTTCAGATATGTCAGCATGTAACCAGCCAAGCTACAGTGTGTACAATGCGAGGGAGATTCCCAAACAATACACATTCTGACTGTCGCGGATACACAATGTGCTTAGGTGGTGGCGGTGCTACAGGTTTTACGAACTACAACCTCCTTTGTCCAGACCAATTTATTTATAGCCATTTAGAAAGTCAGTGTACAAATGTTACTAGCTATCAATGCCTGCACGAACATGATTGTACTCAAGATGGCGATTATCCCAATCCTGCAAGTAAAGATTGCAAATCGTACATAGCGTGTGTGAAAGACTTAAATAATATCATATCCGCAAGGCTTATTTCCTGTGCGCCTGATACAATTTTTAGTGATACAGAAAAAGGATGCATAAATGAAACTCTATTCAAATGCAACATAGTAACAGAGAAGCCTATCGTTCTTCAAGTGCCCATCAGTAATTCGTCAGACGGGACGGATATTTTGCCAGGTAACAATGCCTTTGGCAGTACAGGTAGAATATTTACAACTATTGCATCTATGACTCTGGCAATTATTATGTATTAAATATCTAAGTACAAGAGTATATCTCAAAAATTGTTTCTTTTTATATATCCCTATAACCATTGTAATTGTAATAATTCCATAATAATACGAGGGAAATATATACGATATTTATGAATGATACATAATATTACGTTAGCAGCAGCTACGCCGCGTTATATCATACGCGGGTCTACCCCATACGATGATTACTTTTATCACAGATCACATAACTCTATACTAGCTTTTATTAACAGTATTAAATGTAACTCGATTAAAAATCATGGCCACCTTCAGATATATTACTAAGAAATCTATTATTAACTGTAACGCCGGTGTGTCCGCGGTCGTGGATGGGAATGAAGTTCCTTTCTTTCGCAGTCTGCCATTGGCTTATGAATTAGGTCATAAAAATTGTCTCGAGTACTAGGGTAATATTTGTACTTAAATCAACGTACATTGTACACGTTGAAGCTCATCGAAGAGAGAGAAGCTGCACAGAGTGTGCACGAATTTCGTACAATATACATTCCTTAACACTTATGATCGCCTGGTACTCTTTTTTTTATAGTTGCTTAGAGTTTGCCTGGTATGTACTTATAATAACGTCACATTATACATATGTCCATTATATATGTAGGGTCTCGTCATAAGAGTGCATACGATCTACGTACTTATGATGCTCCATTTTTATATATGTTCGCCAGACAACTATTTTAAACCCTTTTACAAGAAGACAGACCGATCCAAGGGGCTAATCACCCCCTAAACTCAATTTTCCTACTCACAGAAGCATTAAAGAATTTACGTGAAGTTAAGTAATTATTTTGGGACCCTTAAAGCGTCTTCAAAGCAATACGGTCGACGAAAAGTGTCTGAGAGTATTGACGACTTATTTTTAACGATATTGTCTAAAATATACGTGAAAATCAGCTTGGAGAATGTATGTGAGGTAAGTAATCTTTTGACGTACCTTGATTACCTGATACCTGGAAATTGACCGTCTAACCAAGTTAGCAGGTAGGCATGCGATCTTAGTACATACTAATACTACCTAACCGTCCACATTTCGTTCGTCAGAAAATACGTGACGTCTGGCGGCCCTGGGATCTTGCTCTAATATCTTAATCTATTAATAGGGAAGAATTTTGTCTATTTCTCCCGCCAGATGTCGCAATCACTATAGCCTTCAGTATATTGCAAAGCTATATAGCGTGGATGGTTTTTTTTTATTTTATTCATAATATAACTAAACAACAAACTACGCAGTGCCAGGATGCAAAGAAAATGGATATTTTTTGTTCCCAAAAGAGAAAAACTGAAGAAATAGCATAAAGCAAGAACATGAACAAAATTGGGGAAAACACAATCTTTATATTTAAGTATGTGTCAACATTATTTTAAAGAAAGTGATTTTAAAAGTCTTAAACCGTTTTTAGATGAATTCGTGACCTACTGAACTGAATGTAAAAAGGCCATACGTGTAGCGCCCTCCTTTCGAAAATTTTCCCCATTCAGTAAAACTAAAGTAAAACTCTATGCCTATGGGAAAATAATTGTCAAATGTCAATGTCACCGTCATGCTGACAGTTAAATTATAGGTTATGTTGCTCTGTTCAGAATTTCACTTACTGATCTAAATAAATATTATTTTAATATACTAGGATAGTTTATATATAAAACTAAGCTTTAAATCTCGGAAGATAAATATAGTGGAAAATTATTTAGTTTCAATGTATTCCAATATAATTATACCAAGGTTTGTTTCATTCATAAAAAACCTCAACAAAAATTTATTATTTCTGTAATTTTATATAATTGAATACTTAACTACAAAAATTATTGAAATTTTCAGACAATGGGCAAGATTAGCACATTTTTATCGATCAGTGTCCTCTGTAGAAGGCCAAAAACTTCCTGAGATAGGTAAATCCAGTGATGGTATTTCTCCACCGCCAAGAATACGAAGAGGTCCGACTGATATTTTACAAGCATTAGCGGCTACAATCGGGAATGATCCTACCGCAGCTCATTACAAGTAAATAATAAAATATTTAGTATTTCCATTGTCAAATATTTTTCTGGAACAATAAAATATCTATTTTTTAATATTATAGGTATCACGATGATCCATTCCTCATTCCTCTATCAAATTATCGAAAACGAGCGTATGCATTATCTGCGGAAGCTGGTCGAAAGGCAGCAGCTTGGATTAGAGATGAACATGCAGATCTATTTACTACAAGAGAATGGGACCCTCCTATGAAAATGAAAACTCCATATTTTAATGCTGATCCACAAATTGAAATATTTGCACCTAAACCCATTTATAACGATGAGAGCAAGGTAAACATAAAAATGTATTTTATTTTCTTTATTTTTATAGTCATTTAGTTTTTGTATTCTATTTTTAACTCATGTCTCTTATTTACAAGTACTGTTGCCTGTGTTTACATCTATGTAGTTTATATATGATATTGCTCTTCTAGAACATGGGAAAATCATACATGGATTTTGTTGTGCTGAATGTAAAGAATGTAAAGAAAATTTCAATAAATAAATAAATAAAAATAATTGAGAGAGATTAGAATACTCAAACAATATCCTTCTGCTTTAGATATTTATTAGTTTAGATTATATTTACAACATGTTAATTTTTGTTACCCCTTATAAGTTCACTATGAGATGGACACAAGTAATTTCAGTCATCCCTTTTTAACATCCCACTGCTGGGCACGGGTTTCCCGTCAATATGAGGGGGATCAGGCCAAGTCCACCATGCTGGCCAAGTGCGGATTGGAGGTCTTTACATGTCTTTCGAAAACTCACTAGGTTTTCGCAAGCATGTAGAGGAGTAATGTTTTCTAGGTTACTGAGGAAGACTTGAAATATACAATAGAAAATGCTTTAATAGAAGATTCAATTAAAGTATTTGAACTACTTGGTGGAGCTGATAATGTAAATAATGATTTAAAAATGTCGTTATTGCAACTGTTGTGTTTTTACAATGAAAAAGAACCAATTGCCATGGAATGGGTTGAAGAGAGATGGTTTGCTGGAGCAACAAAAGAAAGACACTCAGCTACATGGAAGTAAGTAACTTAATATTCTACAATTATACTAAAAAAGCTTTTATTTTTTCAAATATATTGTTTTCAATATCATTCACCTATTCATTTAAAATTATAAGCATATTTAAATAATATTTACATTGTTACAATAAATAATGTCCTTTTACAGGCTTGGAGGTTTAGCTGATAAACTCTTTACAGCAATGGAACCAAAAACACCTGAGGCATATTGCGCTGTTATAAAGGGCATGGCCAAATATTTCCAGGTAATAAAAGCTAGGTCTTATTAACATTTTTGAATTATTTATATTTTATTAAAATGTCAAATATATGTATAATATAAATATTTGCATAAATCTGACAAAGTATTATTTATATAAAATATTACTAACTATTCAATAAAAATAGCAATGAGTTTTAAATATGTTGGATTTTATAATAATGTTTCTACTTCACAACTTTCAGCAAAGGCCCCATCCATTTACTGGTCTCCCAAAAATAATATAATTAAATTTTAAAAATATTCTGTTACAATACAATAATGTCTAAATCTCTTAAAGCTTTATAAATATCTCAAATATTTTCATATAAAAGTTATTTTATTTTTAACATATTTGGGAAACATATGGTGCATACTTAGAAATAAATAATTATATATAAAACACAAACCAGTAAAGTTTCCACTCAAAATAAAATCTAAATCTATTTGTATTTCAGGCAGAAAGAGCTCATGTATTAGCACAAGAAGCGAAGGAAAATGGTGTACCTCTATCGACAAGTGTGTACAATGCGTTAATAGGATGTGTAGGGTTTTTGAAGGAAGGTGCTTCGCTGCGCATTGAAGCTTTGAAGGGTTTGTTGGTCGAAATGAATGAACAGGTAAGGATTCTTTTGTTTGAAAATACAAGCATTAATATGTGTATACTGAAAAAGTGTTCTGTTTTAATCGACTTCAAACGAAAGGATTTCAGGATCAATTCTACACATATGTATGTAATATTAACGGAAATACAAAATACGCGCATATTATAATCTATTAGGGTTTCCAAGCAAATATACAAAGTTTTATAGGTGTACGTCTGTATGCTTGTATGTGTGTATGTTTGTCCACTCATTTCTCCTATCTAGTTATCGGATCATGATCATTCTTTTTTTATTTGCTTACATTTATTTCAAGTTACGAGTGTTAAAGATTTCATAAAAATCGGTTCAGTAATTTTTATGATATGGACTAATTATTTAAATGTAATTTATAAAATATTGATAAACAACAAAGATTAAGTTACATATGTATGTCATTTTTAATCTATTATACAGCTAAAAACATGAAAAGTCACTATTATTGTATATGAAAGAATATTTTGGTACATCTCCAAGTTAAAGTTTTACGTTATTATTAATGACGATATTATTAAACCCTCCTTACACTTTATAATTTAGTATAGTTTATTGATCTTATTTTATCGACCAATCTCCTTCGTGTCTTCGCCATTCTATGTGACATTGGCGAAGTAATCTGTTCTCAACTGGCACAATTTAAAGCCATTAACAAGAAAATTGAATTGGATCGATATTATTAAATTGTTTCAGGGTTTAACACCTGATACAGGCACTTTAAACATATGCCTGAAGTCATTATCAGTGTGGGGAAGCGGGAAGGCCCTCCAAAGCTTTGCATTACAACTTGTGGCCGAGTTCAAACAACTAGGCATTGAACCAAGCCTTTCTGCTTACTATTACTTATTATGTTTATTCTGCAAAGAACGTAAGTATTTAAAACTTATTTTTTAAGGTTTCATACCCAAAGAATGAAAAAAAACACATATTTTTTAACATATGTATTTGATCATCGAACTTAATATACTATATACATAGAGTAAAAGTCATATTAATAAAAAGCACATGTACGATGGTACGGAACCCTTCGTGTGCGAATTGAACTCGCACTTGACCGTTTTTTTTAATTCATTGTGTATAGATTATAGCTATTGCCTAATATGAGAATTGAAACTGTTACCTTGAATTTAGTTAAGATATTCATATCATTTAAGACTACTTATGATATTATGAGCACACATAGGAAAGTTTTAGCTTGTTTTTGTTCCAATTCCATTACTAATTGTTTCTGTCGTATATATGTAAGTAAAAATACTGACAAACTTTCTCAATTATAATATTAGTGATTGGGCTAAGTCTTTATTTTATGTACCTTATAAGTTGCATCTTACGTCGACTTATGTAGTAATTATATTATCTATACAGATAAATAAAATTGAAGTGTCTGTTTGTAATATCAAAATAACAGTTTTTTACTAAATGCATATGGAATGTATATACGGCAGTTATGGGAAAAACACATTTTTTAATTTTTCTCAGTCTGTTTGTTACGGCTAAACTCCAAAACGACGGACCGATTTTGAGGGGACTTTCACTGGCAGATAGCTGATATTATAAAGAGTAACTTAGGCTACTTAGAGTATTTTTATTTTAGAAAAAGAATTAGGGCTCCGCTAAAAAAACGTATCTAGGAACGCACCCGAGCGAAGCGAGGATAAGTCACTAGTAGATATTAAAATACATTAAAATACGAAAGCAAAATACATTGGCAGTGCTTATTTAAATTTTACTATACCCCATTCACGGAGGGAACCATGCAAAGTGCTTTCTCTGTCCCACATTAGCATACAAACTGATAAGGACAGAAAACTGTCTAGCTTCGCCCACTAACACTTGCAACAGGTTTGAAATCATAGGGCTTGTTCATGTTGCTAATGATTTAGTGAGGAATTATTAATAATTTGTAATAAAATAAAATAAACATACAATTAAAATCAACATTAAAGTAAACTTAACTGTTATTTTTAAATTGTATACATTATTTATTAATTTCGCTTTCCGACGTATCGCTGTCATTTCCTACATTGATAATAAATCAGGTAACTACCCGAGAGACGTCTGAACGGTACGGAATGCGTAGACAGACTAACTATGAGTTGCATTGTAATCGCGGCCTAAGCGTCTTATCTGCAACTAATCACGTGGAAGCGTACAATCTCGGTGCTTGGTTCATTCGACGAATACAGTATAAGATCTCTCTCTCTCTCTATCTACGTAACTTTGCATGTAAAAGTTGCTTGAAAATAAAGACATCTTTTTCACGTTTTTTACAGAGGGACCTCGGACCGACATCCTGTCTGGTATATTAGATGATTTAGAATCCAGAGAGGCATTAAAAGCCACTGATGCAATGGATACAAACTTCTTTATTACTGCAATGGGAGTGTGCAGCGATCACTTACAAGTATTTTTTTTTTATTTTACTATTTCCTTACTGGACCAGGGTCTCAACCCCAGGACCTACGGATCCGCAGTCATACATGCTAGCCACTAGAGGCAGTTAACAGAATCCTTAGATGAGCTTTGCATTTATAATATTAGGCAAATACAGAAGGGACGATTATTTCTGATTTAATTCATAAATATGCAATATCAAGTTCTACAAAATATTTAAGAACTATAATAACCTTTCTGGATAATCTCTCTTTTAATTGATGAAAACCATATGAAAATCCATACAGTAATGTCTGAGATTAAACACAAAAGATCAATGCAGTTTGAGAAGATTTTATTTTATAAATAGCGACTCACGCTTGCTTTGCTTGGTTTTTTCCCTAGGTACGTTTTGACGGTTAGTATGGAATAGATAGACTATATATACATAGGTATAGAAAAGTCAGTAAGTACTTTAAAAATAAAAAATAAAAAATAAAATATCCCATATGAGATGTTTCATTCCCCATACAAACTTTCACCCCCCTTTTTAGATAAAAACTATCCTATGTCCTTCTCAGGGTCTAAAACTATCTCCATACCAAATTTCATCTAAATCGGTTCAGCGGATTAACCGTGAAAAGGTAACAGACAGACAGACAGAGTTACCTTAGCATTTATAATATTAGTATGGATATATAGTTATAATATAATTATTAGAATTAAAAATACAATTTTTTTCTTAGAACATAAACTTAGCAGAACGAGTCCATGCTTTACTTATGAAGGATGATAACTATAAGTTAGTGGGGGATGCTTACAAAGAGAGTATTTACTACAGACATTATGTTACTATCACCTGCCGGTAAGTTTTATTTTCATGAAATACATGTGCTATATTGAAATATAATAACTATTCTTTATTGCACTTTAAAAAAAATTAATACAGTAATTTAAAATCAGTTGTTATTTACAAAGGTGGACTTATCTCTAGAAGAGATCTCTTCCAGCCAACCTGTGGTAGTGAGAAATAGTGTTACAAAGCGGGCTAAATACGTGCAGTCGTAGTTATATAAATAATATATAGATACTCAAAAATATATAGCTAATTAAATAATATATATAATAACATATAATATACACTACTTACTTATACCATACATACTTATATACATATATACATACACACTACTACTTACATAAATACATATCTATATAATACAATACATAATAATAGTAATTAAGATAATTTTTGATTTAATTGAGTGAGAAGGTGCTGTTTTAATTTTTTTTTGAAAGAATCAATAGAGGGACTAAGTTGGATTTCTTTAGGAAGTTTGTTCCAGAGCAAAGCGCCATACACCGAAAAAGAATGCAAGAGGAACTTTGTGTTGCTCTTGGGTATATCGAGCGTCGCAGTGATGCAAGGCCGCCTGGAACGTGAAGGAGTAGGGAGTATTTGGAAACGAGAACGGAGGTATGAAGGAGAATTAGGGTCATTAAGAATATTGAAAAGGAACGAAAGGATGTGCATATCACGGCGAAGGCGGATTGGGAGCCATTTAAGTTGAGCACGAAAGTTTGATATATGGTCATGCTTACGCAAGCCAAAAATAAAGCGTATAGCGAGATTTTGGAGACGCTCTAATTTGTTGAGTTGCTCCTCAGTCACATCTAAATAACACACATCGGCGTAGTCAAGTATGGGGAGAAGGAGTGATTGAGCTAGCATAATCTTGGTTGTAAAAGGGAGAAAAAATTGGAGACGTTTGAGAGAGTGGAACGTGTGATGCATTCGTTTGCTGACCTCGTTGACATGAGCTACCCAGGTCATGTTACAATCCATTATTAGGCCCAAGTTTTTGACTTTATTACAATAAGGGATTGGAACGCCAGAGAACTGGACTTGAGGTATTGAGTTCCAGTCGATTTTGCACCTCAGTCTGCTGCTGCCAAAAATTATACATTGCGATTTGGTGGGATTCACAAGAAGGCCGAAAGACTCAGCCCACAACTGAACTTCAACAAGGTCCGAGTTTAATGCACCAATAGCCTCATGCAACTCGGTCAGCTCAAAGTGTCGGTATAACTGTAAGTCATCTGCATACAGATGGAAGGGAGAAGAAATGATTTTTGATATGTTATTAATAAAGATAGAAAAGAGTAAAGGGGAAAGTACGCCGCCTTGAGGTACACCAGCAGTAAGATCTAACCAATCCGATGATGTATCGTTAGTTTTCACGCACTGCTGACGTCCGAATAGGTAAGAGTGAAACCAGTCTATAACAGTAGGAGAAATGTTGACCGCGCGGAGAGTTCCAATAAGAATGTCAAGGTCAACTGAGTTGAAAGCACTGCTAAAATCTAGCAGCACCATCGCGGTGAGCTTGGTGTTATCCATTGCGTGACGAATATCCTCTGTAATATTCAGCAGTGCCCCAACCGTGCTGTGGGATGAGCGGAAACCGGACTGAAAAGGGCATAAGAGGTTATTGAGTGACAGATAGGAGTAAAGTTGGTTGTGAGCCAAGGATTCTATGACTTTGGATAGGATAGGAAGGATCGATATAGGACGGTATTGAGTGAGGCACGTAGGATTCGAGGACTTAGGTAGTGGTATAACGAAGGCTTTCTTCCATAATGACGGGAAGACATTACTTGTGAATGAAAAGTTAATAATGTGAGTAATCACAGGTGCAATATCCTCCAGTACCGGAAGCACCATGTCAAGGCTGAGGTCGTCACTACCGATGGCTTTTGTAGAAATAGAGCGGACACACTTCTTTATATCATCTACTGAGACTGTTTCAAAGACGAATGGTGGTATGTCAGGGGGAGCAAGGTTCGATAAGAATGAAAGTGTTTCAGTTTTTGTATGCGAATCTAAAGTGATGGGGGGAGTGGTAAAATGATAGTTTAGAGCATTGAGATCCACAGAACTTTGACAAGTTTCTGGGGCCTTGCCCACACCCAGTGACAATAGGAATCTCCAAACTTGCGCTTGACAAAGATCCTGAATCGTTGTGTGAATATAGCGGCGTTTGGCATCCCTACACATTCTGTTGCAGATGTTACGTAATTTTTTATATGTATCAAGATTTTCGGCAGATGGGTGCCTTTTGTACCTGGATTTAGCCTTATCACGTTTGCCCATAGTTCTTTTGATCACTGGTGATAGCCATGGAGCGGGAGCATGTTTCATCCGCACCGGCCTGATCGGAGCATGCTTGTCGTATAATTTAATCAGCTCAGCAGTTAAAGAGGCAACCATGCTATCAATGTTATTTATTGACATTATTGTTGACCAGTCAATGTTTTTAACATCCTCTCTCAAACGTTCTAGATCCATATGCTTAAAATTGCGCTGAAGTATAACCTTGCCTCTAACCTTTGGAGGACGCACTTTGTAAGCAAGGTAAATTAGGTCATGATGTGAGAAGGGTGCAGTCATTTGACCATGCGAAACAGTGAGAGTAGGTTGAGAGACAGAGATTATATCTATGAGAGATGGCCGACTATTGGGAAAGTAATGAGTGGGAGAATTCAGGGGAAGAATATGCAAATTAACTGAAGTCGTCAGTTCATTTAAAGCTTGTGCCCTGGCGTCATTTTTTAATAAGCACGTATTTAGATCGCCCATGTAAATTATATGATCGTAATTAGGAACAAAGCTCTCAAGGATATCTGCTAATTCCTTAAAATAATTAATTTTGTCGTTAGGACAGTACAAAACCCCAAGTAGAACTTTTTTATGATGAATTACCAGTTCCAGAAAAAGATATTCAAGGGTACCTGTTGAGAGTGAAACAGAGTGGGAAACAACACAAGCAGGAATGCTGCTGCGAAGGTAAATACCCACGCCGCCACCACCCTGACCAGTGCGATCATTACGGAAGAACCGATATCCTGGAATAGAGCAGCTAGTCGACGGGAGTGAAGGTTTAAGCCAGGTTTCAGACACCAGTATACAATCGACTACGCCGCTACTGAAAGATGTGAGAAGATCTGAATAGTGAGCAGGAATGCTCTGCGCGTTAATATGCACTAAGGTAAGGAAATTAGAATTTTTAGGGAAAACCTTTAAAAGTTTGTCTCCAAGTGTTTCTTGATCCGAAAGAGAAGAGTTTAAGCTACTTTCAGCACTTCCAAAGTCTTCCGAAGAAGAACAAGAAAAATATTCATCTTTATTCATAATACTATTATTACTTAAAATATTTATATAATATAAATAGATAGATTACATTCAAATATAAATAAAAGTAAACAAATATATAATTAAGAATACTTGCAATTAAAAAAATAAATGAATAAAAAATACCGAAGAATAACACTCACTATACTCATGCACAAGTTAACTGTAAAAGACATAATTATAGAACTATCAAGAAAAAAAAAATAATTAAAGAATAATTAAAGATGAACAACAAGTGAATAAACAGAGTGAAATGAAAAATTAGAAAAGCACAATACCACGTTAGTCGTTGACATAAAATAATCATTTTGTATCTGTGCGCATATCATTAATGACAGTTGGCATTTGACAATAATTGCATAGAGAAATCAGAAAAGTGACTGACAGTTGACATTGAACTATAGGTTTTTAATAATAGGAAAAAAAAGGTTTTAAAGTTTAAACTATGAAATCTAACGAAAATTATAATATTAAAGTGTAAAACTACCCTGCATACATTTAAATGATTATTTGACACTATACAATATAAGCCGACCATATCAAGAAGTATAAACAGAAATAAATTTGTTAGTTTTTGTCGGTTTTACTATGTTGTATCATTAAGTTTTTGAGTTCAGATAAAGAAGTAACCTTTACTCGGGACTTATCAGGGAGAAGAATGACTATAATACCGTCTGAAGACCAACATTTCTTCATCCCAAAGTGACTACGAGCAGCAACAAATATATCTTGCCGGGTCTTCGTTAAAAATTCCGTCACAGTTGTTTTAGTGCCTTTCAGCATAGTTTTAGCCTTCCATGCAATGGAGCGTGTTTGCATGTTCGTGAACCGCACTAGAATGGGCCTGGCAGATTCCCTCTTCACACCTAACCTGTGACAGGATTCAATTGTATCAGGCTTTAAGTCTGACAGCTTCATTTGGCTGGTTAATACTTTCATGATCTTCTTTGAAGCATCTTCATCCTTATCTTCCTTGATACCATGAAAGAGAAGAATCTTTCTTCTTGATTGAGTCTCCAAGCGATCCAGACTATTTACAACAAGCTCGACTTGAGACTTGAGTAAACCAAGCGACTTCCATATAAAAGTCTTGAAAGTATAAAATTCTGCAGCCAAGGATTTTACAGTTGGATTAGGAGCAATGGAACCAGGTTGTTGGAGGTTTTTCTCAAACTCAACCATTCTCATATTAAACATAGAAGATAGTTCATCCATGCTCTTCACAAGCTGTTCAACTGGAGAGTCCATAATTCAGTGAGGAAAGTTTGTGTGAAAGTGAGTTTACAGTCAACTTAAGCACTGGTAATGTAAACTTTAATACATATGTACTATAAATATTTTAAAATATTAAATACTGTGGAGCTACTAAAATCGCGTCTGTACTCTTTTGTGTCTACCCGCCGAAAAAAAAAAGTATAATTGTATATTTAAAAAACCGTGTGTGTATAAAATACTTATGTACGCACGTAAGAAATTATAGTTCTTTGGCGTAACAGAACAAGAATAGCTAAAGATTTCATCACGTATGTCACAACTCACTGTTTGTAAAAGGAATACAGCTAACTTCATCATGTCGCTTTTTGGCTATCGGTGTGTAAAAATTTTAGTCTCATATTTTGTTCCAAATGTGGCAAAAGAAGTATAATACTTCAAAAACTAAAAAAATAAGAGATTTATTATATGAAGCAAATGAACAGAAACTTGTAGTTTGGGTTTATTATTTTGGACTACTAGTAAATTCATTAAGGAGTTTCACCATCCTTCACCAGGCCCCATCATCAGATCAACTCGTTGGTATTAAATTACTGTATTGTCATATAAGAATACAAAAACTCAAGATACACAATTATCATCACAAAAGTCTTCTTTCTTCTTCTTTGTCCTCGCCTTATCCCGTTACGCGGGGTCAGCTTTCCTTATCATGCGACGCCACGTAGATCGTGTGTTCGCGTCCTCATCGGTGAGGCCGAGGCATTTCATATCCCTCTGGACATTCGTCATCCAAGTACCTTGGAGTCGTCCCCTGCCCTTCCTTCTTGAAGCCATGAAAAGGCATTTTTTCACGTTGGGCCTACGCATTACGTGTCCATACCATCTGAGCCTCGATTCTGATATTTTATCGTTTATGGGTGCAACTTTAAATCTCCCTCTTATATATTCTCAAAAAAAAGTGCACAATTCAAAATTATGCGTCTTTCTCAAATCTGTTTTGTTTATTGCTTTTCGGGTGACAAAATTAAAACGCACGTTGTTTCGTAACTTTGGGTGTGCGTAAGTTCTAATTTGTGTTTAGACAATTAGAATTTTCAATTCTTGAACAGATAGATAGTTTTGAGATTCAAATTTTGTTTTCTAAAAATATTGCTATTATTTTTAGATACGCGCCGTTCGAAAGAACATTAGAGTTACTGGATATGTTGGTACCCAACATTTATGTACCTGAACCATCTGTCATGGAAGAGGTGAGTCAAACTAAAAGCCAAAATTATATTTGTGACACTAATATATACTGCAAAAACTTGTGAATAAATGTAAGAGTGAGTTGAGTTAGTTTTCTTTTTATGTTAAAGACGTAGCTATTCGGGTAAAATCCAGATTTGTATACCTTACGAGTATATTCTGGATTTACCCTTAAGCGAGTTTTATTGACGAAGAAATATATCACGCTGGCCAAGTGCGGGTTGGCGGACTTCACATGTCTTTTGGAAACTTGCTAGGTTCTCTCAGACATGCAGGTTTCCTCACTATGTTTTCCTTCACGTTAAGACAGGTGGTAATCATGTTGGAAATCATTCGCACATATATATAACTGTGTAACAGATAATAAAGACGCTAGAAGTGGGCGGCGCGGGCGAGCGCCTGGCGCTGGCGTGGTCGCAGCTGGTGGTGTTCGGGCTCGCCAAGCGCACGCGCCTGCTGGAGCAGCTGCTCGCCGCGCTGTGCTCCTGCTACCCCGGCCAAGGTGAGCTGCCTGCCTTTACGTACTATATAGCAGTGGCGAAGGGTCCGTACAAGACGCCTCCTTACCTTAAAATGTATTTTACTATAATTTTACATACATTTAATTTTTTAAATGTATAAATGTTCTTTTGGAAATATACATATATACGTTTATAAAAATTGTATGTCAATGTTTTTTTGCTTTTTTTTTTGGAACGACTTACCTCTGCTAAAATTTCACCCTTCGCCACTCCTATTATTTGACGACACCTTTGGCTCAGTTTGTAGTGACCCTACTTGCTATGCCAGAGGTCGCGGGTTCGATTCCCACAGTTCGTACTCCAGTCATGAGTGTTTATATTTATAATATGTATCTATTTAAAGTTATATATGTATAGTGTATCAACTATCTGGTATCCATAACGCAAGCTTCGTAGCTTACCATGAAACTAGATGGTGCTATATGTAATATGTTAATGTCCCAACATATTTATTATTTATTTATTTATTTTTACCACTACCAATTTTTCGTGAATTTATTAATAATATTATTTTTCTACACAATTGTGGCTTAAACCTTTTATTTAATATTTTATATGTGTTATCACTTTAGACGATGAAGTGAAAGAGAAAATCCGTAACGTCGCAGCCGACATGTTGAAGTTTGGTCAACTCACAGAAGAACGCGAAGAAACAGAAGGCCGCAGATCTCCTACACAGAAGTAAGTATCAATTGTTTTTAATTTTATTAACTTGTGTTATTATTGTATAATTGTACATATCATGTCCATTTTTTAGACATATTATTTATAATCAGGACCGCGAAATCCGTTAGATTTTTAAACCGGTTTTGGTCATAGATCTCAAACCGAAAAAAGTTATAAAACTAAAGTTGCGCTTGTAAGAATAATGTCGTGACGTCACACGACCTGAACGACCGAAGTTTAAATTAATTTCTCAATAATTTATTGATAGATTTCCAAAAAATTTTTTACTGATTTACTAGTTTTGAGCTATATTATAATTCTGTTGCGTTAAATGATATTATCAACATCAGGAAACTTCTCTATTCTTTTATTGATGGCTTCAAAATTGTGTCATTGAGCAGATTACTTTGCCAATTTCACGTAAATTGGAAAAGACACGAAGAGATTGGTTAGTATTAGGGATTCGATGAATATGCGTTCAACCGAATACGAATATTCGGTCTAAAATGTACCGAACCGAACATTCGGCCAATATATTTGGTTCATTTTTACGTAGTAGGCGTGTTTATACATGTCGGCATTTCTTTTTTTTTTTTAATCTTTATTTTAAAAGGGGTTTGGTCACAAAGTGATCATGCCACCCCTATAGGAACAACTAAACATAAGGAATACAATTTCCAATAATCAACCTTATAAATAACATAAATTAAGTATTTCTATGTCTTAATTCGGCATTTCTGATATCAGTGATGCAGTAAATTTGCAAAAAAGTTTTTTTTTTTTTTCGTTGCAAAACAAATGGTGGTTTAAGTATATTAAATTGAATTTTGTTGATGTTTTTAAATAATTATGTCTTTTTTAATTTGTCAATAAATGATGGTTACGCAAGGTAGTGCGTATTTCATAGTATTCACATACTATGTATTTCTTAGTGTAAGGCCCTCTATAATTTTTAAAATTATTATAAATTTTACCGTATTACTATTAAAATAATCGGTAATTATTCGGCATTTTATCCGAATATTCGGATGAATACAAATATTAAAAAAAGCAACATACCGAATACGAATATTCAGCCGAACATTGGCGCATCTTTAGTCGGTATTATTAGTATACTTGGTGTGTATGACACAGGTTGTCGGCGTCGGCCCTCGCCAACATAATCGAGCTGTGCTCGGACAGCTCGGACAAGGCGGCGCCGGCGTGGGCCGCGGTGCAGGAGGCGCTGGCGCGGCTGCGCGGCGCGCGCGCGCCCGGCGTGCCCGCGCGCCCCGCCGCGCTGGCCGCCGCCGCGCGCCGCGCCGCCGCCGCCGGCCTGCCGGGGCTCGCCGCGGTTAGATACACACACACACACACAGACACAGAGAGACAACACACACTTATATTTATATACTAGCGACTCACCCTCACTCCGCTCGCGTCCCTATTTACGTTTTAACGTTTATAGATTTCTCAGAGATGAGATATTTTCCCGCAGTAAAAAGTATCCTCTATGTTGATCCAGATAACCAGCTATCATCACGTGGTTTTTCTATGATGCGATAACAGACAGACAAACAAAAACTCTAAAAACTATAGATTCGACCTCTGTATCGATAATAATAAATACCTATTTCAATAAGATCTTCCAAAAACATATTTAGTGTACAGATTCGGCTCAGTTACAATTTTATTATATGTATAGATTTATAATATTTAGATAGCACTAAAATACTATAAAATTTTAATCAAATATTTTTTTTTATTTCTAAAAATCAAATATTTGGCACCTTTATATTGCAAACACTTATCGTAGTATAAATCAACTATGTAATATATAATTGAGCCCTTACTATAGTATAGGATGTTATTATAAAATATTAATTAAAAAAGCTTTATAATGAGATTAATTGAGTTTAAATCTTTGTAACAAATATTATAGAAAATTATAAGATCCATATCCGTATCCGCGGATCTTACCGCCAATGACCCGTGTTCAGATCCGTATCTGCGAATTTACATTTTTAATCATCCGGCACATCACTATTTTCTATATTGAACGCGATGTGTGATGTGAAAGTGATATATATGTTCTCCTAGTAATTCAATAATAAATCTTGCTAAGTGTAGACCTTATTTTTTTTTATTTTCATTACAAATATAAATACAAGACATACCAATATAAATACCTGCGAATGTTTTTACGGAATTCCATAGAAATTAGCACTTTTATTTTCTTATCAGCGTGGCCTACAATCTCACACTCTTTGTACCGTTCTTGACCCCCTTTTTCTAGTTTATATTTTTGATAACATATATTTGATTTTTGGTAAAATTGTTCATAATGATATTTTGCGATTTTTTTGTGCGTTTGTTTTTTATTTTCTAAGATAATTTGTTTAAAATGTAGCACAGAACACTGTTAACTTTTTTATGTACGTACATAATATATATGTACTCGGTACCTGTCAATGGCAGTGGTAGTTAATCTAAATTTTGATATTAAGATTTGTTTCAGCTTTCAGTGATGTAGAATTATCTTGAATACTTTAACTATCCTTAACTGAAGGCTCGAAGAAGATTATAGTAATTTATACTTATAATAAATGTAACTGATTGCTATCTGTACATGGAAAATATTTGTGGAAAACTACTATTGGAGGTCCTTATTAACGAAATAAAACCCAAAACAATGAAATTTTTTTGATTTTTTTGTCTGTTTGTTTGTGTGTTGGTGCGCGCTAATTTTAGAAACGGCTTAAACGATTTGGGTGCGCTTTTTACTAGTGTAGTGCTGTAATCTTCACTTAACATTTATTATTTGTTTTATTTCAAGTTATGTCAATTTAAAGAATCACCTAGGTATAAACCAAAGCGAAGCTTAGGTGAGTCGCTAGTATAACATATATTTAACAATTAATTTCATATGAAAATTCATATCTCCTTGAGACATATAATACTATTTTTCAAATATTACGAAAACTAATCTCATGTAGTGTTTTTCTTATGACTCTTTCTAAGCTCCCTTTCAATTATCTCGTGATAAATATTGTGTTCTTTTTATTTAAACGCAACTATCTTTATAACGGCTAATTAAAAACAAATTTATTATTTATATACGTATTACTTAAGTTTGGTATGTTTCCAACGGTTTTTCCTATTTTGTTTGTCTTTATATTTTCAAATTTTACATACAGATCGCAGTCACATACTTAGCAGAGAGCGGATTCGAAGAAGCGTTATCGGCTAGTGTAGAGACGTTAGGTGTGATGTTAAACCGGACTAATGAAGAGGTGCAGAACCTTCTAGAAGAAAACAAAACCTCCCTCGCAACATCACTCCATCCTTCGGCTTTGGCTGTGGCTCAAGCGTATCAGATGTACGTATTCATTTATTCATTTGTTTATCCCATTATCTTTACATAGTATTAAATGAAGTCGCTTCCGCTGTCTGTTCGCTTAGATCTTTGAAACTACTCAACGGATTTTAAAGCAGTTTTCAGCAATAGACTGATTTAAGAGGAAGGTTTATATGTATAATACATGCATATTATAGTACAGAAATGCCGATAAATTCAAAGATTTGTATTGTGCGCTTATATTGCCTACCTAGGAACGAACCCCGAGGGAAGCGAGGGTGCTAGTTAATATTATAAATGCGAAAGTTTGGATGGATGGATGTTTGTAACTCAATCACGCCATGACGGCTGAACGGATCTGAATGAAATTTGGCACAGAGATAGATTTATAATCTGGAATAGCGAATAAGTTACTTTTTATTCCAGATGTACGGTTCCCGTGGGATACCCATACTAATCGTAATAAATAGATATTCTGAATTTTGAGACATGATTTTTCGGATAATCTTGCAAGATGTAATAATATTATCTCAGAAATGGATAGTTACACTCTCATTTAACTTTCTATAAAAATATTTTTTATTTCCTCTTTAACATAATCGACTATCCTCTATACCTACATGTCTTATGAGATTTTATTTATATATTAGAAATCTAATCTATATATTTAAAACAAAGTCGGGTTTGTTACAACACTTATAACTCGAGAACGGCTGGACCGATTTTTATGATCTTTGATTTGTTGGATTTGTCTTCAGTCCAAGTAGCAGAATATTAAAACATCGAAAAAATTGACAAAAAAATCTATTCCATACTAAGCATCAAAACGCACCTAGGGACGAACCTGAGCGAAGCGAGGGTGAATCGCTAGTTTAAAATAAGAAAAAGAATACGAAGTACGCGCAAATATTTGTATAAATTTTTGTATGAAATATATATTAAAAACAATTTGAATATATTTTTACAGAGCTAAAACCGGAGCACCATTACAAGATTCTGATTCGTCCACAAGTTCAGAAAGCGGTAGTGAATCCTCAGATGACGACTAGACTTATGTATATATAGTAGCAATAATTTAGTATTACAATAAACGCATTTAGTTACATTTTGCAGTTTCATTTTTAAATTAATTAAAAAAAAAGTTTCATTTTTATTACTTTTTTTAGTCCAATAAAGAATATATATTAATTCTCTACAAATAACTCAATTGATATGAAATTACATTACATTAATATGGGGTTAATACAATCGCACTTTTAAATAGTATATTCTAGAATGAAAAGATATTAGCAGTGTAATACTTTAGACTTACGCGAATATTTCACATCTATACTAATATTATAAAGAGACAGAGTTTGTTTGTTTGAACGCACTAATCTCAGCAACTATTAATGCGAAAAAAAATCTTTTTACATTAGATAGCCCGTTTATTATCATCATCAAGGTATTACCCAAAGGAACGGATCATAAACAACAAATCGGGCAGACTTCCATACATTATTGTAAAACTGATGTTTATATCGAAAGTTTGAACCTGGGCGAAGCCGCCGGTACTCCTAGTTGTAAATAAAACTATCTTTGCGAAAAGACTTGTATCACTTTCTCCTTTAGTATAAAATATTGTTGATCTAATGGTGCTTTTAGGGTTCCATAGGCAAACGGCTAAAACGGAACCCTTATAATTTCGTTATGTCCGTATGTCCGTTTTACCGTCGTCGTCCATCTAGTCTGTCGATATGTCTCAGCCATTTTACTCGTAGAATATTGGAGCTTATTTGCTAAAATTTAGAAGATAGGTGTTTCATATGAACTGCTAGACAATTCTACAGTCAAATCACAAAAAATAGCAGTCGCACTACATACATTTAACTAAGTCGTTAACATTGTGCTCGAAACTTATTTATGGGGTCAATAAAATGAATATTATAGAAAATTAGTAAATTCAACAAATTACAAAATACATTTATTATCTCACGCTACGGAACCCTCGGTGTGTGAATTAGACTCTTAGATGTATGATTTATTTTAACTAAAAATAATTATAACTATTATAAACTTCTGGTTATTGCATACTTTTCATTACATTACAAAGTAGTGTAATGTAAACGTATTACAAAGTAATGTTATGTAAATATATTCTGTCAACAACTTCATTCTAATTTCTAACTTGTCAGTTATTACTCATCATATATTAACTTGTTACTCATCAATCATCATTTTCTGTTAGTACAGTTGTCTTATGTACATTTACGACAAATATTTAGTCTATAATTTAATGATGTAATTCTGTAAAATGAATGCAAATCATAATTTAAATTATGTATGCACATCACTCGTCCATTCTCTTTCTATGAGTTTGAACAAATTCAAATAATATTTAAGCTGAGTTTATTTATACTTCCCTTTTACAGCGAACTAAAAAAACAGAAAAACGTTCTCAATTCGCCTGTACTTCGTCGTATATAGTTATTTAATTCTATATGAAATCTTCGCCGACTTAGTTCTAATAAAATTTATTTCTATACTAGCGGCTCACCCTCGCTTCGCTCGGGTTCGCCTCTAGAGAAGCACAAACAGATCTATCCCACGGGAACCGTTCATTTTTCCGGAATAAAATGTAAACTGTTGTTTGACCGGCAATAGAAGGTATCTTTTTAGATTATGTTCATAAGTTGATGGGTACTATGCCGTATTAGTTACTATAGTTTTTTAACTATCCCACGGGAACTCTTTAATATTCCGGGATGAAAAGTATCTAAGATGTTGCCCGGGGATATAAGGTACCACCATGCAAAATTTTATTTAAATCGGTCCAATAGATTCGGAGATTAGCCCGTACAAACAGACAAACAGACAGAGAAACAAAAAATTTTAAAAAAATATGGATTTGTCCTATTTGTCTTCTTACATCCCCCTGACTCGGTTTTTAGCATTTTTTTTCTATGTACAGACATTCGACCTCTACTGTTTTATTATAGTATAGATTAGGAATGCCAATCTTAACAATGAATAAATTGTGCGTTAAAGTTTACAATCACTTTTTTTGAAATCGGTTTTAGTTAAAAAAAATTGATAAATAGCATTCTATTATTGTTTATGGAATTAAGACATGTAGGTACTCCATCGCATTTTCCCCGCGTTCTCCTTATTAGTACTATTATCAATACATTACATTTACCGATTGTATTGTATAAAGAGATTTTCCTAATAGTCTAGTACTAGGAAGATCTCTAACTATGCGGTATGTGCTGAGATATGTACCTTGCACCCTAAACATAATAATTGTTAATGAAACTTTCTTAGAAACTCTTGCAGCCGAAAATCCTAAGGGCGCACAAAATAATTCACCAAAGTTATAATAAATGCACATTCTATAAACAGACACATAACTGTGAAATTCATAGTAAGCGAGACACGTTCCATTGACACAAAACTATATTTACCGAAGAGGTGCTAAAAATGATTATTGACATTGTCATGCAAAGTTTGAAAGAAAGTAGTGGAGGCCGTTAGTCGCACTCAGATTACGTACAGTTCTTCCTGCAACTGTGACAGTGTTAAGATATCTGAACTGTATAGCCAAAAAATACAGCAAAGTAACTATTGAAAATGTTTAAATATATCTACTTTATAATATTTTTTGTAAGTATATCTTCTTTTATTTAAGCAATAATCGTATGCTTGTAATAAAATCCATTATGTTATGTGAGTATGAAAGTTTGATATATTTTGTTACATAAAGGCTGAACTTTAAAGAAAGAAGTAATAAGTTTAAGTTTTTTTTAAAAAGTTTAATTTTGAAATTTTCAAAAGTATTGATAATTATTGAATATAATTAAAAATAACATAAAAACAACATTATACAAATATTTCCTTAAAAAAATCTTTTCCAGGTAAACGCAATACTTGATAGAAGTGTAAATGCCTTTGTAAAATCAAGAAATTACGACTGCGGTCCCTATGGTTTTGTATGTGATGGGATTTCCAAATTAAAATTATGTGATAGCGAGAAATTGTTTGGCCCAACTTTCCTCTGTCCACCCAACACTGTGTGCAATGAGGAGTCAAATGACATTTGCGAAAATCCTATCAACTATATAGACCCAGTAATAACACGTGCGGTTAGATGTCACAGTAACGAAAGAATCGCGGATCCAAGCGTACCCAATTGTAAAGGATATATTTTGTGCATCCCTAATAAGAATCGCTTTCAAGGTATTAAGTTTAAATGTTCTGGAAAAACTGTTTTCAGTGGCTACACACGCACCTGTACTTCGCCTGAAAAATATAAGTGTCCTTTGAAAAATACAACAAAGAGTAAGCCTCTATATTATGGCGATGTTAATGAAAAAGATGATGATAACGATGGGCAATCTGTTTATTTTGGGGCAACTCAGTCTGGTAATAGGCCCATTGATTGTAAAAACTATAAGTTAACGGTTACCCAAGACACAAGTCCGGCACGTCCTACATACTTCTGTCCTTCAAGACCAGCGAACGGAGAGTCCACGATTCGATGTACAATATTCTCAAACCATTTTTGCATGACATTACAAAGAGACACTGAAGACCAGTTCGTAAAAAGCAATGATGCAGTAATTCGTAGGCCGCGGAAAAAAGATTTGAAACAATGAAATAACTAATAAGTTAATACTAAAGACTGATTTATTATTATAGCAGTACGTTATATTTATAATAAATTAAAATACAAATTTATAAAATGATATTGTTAATTTTATTTGCAATTACATTTTTATCAAAACACTAACTTAAATAATCAGAAGTAAATACATAAAAACTATTTATGCCAAAAATGGCACTTAAATTAATTTTATTTACCCTCGTGACTATCTTCATCTACACATTTTTGTTTGTCTTTATCAAAAACTTCATCAGAATCGCATTTCTTTATCTTACGACGAAACTCCGATTTAGATTTTTTCGTACAAAGGAAATATTTTCTTCTGTCATCTGGAAACTCGAATAATCCCTCTTTTTCGCACGCGAAATTCTTTTTCGATTTTTTACTTTCACTAGACGGCTTTACTTTTGTACTCTTTTCGCTTGTATTTTTAGAATCATCTTCAATAGACGATGGTTTTGAGGTACAATGAATACTGTCAGTATTAAGGCGGTAACCTTCTTGGCATTTTAGTTTTAATCTTACAAAGCCTTTAGAATTTTTTGCGCAAATATAATAAAAGTTATTTGATAATATATCAATGAATCTGCCCTCAGCTAAACATCTAAATTGATTATTTCTAATGCAATGTGATAAATTTTTTGTACATTGCTTATTGATCTCACTGAAAACTGTGTCACCTGGGCATGTTCCAATGATTGGTGTTAGCTTGCCGATACAAATGTAAAATTTATTGCAATCATTTTTATCCGAATATTTGCCGCGGCTACCTTCATTACAAATAAAAGCTGTCGTTAAGGACACATTGATGTGTTCGACAAAATAATCAGATTGGTTTAAAACACTTTTTTCTGTATCTGTTACTATCCATTGTTTATTGTTATTACTAGGCGGCATTTGTATATATTTGTCATCTTCAGATACTTCTTCGTTTATTTTTATATTTTTTACATTGTCAATAATTTGAATTGGTTTAATCTTGGATGGTGTTGTAGTATTTGTTTTAAATATTCGATTGAAATTACTTTTATCGCCATTCATTTCTGAAACAGTTTTGTTATTTAGCAATTTATTATTATTAGAGTCCAATATTTCATAACCGTTCTTGAATTCGAGTTTAGATAAAGGTCTGCTTTCATTAGATAAGTTTTCTAATGTACCTATTCTCTATATTATAATTTGAATTACTTATCATGGATCCACTTGGCATAGTAAAATCAAATCACTTTTGCATAACTTTACAAAGTGATACTGAAGACCATGCAGTAATTCGAAGGCCGTGAATAAGATTTGAAACAATGAAATAACTAATAAGTTCATACCAAAGATTGATTTATTATTATCATATAAAGCATTTAATTTTGAAAACAGTATGTAATATTTTTATTTAATTAAAATGCAAATTTAATAACATGATATTGTTAATTTTCTTTGCAGTTGCATTTTTATGAAAGCACTAGATTAAATAATCAGAAATAAGTACATAGAAACTATTTATGTATAAAATGACAATTAAATTAATTATTTACCATCATGACTATCCTCATCTACACATTTTTGTTTGTCTTTATCAAAAACTTCATCAGAATCGCATTTCTTTATCTTACGACGAAACTCCGATTTTGATTTTTTTGTACAAAGGAAATATTTCCTACTGTCATCTGGAAATTCGAATAATCCCTCTGTTTCGCACGCGAAATTCTTTTTCGATTTTTCACTTTCACTAGACGGCTTTTCTTTTGTACTCTTTTCGCTTGTATTTTTAGAATCATCTTCAATAGACGATGGTTTTGAGGTACAATGAATACTGTCAGTGTTAAGGCGGTAACCTTCTTGGCATTTTAGTTTTAATCTTACAAAGCCTTTAGAATTGTTTGCGCAAATATAATAATAGTTGTTTGATAATACATCAATGAATCTGCCCTCAGCTAAACATTTAAATTGATTATTTCTAACGCAATGTGATAAATTTTTTGTACATTGCTTAGTGATCTCACTGAAAACTGTGTCACCTGAGCATCTTCCAATGATTGGTGTTAGTTTGCCGATACAAATGTAAAATTTATTGCAATCATTTTTATCCGAATATTTGCCGCGGCTACCTACATTACAAGTAAAAGATATCGGTAAGGATACGTTGATGTGTTGAACAAAATAATCAGACTGATTTAAAGCACTTTTTTCTGTATTTGTTACTATCCACTGTTTATTTTTATTACTAGGCGGCATTTGTATATATTTGTCATCTTCAGATACTTCTTCATTTACTTTTATATCTTTTACATGGTCAATAATTTCAATTGGTTTAATCTTGGACGGTGTTGTAGTACTTGTTGTAAATATTCGGTTGAAATTACTTTTATCGCCATTCATTTCTGAAACAGTTTTGTTATTTAGCAATTTATTATTATTAGACTTCAATGTTTCATAACCGTTCTTGAATTCCAGTTTAGATAGAGGTCTGCTTTTAGTAGATAGATTTTCTAATGTATTCTCTATATTATAGTTTGAATTACCTATTACGGATCCACTTAGTACTATAAAATCATTTATATAAGGTGCATCTGGTGCGACTTTAGGAGTTACATGTACTTTTATTTCTGAGCTGGACAGTGTTACTGCTTCAAAAGTCTTTTTAGAATTTATTATGTCTAACGGATTCCTTAAATCATATTTCATATTATCAGAATCAAGATTAGAACTATGAGCTATGGCTAAATTTGGTTTATTTTTTGTAATCTCGCCAGAGTCAGTCTCGATTTCTTTAACAATTATTGGATAAAAAGATGTTGACTCTTCTAGCTTTGATATAAAAGGCGTTTGTGAATTATTACTTATTGTAGAAGTTTGATTAGATCGTAATTTTCCAGTTTTTATAATCTGATTTTCAATATCTTTAGGATATGTCTGATTTTCAGTATCTTTAAGGTATGACTGTATATTAATCCCCTTAACTTTAATAATATTATTTTCTTTTGTGTTTCCTTCACTTTTATTTAAAACAGTAATATCGGACACAGAGATCATATCTTGCATTTGAGTGTTATTATATGTTTGTGGGCTTGTAGCAGAGATTTTGATATTAAAGAGGTCAACTGTAGTCCCAGTATTAAGATTTACGTCAGTATTTTGGGTCACGTTGAATCCAAGTATTGTATGTTCTGCAATGAACTTTGAACTCTCAACTGGAGTATCACTATATATCTGTACATATATGTCATTTTTTTCAGTAATATTTTCGTTTGCCAGAGTAATATTAAACATCTTGTCTTCTTTAACAGTCATATTAACCATTGTGATATCGACCATTATTTCAGCATCAGTTTTATTAAATACCTGTGTATTTACATTAACGCCCTTATTGTTGCTTAAATCTTGCACGATTTTAAAATTTAGCTGGTTATCTCTGGTTTTATTGTACGTTTGCATATTTATATTATCGGTTGCAGTTGCATTGATATTATATATTCTTAATGTAATTTCTTTGGGTTCTGTTGCATTAGCTGTCTGTATACGTTTATTAGTACTGTTAGCAAAGTTCATATTAACTGCCCTATCTTTTGTAAAGTATAGGTTGACTTCAGAATTATTATAATTTTCCAAGTTTGTGGCCGCAATGGAATTGGACAATGTTTTAGTGACATTAGCCTTGGTTTTATCTAAACTAAATTTCATATGTTTGGTTACGGTTGGATCAATATTATAATGGTTCTGCATTGTTTTATCACTATCTTTAGTAAGATTTTTATCCAGCATTATATTGTCTGCTATATTTAGCTGTTTTGTTAGAGTATTGTTATATGTTTTTTTAGTAATATTTTCTTCAATAAAGTTAAGATCGGGAATTGCTGCACCTGCTGTTAACTTCATTTCTTTGACTTCATCGATGTTAGGGTTCAGCATAGCAATTTTTATACTTTGAGTAATGACGTCGGATACTATAGTATTTGCAAAAAAATCGACTTTGTTAATGCTATTATTCGTCTGAATGTTATATTCACTATCTATGGTAATATTTACATCTGCTGAAACATATGCATTTGATTTCAACTGGTTGACTTCAGTATTATTCCTCGTCTGTGTTTTTAAATCATTTGATTGCGTAATAATTTTATCTTTTTCCATTTTTTTCTCTAAAATAGTATCATTTTGTTGCACATTAGTATCAGCTCTTATATTTAAGCTTACATCGTATACCATAGTGGGCAAGGTTTTATCATTAATATTAACAATATCACCATCGTTTGTTACAGCATCATTAGCTATAAAAGTCATCTCTCTAGTATTGTTATAATAATATGCTTCAGTAGTTAGACTATTTACGCTAGCCTCAGTGCTACTACCATTTGCCTTTGTTATATCTGTTTTTAAATTCGCCTCGTTAAGTAAAATATTTTTATGTGCATGCACAGTTATATCATTACCATTAATAAAACTTACTTCCATAGAATCTGCTATTGATTTATCATGTTTGACTTTAAAGCTGTCATATGTCTGAATGATTTTGTCAGTAGTTTGAATTACATTATCTACATCTGCAAAATTAACCTTACTAATATCATCACTTTCATATATCGTTATATTAGCTTGAGACCCATTTATGGCCGACACAGCAGTGTCTATATTTAATTCTTTACCATTTAAATCGACATTATTAGGCGCCTTATATATATTTTCAAAATTCAAGTCAATTAGTTTTTTGTCTGTTATTGGAGAATCCTCATTTAAGTTACTGCTTGTACTATCGTTTACAACAAGTCCTGCTATAGTTGTTACATATTTTTCATCTACTTCATTAGTACTATTAAATATTTGCATGCTTATTTTATTACTACTATTAACATTTACGTTACCAACGTTATTATTATATTCCATTCTATTTACGTCAGTACTTTTAACTGTATTAACTTCCGGTAATTTTTCATCAGATATATGCTCCCTTAAAGTGGTATCAATATTGTTGAATGTTAGAATGTTTTTTTCATTATTGTTATTAATAATTGCATCTACTACCACCATTGTTGTAGTACTATTTTGCGTTTGAAAGCTTTTAGGAGTACTTTCTGTATTTTTTACGTAAAACTCTGCTACTTTATCCCCAAGCTTCACTTCAGTGCTAACTTTTCGCAAGTTTATATCATTATTAATATACATGTACTGTTCCTCTTGGCTACTAACATTGTTATATATCTGCATACTTACATCAGTACCTCCAGAAGTACTAATATCAGATACCGTTACATCTGCAGTGTGCTTCTCCTCTGTGATTATTGTATTTATTTTGTTACTTTTATCAATATTAGTGTTCTCTGCGTCTCTGATCATAGTATTTTTAAATATCCACAAATTAGGATCATTAATTTCACTTGTCCTTACATTGGGTTCAGTAGTACCTGCCGTTAATGTTTTATCTCTAAACTCAAAATTATTAAGTATTTCGATGTTCGATGTAACATTTAAATCAGTGGAACTAGGATACTTTGCAGCAACCAGAATGCTTACTGTGGTAGAAATTTTCTCTGAATCATACATAAGAGTCTCAGTGTTTGTTTTATCCTCCTTACTGGAATTAAAAACTGCTGTAGTCGCTACGTCGCTCACATTTATGATTGGTATATGAATTCCGACGGGTTTATCTATTACAGCTGAATAATTATTTATATTTCCAGCATTTACATCCGTATTTTTAATATCTTTATTATTATCTATATCAAATGTCGTAGTAGCATCATTTGTTCTATTAATTTCGGATAACACGTTAATAGCCGGCAATTTTATATTAACAGGTTCAGTATGAATGGTGTTTTTAATAATAGATGTGGTGGACATCGATTGAAGCGGATTTTCATCATGCAGTGTTGAATAAGAATCTGTAGTATTTGCTTGTAATTCTATAAATATGTGTCCAGCAAATTCTTTAGAATTATTAGGTTTTTGAATCGTAGATACAAGAGAATTTTGCACTAAGTTGAGTTGATTTGAAAATTCTGTAGGTGATATAGTGGTTGGCGTGTGCAGATTGTCGCGAGTGAATTCAGTGGTTTCTATTCTATCTGTCTTTGAAATAGATTCGGTTTGAGTTAAAGTAATGTTTTGATTATATTTTGAAGTATAGTTGTAATAATCAATTGGTTTAGTTTCATTATTCAATGTATTAATTGCAGTTTCTGATTTAGAAACTGTACTCGGTAAAGAAGATACATTATTTGTTTCTTCATAAATAGTATTTTGTAAGGGGTTGCCTTTAAAAGAAATATACTCATTACTGGCAGTAGACATCGATAACTGCGAATCAGATAAACTATAGTTAAATGTTTCAGATACATTTTGCTTAGATATATTTAGTTCTTCTCTACTACGCCCCGTTTCATAATTACTGTTTGACTCTGTTGTCGATTCGTACTTTAATATCGATAAGCTATCAATATACGCATCATTAATATTAGTGACAACTCTTTCTTTAAGAAAATAACCCTGAGTTTCTGTTGTAGTAGCCATGTATTCAGACTGGTCATAAAATATATTTTTAAAAGTAGGCGAATTTTGTACAGAAGATTCATATTTACTCTTAGTTGTATTTTTTTCTGTACTCGCTAAAATATTATTTTTATTAGGATCATCAAATGAATTAGTGACTAATATAGACTCTGGTGTAGTATTTTCTTTCGAAATATCATTTTGTGCGGCTGTGAATAACTTTTCCTGATATTCTATGTTAACATTTCTATCAGCTGTGATACTGATTTCTTTCTGGAGTAGGTTAAAAGGACTAAATTGATCTTCAGATGTTGTTGATAATATATTTATGCTACTAGCAACAGTATTTTGCTCAGTAACTTCATCATATAATTTATTTATAATTTTTTTTGTAGTGGAACTGTTAGGTTCTATTTCAGTCGTAGATACACCAGAAGATATATTTGTAGTTTTGTTGACTGATATATTTTTAGAGCTTGGCACTGAAAAAGATTCATTCTTCGAGGATGTATGATTAAAGTTATCTTCATCGATATGATTTGTTAAAGTGTTACTTAACGGTGTACTTTTATTTTTTATATATACTTCAGTAACATCACTAGACAAGTAAGTATTTAGCGAGGCATCTGTTAGATTATTGTCAGTCGACTGAATTTTTTCAGACGAAAGCAAATTAGAAGTATAATTTATGGGTTTAGTAAAATTCAATTCAGTATTGTCTAATATTACCTTTTCAGTAGTCGTAGACAGTAAGTCTTCATTGTTCAACGATACTTTAGTAACTGTAGTATTAATATTATTATATATAGCACTGTCACTAATAACACTAGTTACATTTTTGTAATCAATAACACTATCAATTGTTAAAGTTGTAGAACTGAATTCCGGTGTAGGCGTTGTACTTATAATAACTTCTGATAATTCAATATCACTAATACTACTATTAAAAGTTGATATGATATCGAAATTTTCCAATGTAGGAGTCTCACTAATTTGGTCGTTCGTTACTTCACTCTGTTGTGTCGGTTTAAGAGTGGTCGTTGGATGATATTCACATTCGAAATAATTGCTATCCTTGCACACTGTACTTTTGGGACACGGAATGAGAAAATCGTCTACTGTAGTTGACACGCCTCCTCCTAAGTCAACACATATCTTGAAATGTGTTGAGTTGACACAGTGAAATGCTTTTCCTTTGCAGTCGATATTTTGTGTAGCGACCAAAGGCAAAGTTATCGCAGTAACTATCTGCAAATAAACAAAAATCTTATCAAATTAAACACTCATAGAAAAATTATAATTGCTCAAGGTTGCCTGGAAGAAATCGCTGCGCATCTTTTCTTTGTGTTTTTTCTTTTTATTTAGGTGTGCAATAAAGAATATTATAATTATTAATATTATATAGACCTATACATATAATAATATTCACATATAATATAACATTTTTATATATTTATATAAAAAAAATTACCAAGAGTCCAATGAAAAAAATATTTTCTTTCTTCTTAAAAGCCATGACCACATTTCAATCCAAATTTAATTAATATTCAGTACATTCGAGCGCACTATCGTGTACGGTGTATGAATCGTTTATCGCGTTGTGTTAAGGAGAATAACAGCAGTATGTTGGTCTCAGATAATACTCGTAATTAATGAAAGACAACTAGTTTACACAGTCAGTCATGAGAATATCTTGATTAAACGGTAAAAGCAAATAGAGCTGACACTGTATTTCCTGTAGGTTTTACATAAATTAGGTATTTCTCATTGCTTTAAAATAAGATCATACCTATATCAGTACCTTCAGTAATGATACACTTCTAGACACACTTGTTGTTCTTCTTCTTCTAATAGTATCTAATTAATAATAGGGAAATTAAAAAGGTATTCTAACGCTGATGTATGTCGTTAGTGCTATTGCCTAGTCTAACATTAGGCAATTCAAGTTTTTATTAATATTGAGGAACATTTAGAGCACCTTACTTGGTTATAGCTATCCTTTATCTATTTTATCTGAAAAGTTTCTGTAAACATTTACGTTCATTACAATATCGTCGTGTAGTATTAAGAAATATACAAATATTTACGACAATGTGGATTTTACCTCAATAACTCAATTACATCAACTTATCTAAATATTTTGTTTAATTGAAATGACATCACTTCATTATATTGAGATGTTCGCATGTTACTTTTGCGCGAATGCCTGGACCGTGTTTCTAACAGCCCCGCGCAATAGACGACCACGACCGTGGTCACGCATGACCACAGTGATCATCTATATGGGGCATTCCACGCCAAATTCAGGTTCCAATATTATTTATTTTAATTTTGGTATTTTTAGTACCCCTCACAAGAGGCTCCCTGGTAAATTTTGAGATTTTTTGATAACTTTACAAAAAAATATATTTAAAGTGTGTTTAATCTAGATTTTTGAAATTTAACCTTTATAAAAGTTTAAGTTCAAAAGTCTCGATTTAAATATTTTTAATATTAATTTTTTAAGTATTTTTATGTAAAGGTAATCCAAAAACAAAATTTTGAAAAAAAAATTAAACTTCGACCATTACTCAGAAAGTTATGGGCAAAACACCAAAAAAAGAGCATCTTTTTTTTGAAAATTCGATATTAATGAACCAGTGATCAAAAAGTCTCAAAATTTACCAGGAAGCCTCTTTTGAAAGATAATAAAAAAATCCAAAATATTAAAAAAATCTAAAAATATTTTTTTTTAAACCGTCCGATTTGGCGTGGAATGCTATAGTAATGCCAGTCATAAAAATATACATTATGTTACTGGTTCCTGCGACCATAATCGTAAGTACGAAGGCGCTGTTACAGAATTAATAATATTTAGAAAACAAGGTATAAGTAACTCTCAATGATAGATATAAAATCCTATTTGCGAATAAATAAACTAGCATAACCGAGAGATAATGAATATGATATACATATGTTTATATCGCTTTGATTTGGTTCGTTTTTTTTTTGAACTATAGCAAAACATTTTTTTTCACTTTTATATGCATATACCGTCAAAATCATAGGTTTAGTTTCTGCATTATACTATATATACATAGCATATTTTATAACCAAATAAATAAAATATGCAAATTATGCACGAAACCACTATTGGCTAAATATGACGTCAGAAGCTATAATCATAATGTCAATATATTCGTATTATGACAGGTTACACAATACTAGTACGTATCAATCAAGAAATTGGAATACCCTTATTTCATTTAATAAAACAAACAGTGACTTTTAACCATTTTTGACTGTGGTAAACTTATAGAATGTAAATAACGCCATCTATGAATGAGCTTCACAAACTCATTACTTAGTAGCTGATTTTACAATCATCTGTAAATTTTCAGAATTTCGATTTATAGTATTTATTAATACCAGAAAATACCTTTTTAAGAACATTTGTTTTCTTTTATTAAATATTACTTATAAATAAACTTCAACACAAGTTGGGTGGTGTATATATTTTAGTTACTTTCTTAGTGCCCTGCGGCCTGCGGGTCGGGGCTACTGCCGTAGGAATGCTCAAATCAATTCCATATAATTTATTCCTGTAAAATCTAAATAGTGCTTGCTATTTATGATATGAGAATGGCACTACCCAAGATTGTAAGTGGTAATAAAAAATAATAGAAAGTGATATCGTACATATATATATACGAGTATATATATATATATATATATATATATATATATATATATATATATATATATATATGTATTTCAGTAACAGAGTACATAATTCTTTTCATTGAGGTGTCTATAACTTTTTTACAGGATCACAGAAAATTAATAAAAACGTAATTGCTAGATAAAAGTAATTGTAGAATGAATAAATGATTTTATGAAAATATAATGTATAAAAATAAATATAACTTTATATAAAAAATTGCAGTAGTCTGAGTTTCATTCCCTCGCTCTTCTCAGATAATTAGGTACATGTCGGACTAAGTAAAGCTATAATACATCTTACTTAACTGGCCGTCACAATAATGTATTGTAATTACCAAGTCCGGGTGAAATCTGGCCAACCTCCTTTTATGCAGGATAAAAATTTGATTGACTTTGAATATATCTGTTTGAGGTTGTGACGAAATGGAAGGTAATTTCACTATTTTATAACAAAATTAAATTAATCAGCTAAATAACGTTATAATATTAAATTAAATTATATTATTCAATATGCATTACACTATACAGTCATGTGGAAAAACTAGTAGTTCTCAAATAAAACAAATTTCTTTTTATACAAAATATAATTAATTATTTTTGCACAGATACAAACTTCAACTAATAAAAGTAATATATAATCATATAATCTTAATTAAGTTATTATTTTACAAAATATCACAACTGTCTTGTCAATAAGTACCTACGTACCTGCGTATAAGAGGCTTAAAAATATTAATTTCAATCACACAAACGGACACGTTTAATGAAACTACAGGTCCTTAGATATTAAAATGATTATCGTAATTTTCTTAATTGAGTTAAGCATGATGAAATAAACTCAAAAGAACCATTTCCTTTTTAAGCTTAACGATCTCACTTTGCTGTGATAAAAGGACACAATAGCAATTACAAACCAAACGAAAGAGGTTATAGCCGTTATAATTCCTAAGAGAAACATAGAGAACTGAACACCCTGTGCTTTCTGTAATGCAAAAGAGAGCCCTACAGAGAATAAAGCGAGTAGAGTTGCTGATAGAGTTTCCACAGTGCTATGGATTTTTGGCCATTTTCGAGGTCCCAAGAAGTCCTGAATAGTTGTTTCCCAACAAGAGCTGACGGCCCCATAGCCAAGACCCGCGATCACACACCCAATAGAAAATGTATTCTGATTTGTTGCTTCTGCTAACACTGTAATAAAGATAATTTAATTAGTAAAACATCAATATTTTGTATGTTACGGTTGATGTCATTAATTATTATTAGTAACAAGTTCGTCTCTTTGTATAAATTTTATCATGACTCATTAAATTTGAAGTTTGAACGTTATTGAGGGGCTTTAGTCAAATTTATAAAGATATTTATATGAGAAAAAAATATATTTTTTTTAAATCAGTCCCGTAGTGTCAGAAATAAGACAAACCGACGCAGACAAATAAACTCTTCAGCTTCAATTTTTTTTTTATAAAGTTTAAATATGTCAAAGCTCAGCTCTTGTTCGCGCAGTATGCTTAAAAAGGGATATAGTGTTCTCGATTACAATTAGGAGTTTTATACAGTTAACGAAAACAGTAACGGTGTTAATACATTTATTGAATTCTGCATAAATAACGGACCGTTAAATCTAAAGTACGCTAGAGATAGACATTTCCCAGCTATCAAAATGAATAAGTATTTATATCCAAATAGAGATTTATTTTCATTAAGCGTCTTTAATAATGTTAATTTATTATTTGTTTGAAAATTGTTATTTTCATATTTGTATATTAACTTCACCTTATAGCTAGACATAAATATACAAGTAAACTTACCAAAACATGCGCAGGTCGATACAATAAGACCACAAAATGCGACGTATTTAAAATTTCTCTTCGGAGTTTGAGCCAACCAAGGTGTGCTTAACAGAAAACACAACCAAGCAAATCCGTGTAAGGACATATAGAAATTTGTTTCCAACATTGGTATTTTAGGTTGCATCTCTAGCCCTATCATTGGTAAATACACGATTCCAACCCCCATTAGACTTAGTCTTGTAAAACTTAGCAATAATGCAGGATAAAACTTCCCACACGAAAGAGACCTCGTTAAAGGTTTGAAAAATGTGTCATTTATATTATTCATCGAGTACACTATTCTCCGCCTTATTCTATAAATTCTGTAAGATGGTATAGACAATTTTCTTTTCATATTAACATAGGCAGATCGACATCTAAAACTGAATGAATTAAAGAGCTTTTCCGTTTGAATGTCAGATATAGGGGCTACTGTTTCGTAAGTAACTTCGAATTCTGAATAGTCTTTAATGTCGTTCATATCATTACTCTGGGAGTCTCTTCTCACTTGGTTTATTATACAACCATCAATCTTATCTCCTAACGTACTTAATCTTTTAATCACAACACTAAGGCGCTTTTTATTTATGTTTGATATACTTTGATCGTCAGTCTCCTCTTCGCTTTCTTCTGGTATCTGTGGAAGGATGTCCACACCAAAAATATTTCTTCTCTTCTCTTCTGGACTAGGAGGTGGTGTTATAGTTTCATTAATATTACCATCGTCGTAATCTATTTCATCAACTCGATGCAAATTGTCGTCAGCGGGACTCTTCCAACATTTCTTACTTAAATTATGCAATTGTAATTCAGTTCCATAAAAGTTATCTAAATTGTCATTTTGGAAAACCATAAAAGTTTGCGATAATTCTTTATATCTAGTAAAATAACTAGATTTATTGGGTTCGTCTACTTTTAATATCAGTATGGCTGGTAACGTCTGTAACATGATTCCCGCTAACAATAGATAGGAAAACTGTAATCCGTAATATTGGATTAGGATATATATAATATGTGGAAAAACAGATTGTCCGACAGCTTGTCCTGTGTAACACAGTCCTCGTATCAATACGAGACGTGAATCATAAGTTTCAAACAAAATGGCATCCACTTGAGCCGATATTAACGATGAACCCAAGCCTGAAAATTAAAAGATTTAAATATAAATATTATGAATATGGATTGCAGATATAAATGCTATAAAAATATAATTAATATTAATTATAAATAATAGTAGTCCTATAATATATTTACTTATAAATAGGAGCGCGTATGTGTCACTAGTCCAAAATAATAGAACGTAAAATATTAGTGCTTATTTCAATTGATCTAAAAAATGAGCAAAATCAATGTTAATAAATTTAATTGAATCAAAGAAATATGATCAAATCCTTTACTTACCACCCAATATTCCATACACGAACGGCTGACATTTATATGGTACAAAAACGCAAATCAGTAAACTAGTGATGATCAGCATTAGTCCTATGGAGGCCATGACTCTGTATCCCATAGAGCCTCCCCACGAGTCCGCAGCATCTCTGAACCAACATTCTATAAACATAATTAATATATTGCAATATTATTACTAAATATTATTTCATTTATGTGGCTTTAAAAGGCTAGTGGTAACGCGCTCGCTTCGAAAACTGAGTAAACCAAGTTTAAATCTCGGGTCTCGATCCTCGGATATACAAGTTTTAGAAAGACATGTGAAGTCCGCCAAACCACACTTGACCAGCATGATGGACTATGGCGTGATATAAGCCTCCGCATTGAAGATTCACTGATAGGCACGAGGGCCGTGCCCATCAGTGTTAAAAAGCACTGAATACAATATTTGATTGATGGTAGTAACGCAATAGTTATGATCGAATGATACATGGATAGTCTAGGGCTAGTCCTTATAGGTGTCTACTCTTTTCTATAGGGAAAATCAGCAAAATGTGAAGAGAAAGGAGCTACTATATTTGTATTAGTTAGGGTAATATTACATCAGTATTTGTAAGTTCAAATAATATTAACATTTATTCTTACGTGTTAAGCCATAAGTCAGGATAAAGATAGATGGAGCAGCAAGACCAAACCACAAAGGCAGTTCAGAGTTCGCTAAGTGAACCCATAGGACACCGTATGATAACACCAGGTTTGGCAGGCAAATCTGAAAGTTAATAAGATAATAATGATGTAGTCAAACTCTAAATCAGTCTTAAATTACACTATTATATTTCATTAAATCATAAAGATTTTATGAAATTGATAAACCGGTTCTTTATTATTACAGTTTCACAAAAAAGACTTAAGATCTAAGAAGGTAAATCTTGCGTGAGATATTTTATGAACGGCCCCTTACTTTATTTATTATACTTATTACAATATGAATAATATTTTTTTCTTTGGAATTCATGTGATTATAATTCGGGTATCAAGTACCTACATCAGAACATTTGCTGTTCCTTAAACATTATTTAAATAATTAATGGATATACATTAACATAGAATAAGTGTGTTCTTTTGGCCTACCATTAACTTTTGCAAAGCATAACTGAATCGATACCCGGTTGGCGTTAGTTGTAATTTGGATCGTAACTAAACTGCATGGTGCAAATTGAATGGATAACATTAACTTTTGAGTTTCATTTTAGATTGTTTGGCTGCGGCTTAAACTATACGTCTCATGAAGCTCATGGAATGTCGAAGCGCTTTATTTTATGTAGTAAACTGAGTCGCAATAAGAGTTGATGATAGACCCTCTGATCTAAATCGGGCAATAAAAATAACGAAATATAATAAATAATAACCTATTAAATTAATGTACTAGCTCACCCAACAGACATTGCTTATTCAAATCTGTACTAATATTACAGAGCTGAAGAGTTTGTCTGTTTGTTTGGTTGAACGCGCTAATCTCATGAATTACTAATCCGATTTGAAAAATTAGATAGCCCGTTAACTGAGAAAGGCTTTAGGCTTTATATCCCGTTCCCGTGGGATATATTTGTTTTTGTCTAGAGACAAACCCGAAGTAAAGCGAGGGTGAGTCGCTAGTTTCAAATATTTTATGCCACTTTTGAATTCATAAAAAAGTCCTTTCAGTCAACTTTTTTAGCAAAATGTACTTTGATTTTTTTCCAAAATTCCTAATTTTCAGGGAATTTTCCCTATTTTTTTTTTTAAAGACCATATTCGTAGATTAGATTAGGCAAATCGATCCAGTCATTCTCAAGTGATGCGCTTTTCAACAAACAGCACTTCATTTTTATTTTCATAGGTATATTTTTTATTATGTTTTTTTTTAAGAACAATAGGTAACATTCTAACATGACAATAAAAGATAAGTACCTATACATTCTCAAATAGATATTCTTGTCACCTGCATCATCGCGTATGTTTGTTGTTTATCTCGACATCTAACCCTAATGACGAAATCACGGCCACGCCAAAGCGATAACATAGGAATGAAGAAAACATATCCACATACATTATTTTATATTAATAACTACATAATACAAGTTTACAATAAAGAAAATTACAGATATACATTATACATAAATAACTATGTTGAGAATAACAAAACATTGCATTTCCTTAAAGAGCATAATAGGTATTTCCCTACAGAAAGTACCTAATAAAAAATATTATAGGTATTATAATTCCAATTGTAATCTGCAGGGCTAGATTTGGGGGAGGACAGCTGGGGCTACAGCTCCGAGGCCCCCACAAAAGACATTTTTTTTAAGGTCCAAATTCTGACTGGTCGACAACTTTTTCCTTTTTATTTTAATTTTATTTTTTCGCACTTTTACCTATAATACCTACTAATAAAAATATGATTGATTATATTGTTCTTATATATTAAAAACAATTTATCTATATTCGTTCACCACAGTTCGCCGCAGTCGGGTAAAAAGAGGTTACACAGTAAAGAGTAAGTACGGGTTATGATTAATTATTTGTAATGCGCTTTTTTGGTTCTGCGGGAGTTTATTTATTTTATAATTTTAAGGTCTGCAATAATATCATCAACGTTTTATAGATAAATAAACGTTTGTTAATTCAAAGTTGAAATAAATTTTCTTCGATCCTTTTCTATTTTTGTGTTTCGTATTTTTGAGTGCATCCACATAACTATATCTACTCCATAGGTTAAGTTAATTAACTAAAGGTAAACAAAGAGCTCATGGGGACTTAACCTTTTATTACAAAAATTTAACACCTATTGTCAATTAGCGACTTACCCTCGCTTCCCTGGGGCCTAGGGTGCGTCCCTGGGTACGCAGATTTTTTTCACAATTTAATGAGTTTAATTTTTTTCGCGGAATTCTCATTTTTTCTAAAATAAAAGTAGCCTACGTCACTCCTTATAACATTAGCAATCTGTCAGTGAAAGTTGCGTCAAAATCAGTCTAACCGTTTCAGAGATTAGGTAGCCGGAACAAACAGACAGACAAAAAAAATAAAAATTTTTTTTTTCTTATTAGTACCATATATTATACGCATTTAGTAAAAATCTGTTATTTTTTACAACTTATATGTTCAAAAGTAATTTAGGTTAAGAATGTTTTAAATAAAACTGAAAATGTCTTACTCGCCTAAAAAGTTGTAAATAAAAAAATATATACAATAATAAAACAATCCTGCCTAAAAAGCAAACTAAAAAAAGAAGAGGACAAGTTGACGAAGAAACAGTATTATGCAGTCGGAGACATACATAAACATAGTATACTATGTACTCGTACCTACATGTTTTAGAATAGCGGCGTGTGTGTACGTCTCCGACTATAAAATAATAATAATATTACGTTCCTTACGAAAAAGTAACCACAAAGCTATGTTCTATTCTCCGAAACGTGTTTTTTTCATACAAAAAAGTTCCTAACAAAAAGAGGTTTCCAGGAAAGTTTTTCGGGAGTTTTGAAAATTGGTGATTTTATAGATTTTGGTGTGCTCTTTCCGAATTTCAATTTTGCCACCTCGTATCTTTGCCGCTCGTCGCTATATTGAAAAATGGCGCCTTATGGCAGTTTTTTGACAATATATGTATTCTTACTAATTTTTCGGTAAAAACATTTATATTTTACTAGCATTGCCCGCGGCTCCGCCCGCGTTCAGATGACCAAAAACTAAATTCTTAGGTGTTACATATTAGTATACTCTTACATTGCAGTTTTTGTATTTTTCCTCAGAAATAAGATATTTTCCCGCGGTAAAAAGTATCCTAGGATCGCGCGCTACATCGCCCGGTTTATATAGCTTGAGCAGGCGGTCGAGCGATGCGGGGCAGAGGGGATGGACTCGCCGTAGGCATCTCAATGCTCGCCAAGCATTAAAAATGTTTCGCTACTAATTACTTCTAACAACGATATCTCAAAAACTATTCATCTGATTGATTTAGTGTAAAGAGCAATTTTAATCTGCATTAAATGACTAAGCTAACTAAAATATTCATTTGGATAAGGATTAATACCGAACTAAAGAAAATAACTTTGAAAATAACGTAATGTTTTTAATTAAAAATGTTAACATAAAAGTGGTTATTGTAAGTCAACCGTAAGAGATAGAGATATGCTATCGCGGACTTTTTTGTAGCATTTTTATAGATTTTGAATTCTCTAGTACATTACTTAACTGTATCTTTGCTAGTTTACGCGGCGTTCGCGTGGAAAGTTCCCATTTGGCGAGATTTTTTGCGACCTCTTCAACATTTGTCGCCGTATTTCAGCTAATTTACATAAAAGCATAATAAATTATATACCTAAACCTTCCTCAAGAATTACTCTTTCTATTGTTGAAACCGTATAAAAATCCGTTCAGTAGTTTTCGAGTTTATCGCGTACAGACAGACAGGAGTACAGAAAGACGCGGCCGGGGGACTTATTTTTATAATAAGTACTAGCATTGCCCGCGGCTCCGCCCGCGTTCAGATGACCAAAAACTAAATTCTTAGGTGTTACATATTAGTATACTCTTACATTGCAGTTTTTGTATTTTTCCTCAGAAATAAGATATTTTCCCGCGGTAAAAAGTATCCTAGGATCGCGCGCTACATCGCCCGGTTTATATAGCTTGAGCAGGCGGTCGAGCGATGCGGGGCAGAGGGGATGGACTCGCCGTAGGCATCTCAATGCTCGCCAAGCATTAAAAATGTTTCGCTACTAATTACTTCTAACAACGATATCTCAAAAACTATTCATCTGATTGATTTAGTGTAAAGAGCAATTTTAATCTGCATTAAATGACTAAGCTAACTAAAATATTCATTTGGATAAGGATTAATACCGAACTAAAGAAAATAACTTTGAAAATAACGTAATGTTTTTAATTAAAAATGTTAACATAAAAGTGGTTATTGTAAGTCAACCGTAAGAGATAGAGATATGCTATCGCGGACTTTTTTGTAGCATTTTTATAGATTTTGAATTCTCTAGTACATTACTTAACTGTATCTTTGCTAGTTTACGCGGCGTTCGCGTGGAAAGTTCCCATTTGGCGAGATTTTTTGCGACCTCTTCAACATTTGTCGCCGTATTTCAGCTAATTTACATAAAAGCATAATAAATTATATACCTAAACCTTCCTCAAGAATTACTCTTTCTATTGTTGAAAACCGTATAAAAATCCGTTCAGTAGTTTTCGAGTTTATCGCGTACAGACAGACAGGAGGACAGAAAGACGCGGCCGGGGGACTTATTTTTATAATAAGTATAGATAGATATACAAAATTAAACTAGAGAAAATTTCCTACAATTTATGTAATAACATTTTTTTTTTGGTAAAATCAATAGTTTTGTCGTATGAGCGCAGCAAAGTGTACTTCAACATGCGTTTTGGCTAAAAAACCTTTTTTCCACATCACTTTGAGGTAGACTAAAGTGGTGCGTTTTTTATCGTAGTATCCTATCCCAGTAGGCCTGATCCACATGCAATGCCCTATTCTCCTTCGCTTCGCAATTTGTGATGGAAAAGGTGTTGCGAATTTATCGCCTTCAGTACCGATCGAAACACACATAGGGATTTATTCCACATCATCTTCCTCTTCACCCTATCTGGTGATGAGCGAGTCGTTCGAGATGAGTAGTCGCTCGGGTTCGTCCCTAGGTTGATTCCCCATACAAACTTTCATCCCCATTTTTACCCCCTTAAGGAATGATTTGCGGGATAAAAAGTATCCTATGTCCTTCCCAGGGTCTCAAACTATCTTTTTACCAAATTTCATCTAAATTGGTTCAGTAGATCCAGAGATAACTTCCTACAACCTCACAAACTTTACCTGTTTATAATATTAGTATAGATTAAAATGTAAAGACAAAATATAGAGACGAGCAAAAAATAACATATGGATGTGGTTTTATAGCTAATTGCACTACCTTAAAAGGTAGTGCAATTAGCTATAAAAACTTAAAAAAATTGTACTCGTATAAAATAAATTGTATTATTGTAACTAACCACTGGTGAATCTAATAAATAAATAAATAAATATGATAACTGTATATTGTAATGATTCCTTCATACGGTATAGCTCTCGAAACTCCCTTTTTTATTTTAATTAGTTCATGTTCTTTTCTCAAATCTACGAAATATACACACAAAATTTTATAAGAATCGGTCAAGCCGATTCGGAGGTGTTTTCTTGTAAGCACTGTGACACGAGAATTTTATATAATTAATATTAGAGATATTATGTTGATTTAGAGTTTCGGATGAGTGACTGAGCACGTCTAAGGAAATTTAATATAACACTATATATGTACGTACATATAACATAATATATGAGTAAATTAAAAATGGCTTTGTAAAATATTTTATATACCCACTGCCAGCATACCGAAGTTCGCAGGTTCGATTATCGCACAAAGTCAAACATTCTCCTTGACTATACTGAATTTTATCAATAATTATTAGAATATTCATTACATAGAATACGAGACTTTGAAAACCGTCACACTTGCCTATTTTATTGTTTCAAGCTCAGTGAACCCGCTACTAAAAGATTTTAGAGCTTTAGATTTAATACTTTCTTAGATTTACGCGAATATTTGACATTTTAAATAAAACTATCTTTTCGGATTTTGTCGCGGATTTATTTGTATTTGTCGTCAAACCCGCCGTGATCTACGCAGTAACGACCGGTACGTAGAACAAACGTCCCTTAATATAAAGACAGTATTGACACCAAGTGATTTTAATGATTGCATTGAAACTTTAAATAAGCGCGAAACATCTAAATTTAACCAATGCAAAAACAAACATATATTAAAATACCAAAAATTAGTCGAGAAATATAACATCAAAAAGAAAACCAAAAACAATAACGGAACGCGCCCGTCTACCACAGTTTCAAATTCGTGCGTACGTCAAACAGTTGTCAATCTGTCAAAACAAACATTGGACGAATCTACTATTCAAGTACTAAGTAAAGGCTTAAATTTTGCTGTTGCGCCGACACGCATCCCTTATGAGAATATTATTTGTGCAGTTGAAGATGCTCTGGCCAAAAATAGTATGAAATCTGAGGATATGGAGGCCATACGTCAAGATGTTTCATCTTTGTTACGTCGTAGCTCAAGGCCCAAACCTAATCTCAACAAACAACAGTATTTAGCGTTGAAGAACTTACGCAGCAGGTCAGACATTATGATACTACGCGCAGACAAGGGAAATGCCACCGTCGTGATGGATACATCAGATTACAATGAGAAAATTAAACAACTTTTGTCGGATGAAAGTACATATAAAAAGGTCAAAACAGACCCAACCACCACTGTGTTAAATAATACTAAAAAGCTTATTAAGAAACACTCCGATGCATTGAATCTTGATGTCAAAAATCTTGTTCCATCTTGTGCAAAGCCGCCTAAACTGTATGGACTTCCAAAGATACACAAATCTAACGCTCCGCTACGTCCAATTGTGAGTCAAATCGACACACCGACTTATAAATTGGCCCAACTAGTAGCGAAAGTACTCTCAACACTCAGAGGACAAACATCAGCGTTTACAAGGGACTCATACCATTTTGTCAATGAGATAAAACACCTACAACTCATGGACAATGAAACTATGGTCAGTTTTGATGTACAGTCTCTATTCACCAACCTACCAGTAGAGGACTGTGTCAAAATAGTATCAAGAAAGCTACGGGATAATAGTATGCAAGAAGAATACACTGAACTTTTGAAACACTGCCTTACATCTGGCTATCTATTGTGGAATGATGAATTCTACAAGCAAGTGGATGGAGTGGCCATGGGTTCGCCGGTCTCTCCCGTTGTAGCTGACATCTTCATGGAGGCCTTCGAGGAGACCGCCCTAAACACATCACCTGTGACCCCTCGTTTCTACAAGCGGTATGTAGATGACACTTTCACAATATTACCATCTGATAAAATATCTGTATTCTTAGAACATCTTAACTCCATAAACCCTAAAATACAATTTACAATGGAATTGGAGTCTAATAATTCTTTAGCTTTCTTAGATGTATTAGTCATACGTAACCCAGATAACACCTTGAGTCATACTGTGTATCGAAAGAAGACCCATACTGATAGGTACTTGAATGGTGAATCTCACCACCCCCCTTCACAGTTAGCTACCGTGGGAAAATCTTTGTTTCAGAGGGCACGCGGGATCTGTGACGAGCAACACCTGGCCGGAGAACTGCAACATGTCAAGCAAGTTCTGCGAGACAACAAGCTGCAAGTGCCGCGCCTACGTCACAGGGACCGAGTGAAACCAGCCACAGTTGAGCGCGTCCCTGCAGTCCTACCTTACATGAGAGGCGTCACTGACAAGATTGGCTACATTCTAAAGCGAGCTTCAATTAAAACTTACTTCAAGCCGCCAAAGAAAATTAGTCAGTTTCTACCACCTGTCAAGTGCCACATCCCTCTACAAGATGCAGGAGTTTACAAGCTTGATTGTGATTGTGGGCTCTCTTACATCGGACAAACAAAGAGATCCATTAGAACCCGGGTCAAAGAACACATAGCTGATGTGAAGCACCGTCGCAATACAACATCTGCTGTCTGCAAACACAGTCAGGACCGCCCAAGCCATTATATTCGCTTCGATAGGCCTCAAATCCTGGCGAAAGAAAACCGATATCGCCCTAGAATGATTCGAGAAGCCATAGAAATTAAAAAACATCCTAATTTCAATAGGGAAGATGGCTGGGTACTACCATCGTCATGGGATCCTGTTATTAATATAATAAAATCTAATAATAAATCTAAACATAACAGACAGGTAGATGTAGTAAGTTCTTACTGTGTAGATCAAAATGATAGCATTTCTGATTAATAATATTTTTTCACTTTTTCATTTGTAAATGTATGTAGTAATGTGTTGCTTAATAATTTGTTTTTTAAATAATAGCAAATTTAAATTAAAATTATTATTTTTAATTAATCTTAACTTTTTCAAATTACACATAGATCAATTGTGGCTTAAATAATTAATACTATATTTTATATTTTTCTTATGGTTATAAATATAATAATGGCAACACTAAATATAGATTGCTAATTAATATTTTTAAAATTGTAATAATTATAAAAATAATAGCAAAAATTAAATAAATAATTTTCCATATTCAATTATAATTAAAATTATAAAAATATTTAAAGTTAAAATATTGTAATGTAATTGGTGCAATTTTCATTTTGTTAATTGTGGGTAGGCTGTCTGTAACAACTATATCTTAAAGACATGTAACACCTCAGTCTCTCCCGTGACCATGGATGCTGTAAAGCATTCGAAACGTCGGGAAACAAAAATACAAATAAATCCGCGACAAAATCCGAAAAGATAGTTTTATTTAAAAGCTTTAGATTTTTTTAAATAGGTATAAGGTAGGTGCACGAAGACGAAGCATATCATACCTTTTGCTTAAAACTGACAATTGAATTCATTGCATCAACGAATATTAATTAATATTCAACGATCGTTAATAACAATAAAAACAAAACATAACTACATAGAGCACACGCGTGCTACTTATGTATTACATACATACATGTATACATGAGGAGCGTAGTAGAGTAGTAGGTACATAGACAGTTATCTGAAATATGTATTGCTTGAATATTTTCTACTAACAATAAGTACCTACCTATGAAGACACTTAAGTTAATAATAAAATGAAAAAACCTAATTGAAATAATGAAATGCCAACCAAGTTTTTTTAACGTATCGATTCTAACATGTGATATATTTTTATTTTATATATTTCTACATTTTATTATTTAAGAGTGGTTGTTATATTTAAAGTTCTCATCAATATTATGACATTATCATAATGTATTGATGATGACGAATAAGATCAATGGTTTGTATATCCATCCTTATTCAGATAATTCTGTTATCGAAAGATAAGTAATTTGCAACTAATCTTTTGCTTAGCTAAATTACGTGGGAAGAATATAATATAATTAATACCAAAAACAGTATTAAGGTGTTATGTAAGTAAGTAATGAGCTATATACATATAGATACATACATTTAATAGCATAACAGATCCAAGGAGAGGCCAGCGCCAGCTCGCGCCTTGAGCACGCTCATCAACCTCCATTTAGTGTCCTTCTTTCAAACATTTTTTTGAAGTTTGCAGAAATATTATGAACTTGTTAGTCTATCACTTCGCGTAGGTCATTTTTAGTAAACAACTTTATATTATAAATGATATTAACTTAAACGTCTTCGTACGAGCATGACGTCGTATTAACGACTATACATGCATTGACAGTGTTATCGGAAGACTCGAACGCAGCTACTTTGTCTTATCTTATCATGTTATTTTGTGGTTATTGGAATCCCAGGAGAATTCATTATTGAACCAGAAATGAAACAAATTAACTAGTAATTAAGAATTATTAGTACCTGTATATACTTAATAATTGAACCTTAAAGATTGAATTACTAACTGTACCTAAATGAGCTATGACTCACGCAACGCAAGTAATAAATAACTAATTTATTAATTATTTTTTAAGTAAATACTCATATAATAATATTATATATCACATTTCATTAGCGTCCGGCATTCCAGCCGGGAGTCAAGCCAAGAGACATCGAGCCGGGAGCCCACTTCGGTGGGCGGTGTACAATGCGAGCTGGTACTTTTCTACCAGCAGTGTGGACTGAGGGAGCAACCCTTGGTTGTGTGGTCTGCTTCAGCAGACCTGACGTCAGGACTTTCTTTTGTGTTTTTGTTGGTAGTATTGGGGTTTCTAGCCGGTGAATCCCACATAACCTCATGGTATGCGTAAATACATTTCTAACTATTAAAAAAACGTGTGTGTGTGTACTTATGTACGCACATAAGAAGTTTTACTTCTTTGACGTAACAGAACAAAAATAGCTAAAGATTTCATCCCGTATGTCACAACTCCGTTTGTAAAAGAAATGTTGCTAACTTCATCATATCGCTTTCAGCTAACTTCATCATGTAGCTTTTTGGCTGTCGGTGTGCGCGCGCATTGTAAAAACTTTACTCTCATAATTCTTTCCAAACGTGCCAAAAGAAGTATAACTTGAAAAAAACTTTTTCCCTCAAAAGGATTTTTAGGCACATACATATTTTGTATTACATAGATTAAAAAAGGGAGATTATACGTTAAAAATAAAAATATTTTACGGTCACACTATGAGTTGAATTCTCCCCCGGGCGTTTACGCAAACCATCTACAGTATTTAACAAAGTGGTGCTCCCTGATTCCATCCAGTCATCCATTCTTTAAATACACACACACATACACACGCACTCAAATAATTAATAAGCCAATCACCAAAATAAAACAGTTACAAAGATTACAACTTTTACACTAAATAATAATTGGGAAATCATTTAAAATATATTATCTAGAAAACCTACATCAATCTCATGAACACGAATGTCAACCAAAACATACGCGAGCGATTATCCCTGATTTCCAATTAGAGAACTAAAGCGTATTATGCGGCATTACGCTAACTTCGAATGTTTCAACTACAGCAACGCTTCACACAATCGAGCATTTTGAAAAGTACCTACTGCTTTGGCTTGATGCGCGCAAGGACACCAACTCAGTAGCAGAAAATATAAGTGTTTTTTCTTCAAGGTGCCATTGATCAAAATTTTATTCAGGTACTATTATCGTTAATAATATTTGTTATCTTTAAGTATATTATATACTTATTAATCATATATTATTGTATACTTGTTATATAATTTATAATATGTATTATTATATATTTATTTTCTTTCAACACTGAACCTAATGCCCTCTGCTGGTGCACTTGAAAAAATTCACGTTCCAAGCATTAGCACACTTCGGCATTGTGCGCCAAAGTGCGGCATTATGCTCTGTAGTTGGAAAATAGGGTATGTCCTCAATCATATAATCTGTAGTAATATGACATCAGCTGACATTGACATTTGACAGCAACAATTAATTCCAAAGTTGTTGTTTATTATTCTGAATTAAAAAAGAGAATTGAAATCAATTATTTTGAAATCAAGTATCATTATTCATTAGATTATTCGTCACATTATAAGCATAACACAATTATTAATAAAAAAACACTGTCCATATGCGAAATATATGATGACCAGTAAGAACTTATTACAAGAATATGCAAAGTCCATCAATCAATTAAAAAAAGAATGCTCGGACGCCGGTATAAGTGAAGAAGAATTTAAGGAGATGTATTATGATACTCTAAATGAACTCGATAGGAACAATGAAAATATAGTTCCTAATCGAAGACGTTTTAATAAAGGCTACCTTTATTTAATTATATGTGTAATAGCATTTTCTATTGCAATATTAAACTTCAAATCAATATATAGTTGTTTCATATGTAATATGCAAGATTATATATATCCAGGATTAAGATTTATAAGAAAAATGTCCATTCCGTTTATATCATTATTTCCTACATTAACAGGTTAATCTTATATGACATAAATATAAATTATTTTTTTTTTTTTTTTTTATTAAAATCTAAAAGGATAGTTAAACAACATCAAACTCCAGCTACATTGTACAATTAAACAATATAAATAATATGGACATTTTAATTATTTATCATTTTATTTTTATAGAATTGTATCAAGAACCATGTTTAATACAAAACCCTTTCTTCACTGTGGTGGATATGGATTGTTGGCCATGCAGTTCAGTGAACAACATTGGTGAGATTTTCAATCCACTACCAGTCCATAAACAACAAAATGCTCCATTTATTTATAAGGTAAACATGTTAATTTTTAAAAAATGGAATACAATAAAGTAAATTACTTTTATTATGGAAGCTAAAGTTATGAGGGAAACTACCATATTTCAGACTGAGCATTCAAGAATGAGCATTGAAGATTTTAGAAATCTTTACATAAAAAATAAAATGTTATTTGATAAAGAGAGTCCAAAAGTACTTGTTAATAACAAAAACTATTTAACCCCACAAAATGTATTTTATGTAGAAAACTTACAAGAAAATCTGTATGTTTGGTAAGTGATAAAAATGATCATTTTTAAATTTTATCTTATCTTTACAATGTATTTGTCCTATATTTCAACATTTTAAAATATAGCTATATTAATTTAATTTCAGGAAATTGAATAACTTTAATGTAGCAAGGATATTAAGACAGATAATCCCAAGACCTAAGGTTGTACCAAAGTTTGGTCAAAGCACAGAAAGATTCATTATAATTGATTCAAAACATGACATGTTTCGTATACCAGATACAGAATGTAACTTTGCTTTTATATTAGTATTAAGTGGAACAAGAATAATTGATTTACAACCTGCAGATGAATGCAAACATCAATGTAAATCGTTCAAAATGGAATTAAAAGAGTCCTATTTATGTAAGAATATTATTTGTATTTAAATGATGCATAACTAAATTCAACATATTTCTAATCAAATATTGGACCATATAGCACTAGTTGTATTCATTGTAAATTGTCCTACATCATAATGTAAAATGTGTACAGTGACAGCATATTAATAAAAATTAATTCAGCTCATTATTACCAAACAATTGACAGATTTTTTTTAATTCTACTAATATTTAATTATATATTTAATATATTGGAACCCAGAGGCCAATATATATTTAAAAATTTTATAAAAAGGCCATTATAATAGTTTAATAAAAAATAAAATACTTATTTAGGAAAACTTAAAATTCAATCTCACTATGTGTCAAAATATTTAAAAACACTTTTAAGACTAACATCAACAATTTATTCCGCCTATCACATAAAAAATACTTTTATTTGCAGTATGGTACAACTGGTGGTACTGGAGACCTGTAGTTCAACAATCATCGAGTAATGAAACATTTATAGCTCATGTTGGCTCATATTGTTAATTATAAAATTATTGTACAACAAACTTGGAATGTATAAAACATTTTATTTAATTCCAAATATATCAAATTGTCTAAAATAAATTAACTACAATAAATAAATTCATTCAAATTTTTGTCTTAGTTTCTGTTTAAGTAAAACTGGAATTAACGAGATCAGAGCAAAAAGACTCAATATGGTAACTGAAGTCCATGACCAGGCATCACTTGTAGAAGTCAATGTATTTAAGGTCTGTCCAGCCTGTATTGCTACAAATGATGGTGGAGCAACTCCTGAAACAAAAGTACAAGCAATCGATACAAAAAAGCAAATTCTTAATTTTAATAAATTTTTTCTTAATGTTTATAAGTAAAATGAATATTTGTGTTAGTCCTCTATGCATTCCTAAACCATTTATCCGATTGTAATGAAACTGGTTTGTTATTCTGTATATTTATTTACTTTGGATGTTTGTGTTTTATGTGTTCCTTAACCATTGAAGCTTAGGGACTAGCTAGGGTAATCGCTAGTTATTTATAAATAGACCTTTTCAATTATTAAACACTTATTCATTAAAAATTGAGGTATATTATAATTTATAAAGTAGATACTTGAATCAGAATAATAAGTGCCCTAATAAGTTATTTTACAAAACTATAATATTTTAAAAAAATTATTACCATGAAAAAAATCAACACTTACCTATAAAAGTTCCCAAAGCAAAAGGGATAAGAGGCACACCAATAACTGGAGCGGTCATATTTATAAACCAATTAGGAAAAAATGGTGTTACTCTTAAGAATATTATATAATTTAGCAAGTTATTTTTATGTTTTGTCACAGCTTTTGACCATTGTGCAGCTCTCTCTGGGAAAAACTTCTTAACTATTTTTTTCCCCACGAGATTTGATAAAAAGAAACACAAACTTGCTCCTATTGCCGAGCAACAACAAACTAAAAGTAATGCTAAATAAAAAGGAAATAAAAATCCTGATAAAATACTCAAGAATATTGAACCAGGAATTGCAAATGTTTGCAAGCTGTATTATAAGATAAGGATATCATCACAACCATAACAAACATAAAATTATATTTAGTTATCAAGATATAAATATCATTAAGTAAAAAGAAAATTGTAAAGGATACAATATATATACTAAAAATACTCCCAGTAATACTTCATAAAAATATTTGTCCTTATATCGGTTCAAGATCAAACCTAACCCTTTAGCTTCTTCTAAATCCCATGGTAATTTTAAATGTTGCTTTTCATGCCTTAAAGTATTAATATTGATATAGAAAACAAAATATGAAACATATTTATAGAACAACTATAGAAATATCTTACTCTTCCAGTTCAGGAAATTGTTTGTAAAGGAGGCCCAAAGCAGTCAAAGACAAAATAAAAATTATAGCAACAATGATAAGAGATTTTGAAGTTGACAATCCAGCAGTTTTTGGATTTTCAGGAGAAGGTAAGTCTGTAAAAAAAAATTATTGTCACTGTAACAAGTTATTATCATTAATGTCAAACCAATGGGGAAATGTGGAATTTGAGGAACATAAATATTGTGATGGAAATAGGTACTTGGAGAAGGATAGTACAAAGCAATACAATCAATTCTTATGTTTCTTGTTCTTGGTTTGATGTTGGATGTCGATGAAACGGAAGGGTCTTGTATTTCATCACCTTGAAGCTGAGACGCACGAATATTACTTCGACGATTAGTGGTGCTCATTCTTGTAACCTATATAAGCCAAGGGCTCCCTTACACACAACTTACAAAACTCTTGAAAAATATGGATGATGCAACACTAAATTTACAATGCGATTTCATTCAATTTTTTTAGTAATAATGAAAAAACCCACATTTATTTTTGAATTAAAGTGACTTGTGAGTTGTGACTAGAAAATTGTCTGATTGACACTCATTGTCAGAACTCAGAATATAATTTTATTTGTCATCCATGGAATATAATTATCATACGTCAGTCAGAGTTGACATTGACATTTGAAAGAAATACAAAATCACAGAATGCGTTGTGTAATCAAAAATTACAACAAAGTTGAAAATTAATAATAATTAGCACATAGTAATCTATTGTCTAATGTCTAATCTTCATGCTTATTTTAGAGGAGATTTGGTGTATGTTGCGTTTAGTTGTCATTTTTGGGAAAACCATAAGATAAATGAATTATTTTACCGTCTGTGACTACTTTTAAAAATTATATCAATTTCCTAATAATATTTAAATCTATTTTAAATTTCAACTTAAGAAATAAATAATTTAGATGAAATAAAATGACTACAGTTATGTATGCGAAAGATGTAAAAAATTATTTTGTGAGTAGGTTTGTTACTCCTTCACACTTATAGTCCGAAGCAAAATGGACGAATTTGAATGAAATAATGTATACAACACAGAGCCCATTGTTACATATCCAGATAGACTATGACTTAACACTAGGCTACTGTCTGGTACTTAATGCCTGTAAGTCGCTAGTATATCAATAAAAAACTTGTGTATCATGGCCGATAAAGTTATATACATATTAGGTATATCAAAAAAAATTGGGACGTTTTAGTTCTTACCCGTATTGAGGAAAAGCCATATAAAAATAATAAAGGTAAATATAGAAGTTTTATAGTCCGAATAAAGTAACACAGATCTTTTCAAATGGTTAGAACGTTACATCTTTATTGTAGGTTTGTAATCGAATTTAAAAAGAAGAAGGTAGGTCATAGGTGTGCAATTTGGTTACGTACTTTATAAGCAGATTTTATAAACATTATTATTAACCTACGTACCTGCTTAAAAGCATTCATTCAGGATAGTAATCTTTTGGAAGTAAAACTTCTTTACTCACGCTTGACTTGGGGTGTAAGATGGTGAATGCGTGACGAGAGCGTTACGAAAAGTGTGATCGGGCGAGGCGAACGTTTGTTGCTATGGTAACCGTTGTTATTGTCTGAAAAATTATATATAATATTATATTCTTTCTTTAAATGATATTCTATAAATATATGATTGTAATATGCCTAATATGCTATATTTAATTATTTTTATCAAAATTTTGTCAAACCTTTTACAAACAGAGTTGTAACATACGTGATGAAATCTTTAGCTATTTTTGTTCTGTTACGCCAAATAAGTATAACTTCTTTAGTGCGTACATAAGTACACACACACCTTTTTTTAGTATCTCACCTATCCTAATTATGTAAAACATTAATTGAATTTCATCAAGAGTACCGATAACCTACAGAAGTTTTACTTCTTGCGCGTTTACACATTCATACACGCACTCTTTAAATTTTTTTTATTATCTTCTATCTTTCCCGCGATTTATTCGTATCTACTTTGTCTATTTTGGTCATTTTGTCTATATAAGTATGTCTAAAATTTTCTTGTCTTACAAATATAGAGACATTGGAACGCTATCTACATAAATAAATAACTCTCCGTCATGGATATTCTATGCCTTACAAACGTCTAATTTAACATCATAATATTAAAGCTATTTGAATGAAACCGCTAAAGCTGTTGAGTGTAGCTAACAAGGTATATTATATAGATAATGATCATAGGACGAACAGCCTAGATAACATTAAATTTTCGTAACAATTTTGAAAAATGATTCATTCTAATTTATAATTAATTAAAAATAGACAGAAGTTTTAATAAATATTAATATGGTGGTTAACTAAATAATATATTATGTATAACAATTAACAAGCGACTCAACCTCGCTCCGCTCGGGTTTGTCCCTAGTTACGTTTAACGTTTAGTATAGATTATAGATAGTATAGATAGAAAAGTATCTTATATGTTGACCCGGATAACCAGCGATCATACCGAACTTTATCAAAATTCGAGTGGTTTTCTCGTGATGCGTTTCCAGACAGACAAAATTAAAAAAAAACTATAGACTCGGGCCCTATATCGGCATTTATTAAAATGACTATTCAATAACATTCTCCAAAAAATATTTAACGTACGGAATCGACTCGGTTAGAATTTAATTATATTATGTCTAGATTAATACTATTTTAAAAGTAATGGTTTATAATATACATTCTTACCATGTCCCATACTTACATTATTATTTACTTATTATATAACAATGTAAAAAAAATATAATGTAGGAGGAGAAACTCAAACACCATTACGATAGACAAAAATGTTGTATGAGGGATTCGCCGATTCGGTTCGGTCAGTCTGCCTCAGACGCAGCGCATCGCCAACGCGTTGTACACGAGCCTCTTGTTTTGTGTATTATTTCCATCATAAACACCGATAAAAATGCTTACAAAATTACTTTAAAATACGTTTTTATGGATTTATTATTACGTATATTAATAGTATGCATAAAAGTTTAGGTAATAATGAAAAATGTGATGTGCTAGTGAAAGTTAGATTTGTGTAAATGCAATTTGAGATGAGGACCTTTGTGAAAACATAGGAAACCTACATGAATATACGTATTAAGGTAAAGCCGTGTAATATTTAATATACACCTATCCACATAAGGTCCAGTTTTTACTAATTTCAAATAATAATAAAAAAATCTAAACTCTTTATAAAGTTAGATTTTAGCTGGTTAGGTAACTGTTCTTTTTATTTTTAATTCTAATAACGTTCCTATTATACGAGTCCGATATACACTTCGCGGAAGATACTGGTGGGTCAAGACTCAAGAATTTCTTAGTACAAGTATTTTAATTGTGCCTTACATACTATTATCATAAATAGGCATGCTTAGAAAATAAATCTTAATTTTTATTCGTTATAACAATTAGAATTCAATTCAATTATGTTGTTAATGGTTTTAATTTAATGTATTATGTAGGTATTAAAAATAGTACTTTTCACTTTTTTAAATTTTGACTTTCTAATGTCAAATTGTATGGTTAGCAAAATAAAAAAAATGTTTACAATAGATTTTTTTCTATTTAGTTATACCCTATTTAACCTGAATTTATATTTATATAATGGGTTTAAAATAAATTTTAAATATTTAAATCTTTTATTTAATAATTTAACTGCACAGTTAAATTATTTAATAAAAGATCTAAATAATTTCATTAAATTATAAATATACATATTTTTAAAGTTATAATTATCAGAAACTAGAAAGCCTAAACTAGTTATGTGTTGCATAATAATATACTTAGTAATTACATAGAAATAAAATATCTATGCAGGTAATGCGAGGAGAGATAGCAAAGATATGTTTAGTGATAGCTATCCTGACGCTCGGGACCGTATCAAGCGACGGCGCGTGCGAACGCGGGCGCACTTGGTGGGACCGGCACAGAGGCGCCTGCATACCCTGCACCCGTTGCGACCCGCGCCGCCTCGCCGTCAAATACCCCTGTGAACTACACCGTGATACCATATGCCAACCTCTCTACGAGGTTCGCATTTGGCCTTTCAACACGGAAAAAGACAATGATGTCAGTGAAACATCAAGTGATTACGAATATTACGAGTACACAGACTACAGCGGTGAAGTGAGTGATGAATTGGACTGGAATATTCAGACATCCACTTTGACTGTAGCTGTGAGTGGATGTATAGTGTTCTTTGTTGTAGTGGTAACGTTGTCTTTGTACCACGCGAAGCAATGGCGGGTACTGAAGCAAACTTTAAAATCAGGTAAGAAAAAACTTGTATTAAAATATCTATGACGTTAACTTTTTTAAAACATACAGATAATAAAAACTATTTAATTTACCACCAAAATAAGAAAACAAAACACAACAAACAAGTAGCTGGAGACACATTATCGCTAAAAGAGCAAATTCTTAAGATGTACGAAATAGGAAATCGTATCAGCTATATGTTGGGATAATAACACACAGCACCATCTAGTTCTATGGTAAACTACGAGGACTGTGTTATGGATACCAGATAGTTGATACACTACACACATACAACTTTAAATACATTCATATTATAAACATAAACACCCATGACTGGAGTACAAACATTAGTGCTCATCACACAAATGAATGTCCCCAGCGGGACTCGAACCCGCGACCGCTGGTACAGCAAGTAGTCACTACAAACTTAGCCAAACGTGTCGTCAAATATAACATTATTTATTTATTATTAGTGGTGTAGGTTTATTTCAAAATAATTGCATAGTGTTTTAATGGTATTGCAATCTTCGTAAAATGAGGTATTGAATGATCACATTAGTATTTCAGCTAGAATGTTGTAACTATCATACAGTATGCAAATAATACGCATAAAATGAAATATTATTTCGACTATAAATTAATGTTAAATAAATAAAAACACTGCAGCCACCGCGCCGATCAGATTTTTACTCGTACATATAAACATCATCAGAGGTAAAATAACATTTCTGTGATTCACATAAAATGTATCCAACTCTGCACGGATAAATGGAATATAATGAATGCTGTGAAAAGCAAGAATAATAAGATAATAGGAAAAAACTTTTAATATTAATCTTTTACAATGTTTAGTTTTTTTAAGTAAATTTACGCGATAAAATGTTCTAACACCTCCAGGTAAATTTCGAAGAAATTAATTAAATTTCTAAAAAATCTATTGTTAACTGTAGCGCCGGCGTGTCCACAGTCGTTGAGAGATTAAGCCATATATTAGATAGTGTTATACATGAAGTACTTTAAATAATCGGTTATCGGAACAAATCATGTTATATATACAAACATGTTACAGATAGGTACTATTATCTTCAATAACAGTTTATTTATTCAGGACGCTGATGAACGAACGGCCTCCAAGTATAACTGCGGACAGGGCCTAGCCTATAGTTGTACGTATGTGGGCGGGCGACTCTAACGAAACTGGCGACATTCATTGAATATAAAGAGATTAAATGATTAACATCTTCGTCCTTAGCTTCACATGCGGACATCTACTTATGATGAAATATTTGTATGTTACGTAATTGTATAAAGTGTCGTCAGCTCTATATTTGTTGCGACTTACAGTACGAACAAGTAGCATTAGGCTATATCAGCAATAAAAAGTTTAGCTCTTAAGAAGCAAACTTAATTTCTATTGTAACTTTTTTAAATATGTAGTAAAAATTAATAACAATTATATTACCGGGAGACACAGTGGAGCCACAAGAAACGATAAAGTCATTTTAACGACTGAAACTAACACGTGCCAAGAAATATGTCCGTATAGTACTATAATTAAATTATTCATAACGAACATTGTATTATGTATACTGTATAGTGTGTATACATATAATAAAAATCTTACTAAGTCGAATTTCATCTCTAAAAAATCAATCTATACTAAACGTTAAAATGTAAATAATATAATTATTTATCTACGTACGACTACTTTCAATAGAAGATATTCTACTAGAGACTCACTCTCGCTTCGCTCAGATTCGTCACTAGTGAAAAACGAAAACAAATCTCACGGGAACCGTACATTTTTCCAAGATAAAAAATTTCATCCAGATCCGACGTTCTGGCGTGATTGGGTTACAAACATCCATCCTCATAAACTTTCACATTAATAAAATTAGTATGGATTATTAATAATGGTTTATAATATTAATGAGATAACTTTATTTTGATTTAATCTTAATGGTACCTATAAATTAAAGATTTCCCAGTATTACTTCACTAAATAATATCCACTGATCAAATTCATAGATCGATATTTCAAAAGATATTTTTACTAACTTAAACAAAAACATAAGTCTGTGTTAAACATTGTATAAACAATTAACCAGTATACGAATAACATAACTCATACAAGATAGCCCAGATATTTGTACTAGTTTTAGTACGTAAATTTATATTAAAATGATGCCGGAACGTTCTCATTTCATGCCCCCATTGTCTAACGAAACACTGTTTACTTGCCTAGAACAAAAATACAGAAAAGTGATTTATGGTGTAAAGATAACTTTTCATATAATATCTAAAGTAGATCAGTTAATAAACATTAAACTTTAACACGTTGGAAGTTTTTGATTTAATTAGATGTATATAATTATTTGTAAACGCCTACCAGTGGCGCTATTAGCGTTGGTAAAGCGCCATATAGACTAGCCCACACAAAATAAGTGTGGTTCTAAAATATCGTAAACCTAGGTTTAGAGCGGCTCCGTGCAGGCGAGCAATACAGACATGATCCCGCGTAAACAATGCGGGTTTGTTTGAACATGTGCGCTACTAATTTTAATCGGTGTGGCCGACCACCATTGGAACAATAGCTAACGGTGTTTTTTGTTTGCATGCGCTTAGGTATACCAAAACCAGAACACAAACACTAGTAAACGCAATTCGTTTTTGACTTTACTAGAATATGCCGTATGAATTTAGAGTATGTTTTATACTGCCAAAATAAAGATTGACCATGTTAATTGAATTAAAAAGACAGGCATTATCTACTAAATAGTATAATCGAATAAATTTTGTACTGCATTGAAATACAGTTTAGTCTCTTCTTACAATTTATTTAGTTTCCAAAATAACAGTTTCAGAATAGGCTAGTATATGCTAAATATACTAAGCCCATTCTGAAACATAATACAATAATATATGAAATAAAATATGCTAAATACAATAACATAAGCCTAGTTTATGTAGTACGATGAGTCCCTTCCGAGAACATGAATTCGTAAAACACAAATCATGAAAACCTACTTATAAATTATATTAAAACCAAATCACAATATAGTTAATCTCATATCAGTAAATGACTTATTATTAATCGAGAATAGTCCTTGCTGTCTTTAAATGAATACTCATGTAAACTAGTATTATTTAATAGTTATTATGCCTACATAATAGGACTATTTGTTTTATTTTTTGTAGATGTACAAGATCTCTCAGCAAAACTGAGACTTATGGAAGGGGGCGGGGAAGCGCCGGTAGAGCCGGTGTCCTCTGATCACCACATTTACTGTAATATTGGCAAAGATGCGCTGCTTGGTAAGTAAACGCACAAAAAGTAATTTTAAATAAATATACCAATATTTTTCGTTTAAATGTTTGTGAAGATAAATTAGCCGATGTGCTAGATCAATATACATGTACGATGCTCCATGAACGTGTTAAAGCTTTCAGTAGTTCCTACCCAAAACACAAGCAAATCACTTTACTTCAGATCACTTACTCACCCGTGACCATGATTGCTGTAAAACATTCGAAGTGACGGGAACAAAAAATCTAAATAAATCCGCAAAAACTCCGATAGCTATATTTGAAATGTCAAATATTCGCGTAAATCTAAAAAAATATTGATCGGGACGTTAATGAAGGTCTTATTTCTGCAGGTAAACTCCAGAATTAAAAAACCTTTTTTACCGCAATATATCAAGACTTTGTATGGATTACAAGTAAATTTACTAAATTAAAGGTACTAAAGGTGCGAAGGGAGTTAGCCCTGAGAGAAACGAGAGTTATTAATACATATGCCAATCATTCGTGGAGTCGATCGATTCTACCTAATAGTTATTAATAGCGAAGTAGATATTTCTAAATATACATTACCCGCACCAAGCAACACATACGAAGACCGCTACACGTGCATTAACTATAAAAATAAAAGAAAATTTCAAAAAAGAAATCCCAAAAAGGAATGTTTACGGCGTCATAGTCGTAACTCGTTAGCGAGCGAGCAGGTCGTAGGGATTACTGGCGGCATGCCAGTCATTGGATCCAGTTAAACGTTTTAAAATAAAGACGCGTGGGTGTACTCGCTCTGCAGCCATACTTTGATTTGTTGGGGTCACATTGACTCTGTATTATTGGTGTATGTTCTGCATTATTTATTACTACGTGTATTGTATTGTGTATTTTTAGACAATAATAATTAATAACAATTAACCGGTTTTATTAAAACTGTTGGTGCCTGTAAAAAGATAAATTATTTCTAAACTCTATTAACTAACTTTTAACGGAGTCATATATTTTTAGTAAATAAAATATATAAATCATGATACGATATGAATAGACTATTTAATTAAATTAAAAAAAATATATATATTTATATATTTTTCCTAACTGTACCTACAAAGTCATAACGTTCAATGATGCGCAACGCTCGTTTATTTCGCACGGATTTATTTCACACTAACATTTTAGAAACCTCATAAAACACGAACATCTAAATCTGCCTTGTGATGGAACGAATCTCTGTTAATAGCAAAATTAAAACAAGTTTTTTAAACTTGGATCTTAACTAATAACATCGTAGCAAATAACAATATTTAAGACTTAAAGTACACACCTGTTTAAAAATTACAAAAATGTACACTAGCATATTTAGTCCACTAAACATTACCTTCTCATTGTAAGTTGTCCAGTACTCTTTACATAAGAGCGTGTAAAACGAAAAGCTCTAGCGGCATTTTTAATCTAGTCAATTGATTTTAATGAAACTAAGTTGTTATATTTTTAGTGATTTTGCTTTGATCTAAATGTGCGTTTTTGACGTTTCCAAAGCAAGTTGTGTACCTAATGTCATATTATGAACTTTATACCTATGCCTCTATGCCTTTGAACTATTAGGAATTATAATTATTTTAATTTAACGTTTTTTTTATATAATTTCTTTATTTTAGACATATCTTGGCTAGTTTTGCGAAATTTTCAAGTTCTTCGAGTGAACATTAAATGTTAAATATTCGTTAATTTTATTTACAAACTAGGTCACTCGACTTCATGATTTTTGTGTCAGTTACAGGAATCCTATAGAAAAAAGCTCTTTCTGTTTTTCAGAATTTTCTAATTATCCGTGCAACTTTCTCAATTTGGCTCCCCAAACCTTAACATAATAGCCCGACTATTACGAATATTAAAAAAAGCAAAATGGATCCAACCAACATAAAAAGTAGATACCAAATGTTAAGCCCAAAAAACTACTGTACTATGTTTTTCTGTCCGTCTGTTTGCACCCGTCTAAATATTTCGAGTATTATCGACTTGCTAAATCGAACTGAATCTAACACACAATGATGTATGTTAAATTGAATGAATGAATCTCATTGAGTACAAAAAAAATAAAAATGTTTAGTCATTATTTTTGCACTAAAATAATTTATTCTTTATAGGCTAGAAACTAGATTCTAAATTGATTTCGTTTTTTTTATGAATCGGATATATTTGGTTTAACGATTTTTTATTTATATGCCTAAATACGCACATATAGACACGCGCAAATTAAAATAAACGTAACAATCATAATAAATAAAAGTCCCTCATTTATAATATTAATTTTGCCATTCGACTTTGATTTTTAAAAATTAAATCAGCGGTAAATTACTATAATCTCATTGTCAACTGTTTAATAGCAATGTAAATACTTTAGCGATTACTGATTGATCTGTAAATCCAAAATTGGACGGCAATAGATATGAAGTCACTAAGTTCGCAACCATCTTTCAGCTAGTAGTGCAGTTATATAGCAAAAAGTGAAAAGGATAATAAATAACAGGCAGTTGATAACCTTTCGGACACACGCCTTGTTATCGATGGCAGTACACACGTGCGTCGTGCGTTCATTTTGTCGTCATTTGTAATGCAAACTTGTCGCGTGCTTCCGCTCCCGAGGTTTTCACTCGCCGCCGGGAAGCCTCTCACTTCCTGCTCATATCTATTTTTTGACAATTAACGATAAATAAACATCAATCGAAAATTTATTGGGTTGTTGAACCACTTCACTTATCCATTATTAATGAATTCAAAGTGGAAGTGTGTGGTATTTATAACAATATTTTTATTTGTTTATTTATTCATTTATTTATTTAATTGTTTTTTATTTATTTATTTATTTACACTTTATCACCTCAATCACGAAGTAAATACAGTTAACAAAATAAAAAACAAAAGTGTGCACAAAAGGCGGTCTTATCGCTAATTAGCGATTTCTTCCAGACAACCTTTGGGTGAGGAAATATGGAAGACTATTAATACAGGGTGGGTGGTGTAAATATTAAATATTATATACAATACATACCATGATACAACCTAATACTTAGAAAATTTATTGTAAACTAGCGTATTCCTGTGGCTTCGTCTGTGTTTTAGATTTGTCGTATTACTACATTATTATCGATATAAATTATTATAACCTATGTGTTTCTGTAGAGTTTCATCAAATCTGTTTACTAATAATTGTGATATAAAAGAGAAACATATATCCATCCATACAACTTTCCTCATTCACATTCCTGATACCACAAACTTTCTCATTTATTATATTAGTAGGACTTTATTAACTTTTATTGTTTTATTACTTACTAGCAGAACCCGCGGCTTCGCTCGTGCTAAAACTAGAAAAAAAACTCTGAAAAGGTGGATTAAATATAGACTTTCATGCCCTATTTTATCCCCTTATGGGATGAATTTTGAAAAATGCTAAAACACGTATTTAATTATTTATTTAATTGTATTGAAAAACATTAACACCAAGTACTTATCAAGTAATTCTGATCACAAATGTTTTTGGGTTGTATTATAACGTGTTTTCCCTTGAGAATGAGATAATCTGCCACGGTAAAAAGTATGCCTATATGCGGTATAGTAGCCTATGTCACTCTTCAGCCCTTTAACTATCTCCACACAAAAAATCACACCAATCCGTCATTCCGTTTCGACGTGAAAGAAGGACAAACAAACAAACACACTTTCACATTTATAATATTAGTATGGATTACTTAACAATATCGTATCGTAAAAAGATATATTATAGGTATATGTATTTATATTATATCGTGATGATATTTTCGAAACATTTTGCACGAGAATAAAATCTATTAATTAGCAGGCAAATTAATCTTATGCTAAGTAATTCCAGAAACAAAAATATTTAATAAAAATAAATGGAACAAATGGATTTAGATTCATCGTAGCGACAAGTAACAACAACCAGGTGTTTTATGACCAGGTGTATTTCCTTGAAATACGCGTTTACACAAACTAAGCTGAATACTCGCATATTTATAATCCATAAGAAACAGACTAAACAAAATGATGTGCGTGAGCATTGAACTCAAATTATTATTCAGGGAGTGCTCGTCGTGGGATAAAGCATCAGGCGGTCTCTGCGAAGTGTGGGGGATAGGTTTCTACCGTTACGTCTTTGTAATTTTGACCATAATTTGTTTATTTTTATTGTTTATCATTTATTGTTTCAAAACTATAAAATAAATACCTAAGTTTATAGTAGGTGGCTTATAAATGTAATTCATATAAAAAGAATAAATCGCCCTTGAAATACAAATTACGTTCTTTTTTTATTACATTAAATTTATAGCTATTATAAGTACCTAATTAATTTTTTTTTTAATTTGGCATTTATCAATATTAGATTTTAAATGATCTGAAAGTTAATGTTAAATTGCTCCTTTTCATCAACTGGACATTTTTTAATTTTAAAATGACAATGAATTTTAAAGACATGATTATTTGAGTTATATAAAAGTGTTTAACTTGTAAGTGGTATAATGGAAACAAGTTGGTTACGAAGAAAACGATAGTAAAACTAAGTCCAGTCACGTCATGTCGTGATCATGTGTAGAAACATCGCCCGAACAATTATGGTAACGAACTTAACATTAAACCCTTAATGCTCTTGCCTGTTGGAACTCGGTTCAAAATATTATTGTACGTTTTTGTTTACTTTTCTGTCAATCACTAACCATTACCCACGATCGTGTAGCACGGGGAGATCTAGCTGTATCATCGATTGACTACGACAACGACGAAGGCTAGCCACTCTTTAATACACTAACACTAAATACATCTAGATACTAATATTATAAAGAGGTAAAGTTTGTGAGTTTGTGCGATTGTGTGTTGTGACGTTGTAGGGGGTAATCTCTGGATCTACTATACCGATTTAGATAAAATTTAGTAACAAGATAGTTTGAGACTCTGGGAAGGACATAGAATACTCTTTATCCTGAAAATCATCCCTTGAGGAGGTGAAAATGGGGATGAAAATTTGTATTGGAAAGCAAGCTAGGGACGAACCCGAGCGAAGCGAGGATGAGTTGCTAGTGTAAAATAAGCCTCGACCAATCCGACCTGCTCAACGACTATAAATGATCGTGACACCTATCATTTTCGAGTAAAGTGTTTTCAGGCAGGATAGGCCGATAAACTTTCTACATATTATTGATTTCGTTTGACTTTGGTCAGCACAATAAAAATTCTAAATGTACCTACTTACTTAAATACTTTTTTAATATGAAACAAGTGAACCTATAAATGATTAAAAAAGTGGAGAAGTCAAAAAAACTTCTTTATTACTTTACAATATAAAAAGAAGCATCCACTCCTATTTGCGTGGGGGCCGCCCGCCGCACATTTTTAAATCCGGCCTTGAAAATACCAAATATTCAATCGACACGTAAAAATTATATTTTCAATAATATTACATTTATTATATTTTCAATAACATGAAAATGCTTAGTTGTGAGCACTGAGCAACCATTATGTGCACTCGTGCATTGCGAATTGTACAAAGTTTTGTAACAATAAAAAATCATAAATCAATAATGAACAGATTCTAATAGCTTTAATAAAGTATAATTTTCAAACATCTCAACAAACTACATTGTTTATGATAGAACAAAAATAGACAGCACACGAGTTCCGACATCTTTAATTAGTAGGATATGTAAAAAATGTTCCTCTTATAAATATGAACGGATGTAGAGGTAAAACCGTGCGTCACGGACGGCCCCATTTCTCTCGCCAGGAAATGGCCCAAAGCTTCCCTTCAAGATGTTTGTGCAGTCAATAATAAACTCCAACCAATCTAAACTGTTTATTGCCGATCTATCATAAACGCTAGCATTGACGTACGAACTCTACGAGTGGCTACAACTACGAGATCCCACTTTACAGTAATAGCTGTTGCGAACGCTGATGTTCTTTGAATACAGAATATAATCTCGTGCACGTTTTAAGCGTGTGATTTTCCATGTTGTTACATTATCTCGTATAGCTTTAAAATAGCTGCCGATAGAGCATTTTAAATGCCTAAGAAAATATGTTTTATTTTATGGACTTTATCTTCAAGTTTCGTTTGGTTTTCAATCAACAACAATCATTTACAAAATATACCTATAACAAATATAATCAAATTTATAAATAGCTAAATGTACTGTAAAGTTGAAAGTTCATTTAATATGGATGAATTTGTTACATTTACAATTAATAAAAACCAATTCTAAAAAAGATATAATATTTTATGTAAGTTTAACAAGTATTTTTCCATGAAGACAACCTAATTATATTAGCATTCGATAATAAAACAATGCCCGTACGTACCCTGAGAAACCCGACCCTGCCAATATCATAGCCGTGTGCAGAATTGCTAACTTGTTGTGAATTTCCTTTCCTTTCCGGGCTGCGGAAGTGGGTTCGCGGGTGATATGGACATCTTCTTAACATGCGAAACGATCGTCGGAGTACCGTCGGTAATTGTTAATCAATTCTTATCGATCGTGTCCAAAATTTCTATATAATCGTAAAGAATAACTAAATATGAATTTCTAAATTACATGTATCTTTAATACAACCGATGACTGCTCGATGCTTTTTGTTAAAACGATACGAGATACCTAATTTATCTTTATTTAAGCTACTGTATCCCTATTTATTTTTCTTTACTTAATATTTGTTCATTAGCTTATTTTTTTATTATTGAAGTTTTAGCTACATCAATATTTTTATTTAAAAGTGATGTGAAATTTAATTTTAAAATTGTAATCCGTTAATAAAGGGCGTAGTATCATCTACAAGCCACAAAGATGAGCGTCGAGGGGGTCCCAAGTCCCAACGTCTATGCATCTACTATTACGATTCTATTGAGTGCATAAAAATAATGGCTGATTAATTCTCCAGACACGCTCCATTGTATCGCACAGATCAGTGGGTAGGTGCTATAGCACGATTAGTATAAGAAAATTATTGTCGTGCATTCCCGCCACGCGGTGAACGTTACGTTATTATGTTACTATATAGGTTTATTAAATTGATAGATTCAAAATTATTGATACAATCCTATGGTAAAAATCTCTAATAAAATTTACAGTTCAAACTAGCGAATTACCTTCGCTTCGCTCGGGTGCGTCGTGCGTCTCTGGGTAACCGGATTTTGTTCACAATTTCATGGGTTTTAATTTTTTTGGGCGGAACCCTAATTCTTATTCTAAAATAAAAGTAGCCTTTTTTTTTAGCGTTGGGAAATGCATTTATGCACGAGGTGTGGGACTCACCGGCAAAACCAGTACTACCTACTAAAACCCAACAAAACTTACGATCGCTTACGCATTCAACTACGACGCCCCGAAGGCAGGTCTGCCAAAGCAGACCACAACAACCATGGGGTTGCTCCAAAGTCCACTCTGCTATCAGAGAAGTACTAGGAGCAACCCGCATGGTACACCGCCCACCGAAGAGGGCCACCTTCCACCGCCCACCGAAGTGGGCCACCTCCCTGTGCGTTTCTTGGCTTCGCGCCCGGTGGATTGCCGGGCACTACTGAGCCCCCTCACCACGACAAGGTGAACGCACGTTGAGGGGGAAAAATAAAAGTAGCATATGTTACTCCTTACAACATCAGAAACTGCCAGTGAAAGCCCTGTCAAAATCAGCCAGCCGTTTTGGAGATAAGCCGGTGCAGACACCTAGATAAACATTTAAAAAATTGTTTATTTCTTATAAGTACCATACAATATATTCATATGTTTTTCCTTTAATTAAAAAGCTGTTATTTTAACATTACAAATAGACATTTCAAATTTATTTATCTGTATAAATAAAAAGAAAGCTAAGATTGCTTGGTGGTTCATTGATACATTAATTTAAATCGTTTATTGTACAGAGCATGTGTACTGATGAATGGCCCTTGAAAGTCAATCACAACAAGAGAAACGTCTGACGCTAAGACCCGCCTCTTATCATGCTTTAAATATCTCGTCGCAGCACTCCGACTGGACGGCAAATGATTTATTATGTTTATGCAGAGCGTCGCTGGCTCCGTAAAAGCCGTTTGCAAATAAGATTTAAATTGTTCGTCTCGCACTCCAGACGGCACATAGAATTGGCTAGCGGTTGAAGGTTATATCACAGTAAATAGTGAAACTGAAATTTAAATGGGAAGTTTCCTGGAAACGCGGACTAAAATAGCAGGATCTCGCACGTTCCCGTACACTTGCCAATATCATGGCTGTTTATAAACATACCGTCGTTTCATAAACTAACGTCGCTTTTAAATAGAAATTGAAATAATTAAATCCGCTACATCTTTTTTGTTACTAGTTTCTAGTTTTTTTTTAACATTAAAATGTTTCATGTTTAGCTTTAATAGAACCCAGTAACTTTAGCTCTCGCTTCGCTCGGATGCGTCCGTAGGTACCTAACAAAAGCCGATAAAGTAACTAAATCCACGGCCATTTTTTCCGACTTCAATTTAAGTTATTATGATTTCTGACAGTTAACACAATTTATTGGAATAAAAAATAGCATATTATAGCACTCGACGTTCATAGCTTCCTATACCTACTAAGAGTGAAAGATTTTTTAGAATCGGATCAGTAGTTTCAGAGTTTATCCCCTACATACCTATGTACAAACTTACATATACCTCTTTATAATATTAGTGCAGATATAAAAATCATCTACATTTTATGTTTAATAACAATATAATAATGATGAATTAATAATATTTCAAAAAACTTAGTTATGTAACAATTTTAAGCACCTTTCGAATAGGCAAGCTTTGAAATTGTTATAGCAATTTTGATTTCCGTAAATTTTATGGGCAACAACCGCGAATACGATCGGCAGCTGTGTGCCGTTTAAAATTCCACACGCAAACGCGCACGCCGTATATTCAAATACGGTGGCTACAAACCGCAATTAGCATAAGCTCGGTTAAAAAGAGAACTTTTTATTGCAAACGGCATATTATGCAAGATCAACTGCATTGCACGTGTGTACCACAATAAATAATTCTCATTTCATTGCAGGCCCAGCTTCAACGAAAAAAGGTCTTGGCAACGTATACACGCAAGAAAAGCACACTCCCTGAACACTTACCAGTGACCACCGATACGAAATTGATGCAAGTACAAATTATAGAACAACCTCGCACGTCAAGTAGAAAGGATTAAATGGGATACTTATTTTTGTAACACAAAATATACAAATTATAAAACTTGGCGTTTTTTTTCAAAGATTTCATCGTAAATTAAATTTTATCTTTTTTAGCAGTGCCATATTGTGAGGCTTATTTTGCCTATTGATCCCTGTTTTTATTATTTGGTTATAACAAAATACAATCTCTTGTACCTGTAATCGTCTTGATGTATCTCTTTTTAGCCGACTGCGGCGAAGCCAAAAGAAGAATTGTGTGTTTGATCTGTAACTATGTTCGACTCAATATTCCTTGCTTTTAATTAAGCTTTGATGCCACCAAACATAAATATTTAATCTAAAAGATGTGATAGGTCACAACAGTATCTTTTTATAATCTGAGATATATTATTCCTTAAAAGAAAAAGATACACATATATTGTTACATAAACAAATTCTATTAGATAACTCGCTTCTATTTGTTACGCCAAATTATACGTAGAGACGTAGTTTTATTAATCTTGATACATTCAAAATTGTGTGAAATTATCTAATTTAAGTGCAACATGATACATGCGAAGCGCAGAAATGGTGTATTCCATATTTTTGAATGTGTAACGAGGTTAGAGAATTTTGATGTAAAATAAAAAGCTTGTAATAGGTACATCAATGCGTTCTTTGGCTTGATTTTCGTTTGTAAAGTATTATAAAACATATACCCATTAAATATTTGCTTGATATTAGTAGTTATATGTACGCTAAGCAAAACGCAAATATTTTTCTAAAAAATTGTACCTTATTAAACATGGGAAATAATTTCGAAAAAGTATATAAGCTAAAGGCTACCTACCGTCTTATTAGGGTGGAAGTAAAATCCATACTAACTTTTTTATATTGTCATTGTCCTTCTTTCACGTCGAAACAGTGACGAATTGGCTGATTTTTTTGTGGAGAGTCGGAGGGCTACTATTACCGCGGAGATCATCTCATTCCCACGGGAATACACGTTATGAGACAACCCACAACTCATCACACCTATGTATATAATAAGTAAGTACATATATTATGTATATCTATTCCAATGTACCTGTTAAAACATACCTAAAGACGAACCCAAGCGAAGCGAAGGCGAGTCGCTAGTCTATACATATTATAATAAAATTGTAACTAAGCCGAATCTGTACATTATATTTTTCTTGGAAAATCTTATTGAAATAGACATTATTATCGATACAGAGGCCGAATCTATAGTTTTTAGAATTTGTCTGTCCGTCTGTGACCGCATCACAAAATAACCACTGGAGGGATCTTGATGAAATTTGGTATGATGATAGCTGGGTTCTCCGGGTCAACATATAGGATACTTTTTACTGCTGGAAAATCAACTAAATGTTAAAACGTAATCAGAGACGAAGTCAGCGGGGCGAGAGTTAGTCGCTAGTCTATACTAATATTATAAACAGGTAGTTTGTGAATTGTGAGTTTGTGTCGTTGTAGGAGGTAGGTACATAATCTCTGGATCTACTGAACCGACTTAGATGAAATTTGGTAAGAAGATAGTTTGAGGCCCTATACCTGGGAAGGACATAGGATACTTTTTATCCCGGAAATCATCGGAGATGAAAATGGGGATGAAAGTTAGTATAGGGAATAAACCTAGGGACGAACCCGAGCGAAGCGAGGGTGAGTCGCTAGTATACAATAAAGAGGAACATGTTCTAAACTAATGCAAAATTGTGTCATTTACCGCGTCCACAAATTTAGCCACATACATTCTGGGCCGCGCCGCCGCGTGCTGACGCGCATGATCTCCAAATAGACAGTCTAGCCTCATTCATAACTTTCTAAAGCACTTATCACAACGTACTTGAGAATACATTGGCTTGAACGAGTGAATCAATCGACAAAATTACGCTTTCACTTAGTATGTGAAGAAATAACACGACTCGCAGGACCAAGGGCTAGGAATAAAATAAAACACACAGTATTTTAATACTATTTTATATTACCAACATTCCTACTCCATTAGCAAAATATGGATTTTAATATATTAAATTAAAAACTACGTATCAACATTAAAAACATACCTTATATCTCAAAAATAATAATTTACTAACAAACATACAAAATAAGTGCTAAGAATTGGTATTAGAAGTAAATCACTAAGTTTACAATACGAAAATGTTCATTCGTTACAATAAAACGTCTAACGCTAAGTGCAGTATTGTACAACAGTACATTTAATATATAAATTCAATTTGAAATACACTAAAAGTTGACAAATATAATATACTAGCATCGTATCGTTGTATTACATTAATTCACTAAAATTGGCCCCACAAGCATCACAAAACTATCAACTAACTCTTACAATAACTGACAATTCACATTTTGAACAATTCGCTAATTTAATCATTATTGTTTGAAAAAAAAACTAAAGAACACGCTTTTGACTAACTGTTATAAATGGAACTCGTCAAAACGAGACAAATGAGCATAGTTTATTAGTAGTCCTCTTAAGATTTTCCCTATAAACCTCATGACTCATATAATCGCATAAACAAATTTTAAATCGATACGACATTGTAGATTAAAAGGGATATCCAAGATATTTTATTTACATACAAAAAAATAATGCAAATACAAATGAAGGCAAATAAAAGCGTGTCAAAAACCAATGTGACCAAAGCTAGACAAATTTGCATGAACATATATACCTTGCGATACAAAGAATCTTTTCCCAAATTTTAATATTAGTTCAATATAAACAAAAAACAAAATAATTTTTGACTTAATTTTAACGTCCATTTCAGAAAAACCATATCCATTGTTGAGAGCTTTCGATCACAGTGATTCCATATTTGGGATTCCAATACGATACTTAAAATGCTAACTCAACTTAATACAAATTCTCAGTTCACAAACATTAAACAATTATTTCATTTGAAAATTGAATTAAACTAGATCAATTTAAATGCAACTTTAGTATTAAGAAGTAACTTAAACGATTATTGTCGATTTTCACTTTGGGAAATATAAAAATGCCAACATTTAAATGCAAAACAATGTCATACTATTATTTAATTTGAGTTATTATCTACAGTACCACAAACTTTACTGACCCGGTGGCCAAAACTGGAACTATGCGTCGCCATTTTGTTGTCAAGTGTTGTCTTGGAATCCAGCCTCTAAATTACCCGGATGATTATCTAACAACATGATCATAATTATAACATTAAAATATATTTTATTGAAAATGTATTTTGATTATTATTCCTCCTGAACTTGAGCTTTGTCAATATGTTTACCGCAAAAAACCGCAGAAATTCCATTTAGCGACAATACTAAATTCAACAGCAACGTCGTTACCCGGTCAGATAAGTTTGTAGCACTGCACTGTATATAATTAAAGTAGTCTTATACATGGAAGCGTTTTCGCAGATTTCTTTCAAATTCTAAGCATATGGTGACAGCATTCATTTAAATCTGCAAAAAAATTTTTTTCAATTGTCTTCTTATAATTAAAAGTTGTATATTTCGAATCTTATTTCCACCATACTGAGTACATAATTAATGTTAATTTTGATAACATTTTGGATCATTGAGATTCAAATTCTGAAAATTGATCCGAATTGAGGTAAATCATATCTGAATCAGAATCTGCTCGTCACATACAATAAAATATCAAGTAACATTTGGCCGCATCATTTCAAGTCACATTCATAAATTGCATTTTTTGAAAACCCTGTTTAGAAATTTAGTTTACATGATGCATTTACAATTCGATAATACATCAAAAACAATAATACAATATGTTTAATTAATGCTAAGAGTTGAATTTTTTTAATAAGGAACACTTTTGTTTTTATAATATTTGCTTTCAATTTCTCTTATACCACCAAAAATTCTAATTAAAACTAATGTTTTTCAGCCAGTGTGAATAATTTTATAAAACTTAATGTAATATTGTATGTATATTCAAAGTTCAATCTAAAAGTGTTTAGTTTTATTTTCTGTATATAATAGGCTTGTAGTGCAGGAATCGTCGGGTGTACTAGCTAGTGCGAGCGGCGTTGGCAGCGGCCGGCGGCTGGTACTTGGCTACTGGGAACATTGGTTTGGGTTCGATTGTCGAGACGCCGTCGAATCTGTTTGAATGAAATCTTAGATAAAAATTAATGAAATAAATATAATACAATATAATGCTCATAATATTCATTATTTATATTAAATCAGTAAGCTATTTTACCATATTAGATATATGGTGTTTTGATCTAACAAGAAAATGTTTACTTATATAAGTGCACATGTATGTAACAAAACAAAGTATGTAAAAATAAAACACTATTTATAGTTCATACCATAAATTATGTCAAGGCTCCAAGGCGTAAATTGAAGCACATTTCATTACTTTTTATTACTTATTATATTTATATAGACTTGGGTTTTAAATTTTCATTTCATCAGATTTTTAAGACTTCACATTCTTTTCCCAAGGAAGTGTCACGGTAATGTAATGCATGCAGTATTCCAACTCGGGCCTGTCCTTTAAAATAATTACCTACAGCCGAGCGGCACGTACCCACGCGACAGGGCTGCCCGAGTGCCCGCCGGCCAGTATTTTAATTTCATCTACCTACTTGAGTTTCTTTCTAATTTTGTGATTTCAAGTATTATATTTTTTATTAAAAACTATTATTACTAGATTTAATTAAAAAATCTCAAATTTATAAGGGTGGTATGTGACCCTTATAAATTTGAGATTTAAAAATATTTGGGCCTCGACTGAGACGTACGAAAAGCTTTATTGTTAAATTTAATAGTATAAAGAATCCGCCTTCGGATAAAAAGTTTAATTAAAAATACTTTAATTTTTATTTTAAAACATACGATGCATGTCTCGATACTTTTTTGTTTGACATTAGCGAAGTTACGGGAGGAATAAAATGTTTATTTTTGTATTAAATTATAAAAGTTACATAACATAACCACTTGTACAATTTTCGTATCCAATTATACCATGTGGCAGCCCCGCACGGTTGTCTGCCGAGTGTATACCGAACGCGACGCGCGTAGGTATAACTCGATTTCCGACCGTTTGTATGAAGATGGAATACTGTATGTAATATTACCGTGGAAGTGGAGTACTATTGGACTACCACATGTGTATACATATACTAGCGACTCACCCTCGCGTCGCTTGGGTTCGTCCCTAGTGAAAATTTAGGTTTGTTTGTATTTTTTAATGTTGAATAAAAAAAAAGTAAAATAAAAAATTTTGTACAAATAACAAAAAAAAATTGGCGTGGACCACCCTTATCACTTAGGGGTATGAAAAATAGTTTATATCCTATTCTACCTACCTTATATACCTACTGAATATACACACAGAATTTCATAAGAATCGAATCGGTCAAGCCGTTTCGGAGGAGTTTTGTTACAAACACTGTGACGAGAATTTTATATACATTGGAAGTTGTATTATTTAATTCTATAAAATCTGTCTGTATTACTCACTTGTTACTCTTATACTTGTCTGGTATCGCCTGGTAGGGCTGCCGCGAGGCGTGCGCGTGCGTGCGCGCCAGCTCGCGCAGGCACGTCGCCAGCTCGCCCCAGCTGTACCCCGAGCTCTGCACCAGCGCTGCGGGCCACGCTGGAACAACGTTGTGATTGCTAGATTACTTACTTGTGGACATTTTATTGGTACTATGTCTGTGTATTTTTATTGCTACCTAGCGACTCACCCTCGCTTGGACGCTTCGCTCAGGTTGTCCCTAGGTATGTTTTTAATTTTTTTGAGCGGAACCCTAATTCATTTTCTAAAATGACAGTCGTCTATGTGTGTTTCTCAATATAACATCAGCTATCTTCCAGTGAAAGTCCCGTCAAAATCAGTCCAGCAGTTTCAAAGATTAACAGGAACAAACAGAAGGACAAAAATTACAACAAAATGTGTTTTTCTTATAAGTACTGTATATAATTTCATATGCATTTAATAAAACGCTATTATATTACATTACAAACAAACACCTCAATTTCATTTATCTTTATTATTATTATAGATTTTTTCTCTTTATTAAACTTTCCGTGCACCTTAAAGAACATACGAAAAAAAAATTAGCTGAATTGGTTGAGCCATTCTCAAGTTTTGCGCTTAGCAACATTCATTTTTATCTATATAGATTTTATGTCCTGCAATACTGTTTATCTAAAAATAAATAAATAGGTTCCTAATAAGAGAATAATGCACTGACAATATAAGTGTCAAGTGTGAAAAACGCCATGCTAGCAGAAGTTATTTCATGTCTTTCTCAGACTGTAACACTGGTAGAATATTCGATGTTTAAACTTTATATTACTTATTGAAAATCCTATTACGATCATTAAGACTAGCAATCAAGTGACATATTACAGTGCACCTGTGTGATACAAATATATACTTTTTGCTTCTTCCTGTGGAAATAACACACAAAACAATACAACACCAACAGGAGGCACAAAACCAACAGATTTACTTTTCAAAGAATACAAAAATTACCAATTACAGAACTTACATGAAAATTAAAATTTTTTGGCTCAGATCCTAGACTTTTAAATTAACATTAATTTGATAAAACAGGTACAATGTATATATAAATAAATCAAAATCCACTACCACTTTTGCATATGGACTATTTCACAATGTAGACAACATATTGCAAAATCTCATGCATTACAAGTGTCCAAAATATCCTTACAATATCTATACATATAATAAAATTCTGAGTCGAATCTGTACATTAAATATTTTTTGGAAAATCTTATTGAAATAGACATTGTTAGTGATACAGAGGCCGAATCTATAGTTTTTAGAATTTTTGTCTGTCTGTTACCGCATCACAGAAAAACTACTTAAGGGATTTTGATGAAATTTGGTATGGTCATAGCTGGTTATCCAAGTCCACATAGATGATACTTTTACCGCGGAAAAATATCTCTTTCCTGAGAAAAAATACAAAAACTGCAATGTAAGAGTATACTAATATGTAAAACCTAAGAATTTGGTTTTTGGTCATCTGCACGCGGGCGGAGCCGCGGGCAATGCTTTTTGAAATTATAATATAATTGAACATTGTATTATTTACCAGTATTAGCACACTGTGCATGTACAGGTTGTTCATTGTTGCTCCTCAGGTCACAGACGCTGCGTTCACACAGTAGACAGTGACGGGCCGTGGCCAGAGCACTTGCTGCTATTATAGACGGCTTGAACTGCAAATACGGTTCAGCTTCCAGGAGAGACAGCTCGGCTATGTACTGAAAATTGTAAACAGTATGCTATCAGCTGTGTTTATAATGTATTTTTTTGTTTATTTAGCATTTTTGTTCCAATTTAACTTTAGTTAAAGATATTACTACTACACTACTTTGCTGGTTTTAATATTTTTGTACCCTAAAACGGTATTTAATTGCAATACGTGATTAAGCTTCGTTAATACAATATAATATGAATAATATTAAAGGTCAACTCACAGCAGCCAAATGGAATATTTTCTTAGGTATAGCATTCGATATGCAATAATGTGACAGGAATGCCAGAGAGGTGGGTGCAGAGAGATCAAAAGACAGAACTTTGAGGATGAGGTGCTCCATGCGCAGTACTTCACGTTTCGTATATGTGTCATCTGTTATGTACACAAATTCTGATACCTCCGGTGGATATACTTCTTCATATTTGCTGTTAAAAAAAAATTAAAAAAAAAAACATATTAATATATCCTTTTTTTTAATATATTTCTTAATACATATTTATTATATATATATATATATATATATATATATATATATATATATATTTCTGTAATTGTTTGATTGTGCAAAATTACACTTTTATCAAAAATAGTTATAACAGAAATTAGATATTAAAGAAAGTTTGTACTGATTATAATTATACTTACGCGGCAATGTATGTAGCAGCAGTGCCCACAAGCTGCAGCTTTGTTCGTACAACACTTATATATGACAAGAAACGATCCACATATGAGACTGCTAGATGTAATGTCTCACTCTGTTGTCCGTATTCATCACACACTTCAACCAGCCAGTCAATAAGTATGGACCGCATTACATGGGTTATATCTGGCTGTTTGCGCATATAGCGGGGATTGGCTCTATTTTTTACCTATTAAATTTAATAAAGACAAATAAAATCAACATAAGGCATAGTAAAATGTATACACCTTATTCATTATTTAAGATACTGACTGTCAAATAAAACTTTGGGTCAAACAATATGCACTGAAAGTATTTTTATTACAAACTCAGTCATTAAAGTGAGAACAGTGAGAACCCAATGTTAAAAGTCACAAAAAAAATATTAAAAATATAATAATTGTCATTCTTAGTATCCTTTCTTACTTCAAAATTGAAAAATATACATACCTCAATTTCCCTCATATAGTCATATATATCCTGCCTGTACTCCACAACATGGAAAAACATTTCCCTGTCTGTCTGTGCAGTTGTGGTGTCTTCATTATCTTCAATGACCTGGCTTTCATTCTTTGAGATTGACATAGACAGGATGCTGGAGTCAACCACTGACATAGGTGATTCAACCACATCTTTTTCTTTCTTCTCCTCAAGTGGTTGTCTAAAAATAAAATGTTCCAAATGAAATGAATGAAATCACTATAAAAAAGGTCTCTATATAACTCAAACCAATATCATGGCTCTCTCTTTTTTTTCTATTCTAATTATACATCCATAGTATATAGTTATACAATCAAAATTCTATATAATATTCTATATATATGCTTGAGTTGGGGGGTAAGCTGGTAAGAGTGACAAAAAGTGTAAATCGGGCGAGGCAAACATTTGTTGAGATGGTAACCATTGTTATTGTCTGAGAAATGATATATCTATACTAATATTATAAAAAGGTAGTTTGTGAGTTTGTGACGTTGTAGGGGGTAATTGGGTAATCTCTGGATCTACTGAAATGATTTAGATGAAATTTGATAGGATTGAGACCCTGGGAAGGACATAGGATACTTTTATCCTGGAAATCACCCCTTAGGGAGGTGAAAATGGGGATGAAAGTATTGGGTAGCAAGCTAGGGACGAACCCGAGCAAAGCGAGGGTGAGTCACTAGTAATATTATAAGTGTACGAGGTGAACATTTGTTGCCATGGTAACCATTGTTGTGGTCTGACAAATTATATATAATATTATATTTGTTTTTTTAAATTATATATCTATAAGTATATGATTGTAATATGCCTAATATGCGTTATTTTTAGTATCTCACCTATACTAATTATTTAAAACATAAATTGAATTTCATAAAGAATAGAGATAACCTACAGAAGTTTTACTTCTTGCGCATGTACTGATTCATACACACACTTTTCAATTTTTGTTATGGAGAGTTTCCATTAGATGTACAATTTAAAAAACACCAAAACATAGTATCTCTTACAAGTCCACAACTGAAACTCCTTTCTTTATTACACCTAATATGACAATTAAGTTTGTAAGTTAATGAGAAACTACAGTACAGTCACAAAAAGGTATTTCATAAAAAATTGTCAACAGTTAATATGAATTGTAGATCTCAATATCTGTCCCCTCCAGAAATAATAGGAATAAAGTCCGCAATATATTTTATGGACCTAGTATGAGATCTAACTTGGGTAGCGAAACCCTTGTTTTACATATATGTGCTATATATAATAATTTTCAGAAATTGATACCAAGCATTGACATTTTTCACGATTCCTCCTCTGTTTTTAGACAGATTATTATTAGAAAATTACATAATTTCAATTTACATTGTAACTAATTTTTAACTTTTATTATTTTTTAACAATTGTCTTAAGTAAATGCTATGTACACTTGTAATAGATATACATATCAGGTACTTACTTAATATTACTAATAAGATTATCAGAATGTATGTATATTATTATGTTATGTGCTTTTATAAATAAAAAATAGAATAAAAATAAATGCAACAAAATTCAAAAACATATTGTGTAGATTTCAAGTACCTGCTAAAAACTTTCCAGTAAACAAAAGTATATACTTTAGATTCAGTTATTTTATAACCCAATCCAAATTAATAACAATTGTAAATATTAACTTTTTAGGTTATTATTATAATTTTTTGCGAAAATATTATAATGTTATACCCTTAACATTATTCATAAAATTTATATGAGCATTGAAAATTCAATGTACATACACTATAATTTCTTGTCTGTAGAGACTTACCTAACGGAGGGAACTTCTTTAGGTTGTTGCTCTTGTTTCTGTTTTTCCACTTGAACACAAAGGGCCCTGACATTCTCTGCGGCATTAATGAAAAAATTATCTTTTCGAATTTCTTTAGGGATGAATGGTTTGAAGGTAGGTTCCCTTTTTTTCATGTCAACCTCACTCGTATCTTCGTACACACTAAAGGCGCGAAATTGGGCCACAGGGGGTACAATATTTTTTTCATTTTTGATCTGCCGTAGTGTTCTATTTTCATCTTGAACTTTACAAGGTCCATTCGTCGATCCGGCCTAGAATTGTTTGTAAAATTAATAAAATTTACGTTTCAATGCTATTTGGTAAACAAGAAAACAACTTACGTGCTTCACATTTCTGTTTTGGTTACAAGCAAATTGGCTAAGATCTCCTAGCGCTCGCCGTTGGGAGGCCGCTGAAAATACATCACCATCCTTTCTAAGCCCTAGAGCTGTGTTTTCTTGGTCCTCGTGAATTCTGAATGATGCCATTGCCCCGCTTGTTCCGTGAAGTTTAACGGCAAAATTTAAGGAATTAAAGGTGTTTAATATTTACAGAACGCCTTATTCAAGCGGAAATAAGTATGGGTTATATTACGAGGACAACATTTTAAGGAATAATGTGTGTAGTCTTAAATTTCAGCTGGTAATAAATTGAAAACACCCTCAAATAACGCTAACCAGCATCAACGGATAACAGACATTTTGCTAGGTTCAGCTGTTGCAGTTTACAATAGTCTATTGTTTGTGGTATTTTAAATTTCAGCCAATGGTGTAAAAGGAGTAAAATCTTTTAGTCTATGTATAAACGTTATTTGAATCAAAAAAATTAAACATGAGGGCTTAAAGTCTGAATTATTTTTGTTTAATTTTGGAGAATTCGTGACGATTATTATTTTTTTCTCTATATTTTTTAAAATTACTAATTACAGTAGAATCCGCGTATAATGAAAGCGATAAATTATAAAAAAAGTGTACATAATACATATATATGTACATAAATCACATATTTTTTATATAAGAAATCAATCCTTTTTTTCCCGCTTTTGTTTTTTCTTTAGATTGTATTGGCCTTGGTCAGTTTTTTTTTCGATATGTACACATATACGAGCGAAAGTGTTAGGAATCATGTCGGTCACTTTAACCGAACATAACTTTTTAAAAATATCAATATGCGACATGTCACTATAAGCGAAATCATTATAACCGACTTTGTTGTAAAGAATTTTATATGGAAACCAAATTTCGTAATTACGCCATAATATTAAACGGTTGGTCAATATAACCGGAATCATAATTAACGGATTCCACTGTATACATTTTCAGCGATAGGTCGTGGACAGTATTAAACCTTACACTTTATATTGCTCAAAAATTTGAATTATATATATATAATTCTTATTTGCCATGTAAGGACAGAAAGCCTCTTAATTTTATAAAAAGTAGTCTTCTAAAATGGCAATGTTATTAAAACATTTAAGTGTTTCAAAACATAACTGTAACTTAAATAAACTATCTTTTCGACTCACGGGTCTCTCCCGTGACCATGATTGCTATAAAGCACTTGAAATGGCAGGAACCAAAAATCAAAACAAATCCGCGAAAAAGTCCGAAAATATAGTTTTATTTCTTACAGTATCTTCATTTTTTTTCTCTTTATTTTAAGGCTTTTATTTCGAAAATATGCTAACCCTATCATACCTTAATCTTTATATTTAAAGAGGTGTCTATGATAATTTTATGACTTACTAGCATTGCCCGCGGCTCCGCCCGCGTTAATATGACCAAAACCAAATTCTTAGGTTTTATCTCCTATTAGTATATTAGTTGACCCGGATAACCAGCTATTACCATACCAAATTTCTTCAAAATCCCTCCAGTGATTTTTCTGTGATGCGGTCACAGACAGACAGACACACAAAAATTCTTAAAACTATAGGTTCGGCCTCTGTTAGCGATAATAATGTGTATTTCAATAAAATTTTCCAAAAAATATTTAAAGCACAGATACTGCTTCATTAAATTTTAATGTATCTATAGATGTAACTAATTTATAAAGCCAAAAAGATTGTTTTTTGATAATTTGAACACGGGCGGGGCCGCGGGTAATTTAGTAGTAATTCTAATAAAATCATAGAAAGGTCGAATTTGTACATTCAATTTTTTGGAATTAAAACTACGTATTTTAAAGACTTATGGCGACATCTATTGACAAATATCTAAATAATACAAAAAATAATTTTATTAAAATATTTTTTTAATGAATAAAATAGAGCTATTGATATACTTTTTCAAGATTAGCTATTTTTAATAGTTTTTCACATATTTAGTAAGTTAACTTGCTAAAATCTATATAGTACCATCGTTTTTTATTCTAACCAGTTTTTGTATTTTTTCTCAGAAATGAGATATTTTTCTGCGGTAAAAAGTATTCTATATGTTGACCCGGATAATCAGCTGTGACCATACCAAATTTCATCAAAATCCGTCCAGTAGTTTTTCTGTGATGCAGTAACAGACAGACAGACAGACAGACAGACAGACAAAAATTCTAAAAACTATAGATTCGGCCTCTGTATCGATAATAATGTATATTTCAATAATATTTTCTAAAAAATATTTAATGATTTGACTTAGAATTTTATTATATGTATAGATAATTTATATACTGACCATGGATGACAAATAAAGATACTGATTACTGGCAATACTTGACAGTTGACACTTGACACTGACAGTTGACACGATTAACTTAAAGTTGTCTACAAAAGAACCAAGATCAAAAAGAAACAAAAATAAATAAATTTAATTTCAGATTAGTTTCGTTTTAAAAGGAATTAGAATTGATTTTATATTAAATAATTTTTGTTTTCAATAATTCTTTGGTTTTCCTTTGCTATTATAAAAAATGTATAAATTAATTTTAAGTATATTTCTAATTTTGTTTATCAAATGCGAAATATGTTATACGTTAAGGGAATATAGTAAAGAAGATATATTAAAGTTAAGGTAAATTATAAAGGTAAGATAAATCATTAATAACAAAAAAAGACGATTCTATAAACATTTTTATTAATTATAGAGAAGAAGTTAGAGAAATGTTTCAACATGCCTATGACAGTTATCTTCGTTATGCATATCCATATGATGAATTGCGTCCCTTAAGTTGTGATGGAATAGACACCTGGGGAAGTTATTCTTTAACTCTTATTGATGCCTTGGATATGCTGGTAATTATGGGCAATTATACAGAATTTAATAGAGTTGTTGACATAGTGCTGGAAAAACAAAATTTTGATGCAGATATAAATGTATCAGTCTTTGAAACAAACATAAGAATAATTGGAGGTTTACTTAGTGCACATCTTTTATCATACAAGTGAGTTCAGTGTTGTTAAAATATAATAAATAATTAAAAAAAAATCTTTATTATATTGTAGAAACAGTAAATGGCCACTGATATGTGTTTCAGATCAGGTATGAAGGTAGAACCAGGGTGGCCATGCAATGGACCTCTTCTCCGGTTAGCAGAAGATGTAGCACAAAGGCTAATTACAGCTTTTGATACTAAAACTGGCATGCCTTATGGTACAATCAATTTAAGATCAGGTGTGCCACCAGGCGAAACAAGTGTAACTTGTACAGCTGGTGTAGGAACCTTTATTATAGAATTTGGGACATTAAGTAGGCTCACAGGAGATCCTTTGTATGAAGAGGTGGGGATAAGATTATATATATAAATTATACAGTATTCACTATTCATTTATTCATTCCATTTTTACTACTGTTGATTACTGTTGATAGGCCTATTCTTTCATACCCCATTTTTCTCATTCTGAGACATGGTGTTCCACAGTCTACTACTGCCATCCTACTGCCTTTACAATGTTGTTTGACCGCCTTGTTGGAGGTTTTATACAAAGCACATCTTTATTAATTCACTGATGAAATCTGTTATGTAATTTAGAATTTCTTAACTGTGTTGTTTGTTTAATAAAAATGGTCATTATGGAATTTTAATTTAATAATATGTTATACTAAAAAAGTATTTTGTAACTTAATAGGTGTTATATATTTTTACTTCTAGGTAGCCCTCAATGCATTAAAGGCTTTATACCATCATAGGTCTCCAATAGGTCTTGTTGGTAATCATATAGATGTGATGACAGGTCGTTGGACTGCACAAGATGCAGGGATAGGTGGTGGAGTTGATTCCTACTTTGAATATTTAGTTAAAGGTAGACTGTATTATATATTTTTTTAAATTAGATGGTTAAGAAATTTCTCTTAATTTAAACTTATTAGTGGGGTCAAGATAGTTTAAGTTAAGAGTTCCCCATACTCCTTTTAAATTACAGTTTGTTTTTTGTTTTAGGTGCGATTTTACTTGAGAGACCAGAACTCATGTCAATGTTTAATGAAGCAAGACAAGTGATTGATAAATATTTAAAGAAAGATGACTGGTATGTGTGGGCTACCATGCTGAGAGGTCATGTCACTTTGCCAGTGTTTCAGTCACTCGACTCTTACTGGCCCGGCTTGTTGAGTTTGATTGGTGAGTCTTCAAATTATAATTTCTTATTAATATCTATATAGAAACTTTTAAACAACTTTTAAGGCATTATAGTTGAGCTAAACATTTCATATGTGGCTCATACACAGCAAGGGAACTTGGGCTCTGAAATCTTAAACAAAAATATTTTTGTGAAGATACATTTTGTGATTTTTTAAATATAGGATATTTTAGGTTGCATGCTTTGTAACCTTAACGGCTGTTTTAGCTTTTTACATAAAAATATTTTTATATACATATATATTATCAATAATGAATTGATACTGTAGATTGGTAAATATTTTATTTTATTATTCACCTGGGTTTGTGGCGCGCGATTAAGATTTTTATTTAAAGAATTTTCATTAAAATCGATCCAGAGTTTTCAGGATAATTCAATGTATGTCATTTTGCATTGCTTTAAATATATAACATTTTACTTTACTGAATTCATATTACTCTATACAGGCGAGAGTGACACAGCCATGCGTATAATACACAATTATCACAGTGTTTGGAAACAATACGGTTTTACACCAGAAGTGTATAACCTCGGTACAGGTGAAGCATCCTCTTCAAGGGAAAGTTACCCTTTAAGACCAGAACTGATAGAATCAATTATGTACTTGTACAGAGACACTAGAGATCCGATATTATTGCAAATGGGGGAAGATATATTGAGAAGTATACAGCATAGTGCGAGAACACCTTGTGGATATGCCACGGTAATAATAACTTCCTAATAAAATTATACATAATGAATGTGAAGAAAAAAATTTATTGTGTAATACCTGTAATTTAGTCTGCACTAATTGAATAGGAAGAAAAAAATGAGGTAGAATTATATATGAAATACGTAATGATACAGTACCCAATAAGGATATTTCCAAACAAATTGCTAATATTTTAGATAAATTCATTCCGTCTCCTATATGAAACTTCTTATAATTAGTTAAGCGATATGGTGAAAACAAAAATATGTTATATGGCAATTTATTAGGACTTTAAATAATTTTACTATTTTTTTTGTATTACATATTTATACAAACTTTCTTTTTTCCATTAAATAAAATTCGAAATTTAAATTGTTAACGTTATGCCTACCTTTGTATTTTTTTTTTATTTAGACAATGAAATTGTGTTGTATTCCAAATTATTTCAGATAAAAGATGTTCGCGATCATCGTAAAGAAGATCGCATGGAGTCGTTCTTTTTAGCAGAAACGACCAAATACCTGTACTTACTGTTCGATCCCGACAACTTCATTCACAATCCCGGAGTCCACGGGACCGTAATAAATACACCTAATGGTGAATGTATAGTGGACATGGGAGGATATGTGTTTAACACGGAGGCCCATCCCATTGATCCATCTTTGTTGTATTGCTGCCATGAAGCTGGACAAGGGTGAGTGTGGGTTGTTATTGAAGATGGGATTATGTGTACATTAAGTGCTAAAATATGAGACGTTAAATTTAACAAAAATAACTTTTTTGTTGTTCTTTTTTAAATCTAATGATAGTAGCTATTAGTTAAGAAATTTTGCAATAAAATTTTATTTATTGATTATGTACAATATTGTTAATATAGCAAAAATACGCATCGTTATTAACACGTTAGGGAGAATTTTAAAATATACAGGATTAATAAACACATTCAAGTATATGAATATACAAAAAGATCCAGACTAGGAGTCTAGACAATCCTCTTAGATTAATAAAATACATAATTTCATGATAATAGATTCACAAATAACAAATATTTAGAACATACAATTTATAGGCAAACATATTAAGGTAATTTTAGCGAAATATAAATGCTGGTAAAATTATCGCACACTAGAATCGGCCTGCGACTTCTCGCGCTACCGATTGTAGGTACAATCTAATTATTTTGTACAGATAAATGTATCAGATTGACTTATCTGAGATTTAGTGATACTTTGAGTATCAGTAGGAATTTAATAAGTAGGTACTCAATAAAAAGTAAAAATAGTCAATACTTAAAACAATTAAAATCATTACATTATTCATATTTACTTTTACAGCGTAAACTTGAGTGAGGTGCATAGGATTTATCAAATATTAGATGAAGAAGATAACATACAGTTCATGACTATGTTAGATGCTTCCACTGATAATGTTACAAACGAAACTGTTGATACAAGCGAAAACCAATTACAAACTGATATAAAAAATAGCACTGAAAGTGGAAATGAAACAAAAATACCAGTAAAAGATAAAGACGAAGAAGGTCAGGTTTCAATTAAAACGGAAACTAGAACAGGCTACGTTAATATCGACGGAACGGAGAGAGAAAAGAGTAAAAACGAAAGTCTCGGTGATATTTTAAAAGAACATATAAGTAATTATTATAACAAAACAAATATTGATGAAAATAACAAAGATACTGAAGAATCTGTTAATAAATCAACACCGAAAGTAGAAGTGGATGATATAACGATTCCGTCAAGTGTTGAAGCTGAAAAATTACAACCGCCGAGTGTTACCAAAGCGAAGGAAGTCATGAAAATATTGCCAAAAGTTTGGCTCGATTTTCTTACAAACGATTGGGGATTTAAAAATAAATGTGAACCACAACATATGTTGGAAAGGATTCGCAAAGAGAAAAGATATCCCGATCACCCTGATGTTAATAAATACAGCCTTCTATTAACGCCGGCGCCATCTTTCTTGCAACGGATATCGTTAGCCGGTGAATTCTTAAATAAAAAACAATTAGAGCTGTAATACACTTTGTGTGTTCGTCGTGTTACTTAATTTATTTTTTAATATATGATGTTGATTGTTATGTATAATTCAGAATAAAAGACTGAAGAAAAAAATTATACCTTTTTAATTTTAGCTGCAATAGTATTAGAAATATAAAGTATAAACTTTGGCTGGAAAAGATTGTATCTTTGCCACATTAATTGCACATCATATTTTCCTAACCGATGACTAAAAATAACAATGCAGTATATTTAAATTTAGTTGATTAAATTACTCCAGTTAATCAATTTGCTACGAAAATGAAACAATCTTATTTGAAGCAAAACTAAGGTCAAATAAAGGGAAATATAACTATCACGCTAATTAAAAAAAAACAAATCTAACCATTCAATACTGAATATTTGTTTGAAAAAGAACTGCTTTTCATTATTCTGTGATTATATGTAGATCTGTTTTTAAGCAGAATGTAGAAGATGTATTCCGTCATTGTGGCATATTGTCATAACAGAATTTTTGTATGTACAAATTTCAGTGATGTAAACTATAATTTAAAAAGTAAAAATGCCCTCTACCTGTCTTGATGTGAAGCCGGTTGACCAGAAGATTATTTGGAATGCTGGATGGCGCGATGTTAATATTTTAACGCGTTCAAATTATCATGACCGAACTGAAAACTACTGTATCCGAAGAAAATACGTTATCTACTAAAGGATATAAACTAACTAAATTCGTTGGTGAAGGAGCATACGCTAAGGTGTCGCACAATAACGTTTTAGTGTGTTAGTAATGTTTAATTACAAAATCATAATAATAATTTCGTAATTTGTTTGCCAGGTTTATTTAACTGAATATTCAGGAAAAGAAGATAATAATAAAATAACACTTGCTTGCAAAATTATCGAAACATCAAAAGCTCCCAAGGATTTTGTTGTGAAATTTTTACCTCGTGAGATTGATGTGCTCATACGTTTAAATCATCCTCACTTAATTCACGTTCATAGTATATTTCAAAGAAAAACCAAATATTATATTTTCATGCGATATAGTGAAAATGGCGATCTTTTAGGCTATATTCTAAAAAACGGTTGTGTTTCTGAGAACCAATCGAGGGTCTGGCTGCGGCAGTTGGCTTTAGGTTTACAGTATTTGCATGAATTAGAGATCAGTCATAGAGATATTAAATGTGAAAACGTATTATTAACAGCGAATTTTAACGTTAAGTTATCCGACTTTGGATTTTCAAGATTTTGCGTCGATGAAGAAGACGAATCAATTCTAAGTGAAACTTATTGCGGTTCTATGTCATATGCAGCACCAGAAATACTACGAGGGAAACCTTATCTACCGAAACCAACTGACCTGTGGTCTTTAGGAGTTGTACTATTTGTGATGTTAAATAAATCCATGCCGTTCGATGATACACGTATGAGGAAGCTTTATGAGCAACAGATGGGCAAGAAATATAGATTTAGATCACGAGTCGCAAGTATTCTCTCTTTAGAGTGCAAATCTGTCGTCAAACACTTGCTAGAACCAGATCCTGGACTAAGACACTCGGCCACACAGATACTAGGCTCAGATTGGATTGCTATGGATAGTAGACTTACTAGTAAGTTAAGACGTTTTAATACGTGCTCATTATTAAAAATATTGAAAGATTATATTTACCTTATTGAATTATTTTAGCTCTTAACGCAGTAGAAGCCGCTGCTCTTCAAAGAGCAAAAGACGAACGTCATAAATTATCCGACATACATAAATACAAATTAAGACAAGGAGATATTTTAGAAAGACAACGCGGTGAATCTACTAATAGGGTAGGTATTTTATCTATACTTCTATATTAATATTATAAAGAGGTAAAGTTTGTGATATTGTGAGTTTGTGACGTTGTAGGGGTAATCTCTGGATCTACTGAACCGATTTAGATGAAATTTGGTAGGAAGATAGTCTGAGACCCTGGGAAGGACATAGGATACTTTTATACCGGAAATCATCCCTTAAGGGGGTGAAAGTTTGCATTGGGAAGCAATCTAGGGAAAGCTTACCCGAGCGAAACGAGGGTGAGTCGTGAGTCGCTAGTATTTTATAAATATAGTTGGGAGAAGTAATTTACATTGACATTAATTAATGTAATTTATTTTTTTATCGAACAGACTAGTGAAATGATAAAATCTCTTGCCAACATAATTATAGCAAAGCAAAAGAAAACGGATTAAATGGAGGGAAAAGTTAAGGTTTTATCTTTATTAATTTTTTTATTTTAATAGAATTTATAGACTCTTTATTACTAAAATATTTTTTTATGTAAATGTAGCTTAATATAATTGAAGATTTAAAATTAACTGGATCTGAACAGTTGACTCTTGCTACTCGGGGATATAAAATTATAAAGAAAATAAATGAGGGCTCGTATGCAAAGGTAGGTTCCTAATATAGCATAATACCTGTACCTATAAATAATTAATGTAAATATATTTTTCATAACGCCATGTGTAAACAGGTTTACTTGGCAGAATATAAAAATCCAAACAAGAATGATAAACTATCAGTATTAGCTTGCAAAGTTATCGATACCACTACAGCTCCTAAAGATTTTGTGAGAAAATTTCTACCGAGAGAAATAGATATGTTAATAAAACTAAATCATCCACACCTTGTACACACGCACAGTATATTTCAGAGGAGATACAAGTATTTTATATTCATGAGATACATGGAACATGGAGATTTGCTTGAACATATATTACAAAAAGGCGCAGTCCAGGAAGATCAGGCTAGAATTTGGACCAGACAGCTCGCTCTCGCTATACAATACATGCATGAGCTAGAAATTGCGCACAGAGATATTAAATGTGAAAATGTTCTTCTAACTGCAAATCAGAACGCTAAACTTTCAGATTTTGGATTTGCTCGAATGTGTGTCGATAACAGGCTCAAAGATATATCTAGCGATACATTTTGCGGGTCACTATCTTACACGGCGCCAGAAATCTTACAAGGCTCTCCGTATTTACCTAAACCTACTGATATTTGGTCATTGGGTATTGTGATATACGTAATGTTAAACAGGGCGATGCCATTTGAAGATAAGCACATAAAACAACTGCATCAAGCTCAAGTTAATAAAAGTTGGCGTTTTCGAGCTCGGTATATAGACGCCTTATCAGATAATTGCAAAAGACTAGTCACATTGATGTTGGAACCAAATTATCGTCATAGAATAAAGATAGATTCTATAATAAATAGCGAATGGATCGCTATGGATACTAGACTACTGGGTTAGGATATAAAAAAAATAATAATTTTGTTTTATTATTAAAATATATTATTATTATTAAAGCCAATTATTTTAGAGTGGACTTCACAAGAAACGAGTGCTTATAAAAAGGCAAGAGAGGAGAAGAAACATTTGTTGAAGAATTTGGAAATAGTAGATTCTATCAAAGACCCTATTCCACAAGCATCTATTGTAAAAAATACCTGTGGCATAAGTGAATCTTCTTCATCATAGCAAGGCCATCGATCATATCGGGTTTCATTAATTCTTTTAGTGTATCAAGCAACAAGGGTGCAAAACGAAAAAGTTTTTAGGTAAATTTCTAAGACAGGGCAAAATAAAACTCTGGCACATTAAAATTGACAGTTACCAATTTTACCAATTACATATTTGACATATAATCTCGTAACATCGAAAAATGTAACAAACATTTTTAGGATATGATAAATTGTAAGAAAACACTAGCGATAATTTAAATTCCTCGCCACCATGCTGCGGGTAAAAGTCAAGATAAAATAATTATGTGTGACAAGCATCGTCACACAAATGTGTCCAGCAACCGAAAAGCTCGAACTAACTACGACCCAGTCTGATATCTTAGCGTTGCAAGAGAAAGGATTTTTATTAGAAAAAATAATCGGAAAAGGCTCCTATGCTAAAGTTAGTATATGTATTGGGTAAATTATCCCATACGAAGTGAATAATTTTGTAAACCTTGATGTAAGCGGAAAGCGTGGAATACTAAGGTTCTATTTCATCTCAAACTATTAGAATATAAGAAAGAACGTGGCGTTAATAAACACGTATTTTTGCAGGTGTTTAAAGCTACACACATGGTTGACGAAACTCGCCATCGCATTATGGCCTGTAAGGTAATAGATACAGCGCAAGCCCCTCGCGAGTATTTCACAAAATTCTTACCACGCGAGCTTGACATCCTAATTCGTGTCAATCATCCTCACATTGTGCACGTATCAAATATATTCCAACGTCGTGCTAAATATTTCATTTTCCTCCGTTTCGCTGAAAACGGTGATTTACTAGATTTTTTATCACAAAATGGAGCTGTACCAGAGAACCAAAGTAGGCTGTGGATGCGACAAATTTTATCCGGTATACATTACATACACACTTTGAATATAGCTCATAGAGATTTGAAATGCGAAAATATATTGATTACATCAAATTATAACGTAAAGATAACAGATTTTGGATTTGCACGTAACGTTCGTCAGAGAGACAGAGATTTATTAAGTGAAACGTATTGCGGGTCGCTTTCGTACGCTGCTCCTGAAGTATTGAAAGGCGTGCCGTATTTACCAAAACTGGCAGACATGTGGTCTATCGGTATCATTTTATACACAATGCTCAATAAAGCTTTACCTTTTAATGAAACGTCAGTTAAGAAATTGTACGAGAAACAGGTAAAAGGCATTTTTTCAATATGTGTAGGAAGTTCGTTAATAGCCATTATGTATAGGTAGACTTAAAAATAGACAAAGTAGAATTCGTAAAAGTAATGTCAAGACAACATATTTTTGTAGTTGAATCTTTAAACTAAACTCAAGTATTAAGAATATATTGTATTTCCGAGTGTGTTAAAAAATAAATATGACTAACCCACTGTACATGAAGGTAATGCGTAAATGGCGTTTCCGCACGAGCGTGGTGAACCAACTGTCCACAGAGTGCAAGCAGCAGGTGACGCAGCTGATGGAGCCCGAGGCGAAGGCGCGCCCAACCGCTGGACACATATTCAACGGACCCTGGATAGCTATGGATGAACGACTTACAAGTAATTATATTTTTACGTAAATCAATGTCTTTATATTTATGTAATATTCCTTGTTGTCGCTTTTCCTTTTTGTCTTGAATTTATGCAGTTTTCCTTGTTAGGAGGCAAAAAAGACGGTGACACCTCAATTTTTGAATGTTAGATGGTTGGTTACTATCCAATGCAATGACATTAAATTGTCATAATCTAAGGTCCACATAAAATAGTCTGAGAAGCATTCAATCTGCGACCAGCGAGGGAATAAACACCAGTCATATTCTAATATGCCACTATGTTATTCGCATAGTACAAGTGCAATTTTCGCTTAAAGCTTGGTGTTTTTTTTTATTTTGCTTAATTTTTTTAGTTTAAAGTAAACCTTTATCTCTTCTGAGTATTAGTATTACTCAGATACTATAACATTTATTCATACATTACGGCTTCAGGCTTACAATAATTGTCACCCATGTTCCCTTTTAGAACTAACATTTTTAGAAGAATCTCTTTTAAAACAAGCTCAAGAAGAATCCATGAGAAAAGAAAGAGAACACTTTGACGAGGAAACTGAAGTGGAACGACTCGCGGAGTTACGGCGTAAAGGGAGAGGGAAAGGTCATCTATTGTATTTGAATAAAATTGTATTTTATTTATTATATATTTTATTTCTTTTAAGTTAATATATTTATATAAAAAACGACACTTCATGAACTATTTTGATAATTAGTTGTTTTATAATAAATAAATATTATATTTCAGAGGGTCTAAAAATACTAAAAAATGCGGATTCAAATTTTGCTAAATCGCAACCGTTGTTGGACGATAAGGAATAAAAAAAATACTTTTTAATTTATCCAGTGTTTATTAACTTTTACATTTCATATTTATTTAAGTTATTGTAAAAATTATTTAATACAGTATTTGTATAAACGAGCTGTTATTATTTTTGGTGACGTTTAGTCACCAGTTAATACTTATTATTCTTATCAATATTACAAAGCTATGGAAGACAAGGGTCCATTATACTGGTTAAATGTACAGACTGATTCTTTTTAGAAGTACGTGATTTAAATTTTTTAATGAGTCTGCATTTCACATGTTTTCTCAAAACCTTTTTTTCAAAACCTTTACACCTATATTATTTTTAAAAACAAATCATTAAACTTTTGTATCGTAAGTCCAGAAGAGACTTATTTCTAAAACGAATCAGCCATATAGCAACCATGAAGGGCGAATTACAACATTCATATAAGATTTGGCACAGCGTGTTAGGAACAGGTTTGGATATTTACACTATAAGTAAATCGTCCAAAATTTGATAAAAGGCTAAAAATTCAACAATTTTGCTGCCAAATATTCTTAATGAAATGTTTAATTTAAAAATAAATATTGGACCATCGCTTAATTTAAACTTGTTCCGTGATATAACATTGTTTTCTTAAAAAGACATTTTTTATCGTTAACATTCTTCGTAGGAAAGTATCCATAAATGCTGTATACATATATGTACATATATATAAATATATTGTGCGACATTAGGGCTCGAGTCAGTAATATGTAAGGATTTTCATATTAAAGTACAATACCTATATATTCTTATTTTTAAATAATATTTTAAATGATTCATTCACAAATACACTTTTTAAATACTAACAATGAAAACTCTTAGAAAACTCAACGTGTAATTCTTCAACTACCCTATAACTGAGCTACAGTAACAACTGTTGTAACTCTTACAATTACTACCTACTCTAAAATATTAGCAGCAAATAGAAATGAGACCAGTTTTGTATTGTCACTTCTCAGTCATTTTCTAAAAAACTACTTATTAACCATAATGCAAGAAGTTGTAAATCATAACAAAAATGTAAAAGAAACAAAAAATATACTATTTCATTACAGAATTAAAGAGTTAGATCTCAGAGCTTGCGAACAGGCTATGTCATTATTGTTCAGCTGAAATTGTTAAGGGTAATTAGTCTAAAATACATGTACTTATTATCGTACCCTAAGTACGTATCTGCTGTAAATTGGATGTCAACTGTCAAAGTACAATAGCTGGTTTTAATATAATATGTTTTGTAATCTGTGCTTAACATACAGCAGCCCATAACAAGAGACTTGAATCGTTGAACATATGTTTTACAGAGTAAAAAAGTTGACAAAAAGTTCAGCAAGTGCTTTAAACTTTATAGGTCATTAATTAAATTTGTTCAAACAATAGGTAAATTAATACATAAATTAAAAAGTTTTCACCAAAAGTCACCGCAAAACTTTCATGATTGTCATAAATAAATTCTACTTCAACGAAGATTTGACTAAAAATCCTCTTAAACTTCAACTTTGCGAAAATGACTCAATAGCTCTGGGATCTTGGAACTGTTAATTGTTTCCTTGCAAGAAACATTGGAATGTCTCATAAAACCGGGCAACATTGACATTTCTTTATTGCTTATGATTTTAATTTCAATTTCATCAATTTTAGCTCAAACATTTTTAAATATCTTTCTCCATTAACCTATAAACCACGCTTACTCATGAAATGATTTTTGGCAGTTAAGACTCAATAAAAATACCTTGGACTAAAGTTACATTGTTTTGTCAATAAATTATAACACATTGTTCGTATCATTTTAGCACCAACTTTATAATAAACACCAGTTGATAAATAATAAGTACACAAATTATATCAAAAAAATTAAATTAAAACTGTAAAATACATAGATGATGACTTTATAATATTCCATTAAATATAAATGATCGATAATAAGACAATAAGCCTGCAATTGGAAAAAAAAACAGTTTTTACTATTGAATTGCATATTTCCTAAAAGATGTTAATAAATAAATAAAAAAACTTAATTATAGTCCAAGGTATAGAACTGGAATTGAAGATTTAAAATGACACTTGCCAGTTCCGTTTCCATACTTATTATGATATGATACGTATTTGTGTTGAAAACATTAATATATTCTTTTATTACAATACTAGATTTCATAGCACGACTGGAGTAAAATAACGGTCAAGTTTTATTTCCCACGTCGCATTTTCGTGTGCGTTTGATAACTGTTAATACGACGGCGGTACCTAGCCTTAGGTTCAACGATAAATTAATTTCTATTTTTAATACTTTAATAGCTGCTAAATTAGTCAACATATCGTTGTCTCAATGCTTATTTGTCCATACGAATAATTTACCGAAAGAGTTTTTAAATACATACTTTTAAATGTCAATTCTATTGATTTTAGAAACACGTTTTACTTTGATAAAGCCAAAAAAATTATTTTATCTATATAGGCATGTAAATATAAGAAATAATGCTTTATTTTTAAAAGAGGAAAAAAACTACTGTAAAGTACAACAAGTATTGGTCATTTATGAACAAATAAGCACTAAGGCGACAATTTGTTATACATAATACTCCAACGTGATTGCAATGAGACAATAATAAAGACGAATAATATTTATCAATCAAAATATACACCAAATAAATAAGTCTTACTAAAATTAAAACAATATGTTAATTTAAAATATCAATTATTTCATTAATGAACACGTGTTGAAGTATTATGTAGCTTTGGAAAGTAACAATTGTGCTAGTTTATAAATAGGCTGTTGCCATTCGTCTGATAATAATCACATAAATAAAAAAAAACAATTATTCGTCCTAATATTGTCGGTGTATCATGAATGTCTAACAATACTACTTTTTTGTATTCCAATAAAAAATATTAATTTTTGATGCAAGTTATTGATCTGAAATTTGAAATTTTACAAAATTGTATAAAACAATTTAAAAAATAACGGGCTATAAATATTTTTGAGCTCATTCGCTCTCATACCTATGTATTTTAAACATAATTATCACCATAGATTATTTAAAAACCGTCATAAACCGCTAAGATTATTAGAACAAAAAAGTCATAGTTATTAATCATAAACCGAAAATAGCTGGACGAATAATAATTAAAAAAAAATATGATTCAATCGATTATATCGTACGAATGAATAGACATTTGCTTATAAATAATTAGGCTAGGCGTGCCTCGACTAGACTAGTGCGCGCGCGCGGCGTCACGCGGGGGAGAGACAGCCGACGCGACGCCCGCTACTGACTTTACCTTCATCATCTGTTCAGTTTGAAAGCACGTATTAATTTATTTATTAATAATACTGGACATAAATAAAATTTAAGTACATGGTGCAAATTGGTATAATAACTAATATTTGCATGAGAATTATCTTTTTTTAATAGGTTATAGTTATTAGTTGTGTATGATATTATATTAAGGACTGGCATTTGGCATTGACATTTAATTTAAATTTAAAATGTAAAATTGACGATTCAAAAGTGCTTGTAAAAGTCTATTTGAATAAAGTATATTTGATTTATTAAAATTCGTGTCAATCATCTGGATTTAGGCGATGATGATGATACATGATGATGTATCATCACTTGGTATGATGATACCAAGTTATGTTATCAAATCAAACAAACAAAAATAAATCACTTTGTTTCACGCTATATCTGTGCTAATTACTAAAATAGTAGTGGCAATAAGAACTCCATGCGCAACTTATTAGGTTTTTGAGCTTGCCAAAACACAAATAACAAAAAAAAAAAACAGAAATCTTAAAATATAAATCTTAATAATTTTAATTATATATTAATAATCAGTTAAAAATATGAAAAATATTATAATAGTAAAATGTGTTAATACCCAAGTCACCATCACTATGTTAATATACCACACCATTCTTGGTTAGATTTGTTAAAAGTGAGTACTTTTCACTACTGTGCAGAAGCTTTACACACCACCGTAATTTTTTTTAAATATTTATAAAACTAAATAACACATTACCCCAATAGGAGAATTCGCCTCTTATATAAGTTTTATATCATCAGCAAATCTAGAAATAACTTTCTTAAACAATATTAAGTTACTCTTTAATGCTGCAAGTAGAATTGTCATTTTAAACTAAAGAGGTTTCTGATAAATGTTAAAGAAGTTTCAAACATCATTGAAATTATGGACTTTATACCTTCGGACATTTCCTCTATATTTCTGCCGTTTTCACTTTGTCTTATTTTCGATCGCATACATATTTTCCACACTAAAGATGTTTTATTAGATTTTTTTTATTTTTTGATCGATATACTATTTCTCGGAACTTTACTTTCCTGACTGGCACTGTGACTTGTTATTTATAACCCACTTTGCCATTAAAAAAAAAATCTGCCCGTCACTACCGATCTACCCAAATAATCAATTTATCTGCGATTTTCTTTCTATTACATACATATAATTTAAATGGAGGTTATGAAAATTTATATCTAAAGGAAAACCAAAAATGTAGATAGCTTATTGGATATTAATGTATAATTTGATTAATAAGGATTTTAATGTATTAAAAAGTCTCATTAATAGATATAGAAGCACTTTATAAAGTATTACTAATTATCCTACCTCTGCTGTTTTTTGTTAGCAGTGTGGAATACACGCTGATGTCACTTGTAGTGATCATTCGTATTTATAAACTTGACTAACAAGCAATAAAATACCTCATTATTCTTTAAAGAAATACCGTAATTATCCAAGTATTTATATTAAGATTCCAAACAACGTGACCTTATTCAATCACAGAAAAACGCATTTAGAAATACAATGTTTAGGGATCTATAGGTAAATGCATCGATCAAAGTACTAGATATACAATCCCATGCAAAAGTTCTCCTAAAACTGTCACCAATAATTGTGTTTAGGTCTAGTTGAAATATATATACAATAATAATAAATTGAACCTTAAATACAATGCTTAAAGTTGTTTTCACAAAAAATAAAAGTAAAAGCCCACTCATATGTTTAAATGAGCGCTCAATCGGTGAGGACATTTTTTTGTCGTTGATTGTGTATCTAGTACTTATTTGATCGATGAGTAAATGAAGATAAATCGCTTTTTCTAATTTATATGTGGCAGTGGGCATACATTTAGATTTTTTTTTGGAAAATGCTTTTACACATACCATACCGGCTCGAAAAGTTATATGTTTAGGGGTCTACCTGTTTAGAATAAGTAAATATAGATAACCCTTATAATTTATCTGTGGGTAGGTAATACGTATTTAAAAAAAATACAAACACCCATTTTTATTTGAGCCTTTCTTAAATTTGGATTTTATTTTTTGTTTTATATTAAAATAATCTTTGAACAATGATAATCTCGATGTATGAATTAGGGGTACGACGTGTTGACGTGTTAGTGTGTTAGCGTGTTAGTGCGTGTACTCACGGGCGAGGCGGGCGCGTCACCTGAGTCGTCGCGCAGCGGGCACAGCAGGTCGCCGAGGTCCAGCTCGTCCTTACTCTTCTTGCGCTTCAGCGAGAACTGACTCTTCTTTGGCACCTGGTAGGGATATATTTTGGACTTTATTTACACTCGTTTTTTTATACTTATCACTTAATTATTTATACAGATAAATAAAATTGAATTGTCTGTTTGCAATGTCAAAATAATAGCGTGTTACTAAATGCATATGAAATTATATACAGTACTTATACGAAAAACACTTTTTTTTTAATTTTTATCTGTCTGTTTGTTCCGGATAATCTCTGAAACGGCTGGTCTGATTTTGACGGGAGTTTCACTGGAAGATAGCTGATGTTATAGGGAGTAACATAGGCTACTTTTATTTTTTTTTTTAAATTTAGGATTCCGCTCAAAAAAATTAAAACGTACCCAGGGATGAACCCGAGCGAAGCGAGGGTGATTCGCTAGTATACAATATAGTTTGCGAGTGTGTTTGTTAAATTTTCAAGATATCAGTAAATTTACGATGTGTGTACTATATTTATAACACCTTTATTAAGAAATTTTAATTTTCGAAAAAAAAAGGATTCTTTTTTTTGAACATAAATCCCAAATTGATAATAATATATCATACGTAATGTATTATGTACAAATATAAGTTGGAATCTACTTATTTTATTTCTATTAAGCTTACAATATAAACAACACTGTAATTATATTTTTTCCTTCTTGTTGAGATCCTTTATATTAGTATTGTCTGATTGGTAGTAACTTCTGCGCCCAAGATTGCTTGTTGCATATTTATATTTAAAAATAATTAACGAACATCTCATATAAATAATACCAATAAAGATGTAATTTAACGCACCTTATATTTGGTAGTAGCTGTAAGCGGTTGATATCCGAGGGTTTGTTCAGCATTCCTTTTCTGTTGTATAACTTCTCGCCCGAGCAAATCGTTGAATCTGTAAACGAATTGGTTATTATTGTACTAGTGACACTATTTTTACACACATTGAGCTAGTTACGTTTTAACGTTTAGTATAGATTTCTTAGAAATAGGATATTTTCTTGCAGTAACAAGTATCCTGGATAACCAGCTATCGGCATACCAAATTTCGTCAAAATCTGTTCATTGCTTTTTGGATCGTGATGCGGTCACAGATAGACATAAATCCTAAAAACTATAGATTCGGCCATTGTATAGATAATAATTACTATTTCAATATGATTTTCCAAAAAATATTTAATGTTAGAATACTGTTAGAATTTTATTATATGCATAGATAATATGGGCGTTACAAATATTTAGATCGTTAGGTTTACCCATTTTGGGAAGTTCCCAAACAGAGAAGATAAAACAATTGTTTTGTAAAATTCTAATAATTATAAAAAAACGATAAAATGAACTCTTGGGCTGGACGGGAAACCATATTTAAGTTTCTTTCAATACGGCCAGTGGGTGACTTTTTATCATATGTATACTTCATGAAATTAGGTCTTGTGTATTTATTTGTGTGTAGTTACCTAATTTTTTATCAAAGTAGGAGATGACAGTGATACGTCGGAAAGTGAAAATTATTAAATAATGTATACAAATATTTAAAAATACAGTAAACTTTACTTTAATGTTGATTTTATTTTATTAAAAGTTATTAATAATTCCTCACTAAAGCATTAGCAACATAAACGAGCCCTATGATTTCAAACCAGTTGCAAGTTTTAGTGGGCGGAGCTAGATAGTTTTCTGTCCTTATCATTTGATGCTAATGTGGTACAGAGAAAGCGCTTTGCATGGTTCACGTGAATAGAGCATAGTTAAATTAAAAAAAAAACAAATATTAATTAACCTTTGTGTAAGATGCCGCCGGAGCAGAGTTTTATTCGCAGGGATGTTAAGTAGCGCCGCCAACAGCTCTGCCGTGAAGCGTGGCTCTAACAGCATTAGACCGCCGTGGACTCCTGTGAAATAGAAAGTGTTATTTAACCGACCTTCAAAAAGGACGAGGTTCTCAATTCGTTGGAGTGTTTTTGTTTCTTTTATGTACCGATTATACCAACTTCGAAAATACCTGATTAGGTATCCTGGATACTAAATGAAAACCCCGGTTTAGTTATTTTTTACATTTTAGTGCCTGGACGTCGGTTTTTTTAAGTTTTTATTTAGATTTATATTAAACGATTATTATAAATTGAGTTACTGTGACATATTACATTTCATCAAATCTCATAAAAGTAAATGAGAAACATGATGAATATCCCGTTTTATGGAAAAGTGTGGGACTTTGATCTATCGACGTAGGATCGTCTTAGGCTATTTTTTTGGTATTGTATACACAATTCGTCATTTTTTTCCTAATATACTTACATCCTAAATATACATTAAGATCTCTGAATACCAAAACAAACATTTACGTACGCCCAGCAAAGCGGGCGGGTGACAGCTAGTTTGTTTATATTTGTGACTATCTATCACAAAGTATATTGTCTCAATCTCAATAAAATGATTTGTGATTTTTGAGTTTATAGTTTATACAAAAAAATATTAAAAATCGACTTTCAGTTTCTTTCTGGATTTCTCAACTTCCGGGTATTTGATCCAATTTTTTCCCTCTAATTTAAATTATTACGAACATTTGTAAAAAAAAATAGTCTAATCGGTCTAGCTGTTCTCTGTTTTGTTATTGCATATAACTCAGAAATTCTCCATTTATAGAAATCTTAATAATAAAATAAATATACATATTTTTAAGTAATTAAGTACCTGCACCGCGCAGATTAGGCGCGTACTCGGCCAGGTCTATCTCCTTTAACCACTGCATGACCCGGTGCGACGACCAGCGCGCTATCTCCGCCGTCGCCGCGCCGTCACCCCCAACACCCCCAGGACCTCCGGCACCCCCAGAACTCCCGTTACCTCCAACACCCCCAACACCCCCAGCTTCACTTTCGACTTCCACAGGCTCGGTCTCTGGAGCGCGTCGGATCATCGTCTCTGGATTAAAGTTATTTTCGCGTAGGACTTGGATGCCTGTAATTATTACATTTAGTATTAGAATTGTAAGGACGCCTTTATGATTTTTATTTATAGATATTATATTTATTGTACTTGTAGTGGCAATGCTTTCTAATGTAAATTGCTTTTGGATTAAGCCTATATCAATATGTTTTAATGATTTTTTTTGATTAAGAAATTAATTATTAAAAAGTGCGAATATAAGTGGGAAATTCAAAGTAGTCTCCTACTCTGTTCCTTCTGAATATCAATGACATGTTGCAAATCAGTAACATTCATTGTTATGCAGACGATAGCACTGTGGATGCGCTGTACACTGGCCGCGCTAATATTTCTCGGGAATACGTCGACGAGAGCCGGAACAAACTCGTGTCTGAAGTCGAATCTTTGTTAACCAAAGTCTCGGATTGGGGTCGACTAAACTAATTCAACCCCAAAAAGACACAAGTTTGCGCGTTAATCGCTAAAAAGTCGCCATTTATCGTAGCTCCTCAATTTGAGGACACTCCTCTGTCTGCCACAGCCAGTATCGGAATACTTGGCGTCGACATATCGAGCAACGTCCAGTTCCGTGGTCAATTGGAAGGTAAGGCTAAACTGGCCTCAAAGAAGCTGGGTGTGCTCAGCAAGGCGAGACAGTACTTCACGTCGCGTCAGCGTCTTATTCTTTATAAGGCGCAATTCGGCCCCACATGGAGTACTGTTCTCATCTTTGGGCGGGAGCTCCCCAGTACCAGCTACTTCCATTTGACCGCATTCAACGTAGGGCGGCTCGAGTTATCGACGATCAAGCTCTCTCCGATCGCTTGATCCTTTAGCTCTGCGTAGAGATGTTGGGTCACTCTGCATCTTCTACCGCATTTATCACGGGGAGTGTTCTGAGGAATTGTTCGGACTGATCCCGGCTGCTGAATTTCGCGTCAAAATATTAAATTCCATCCACACCACCTCGATGTCCAGCGTTCCAGAACAGTGCGATTTTTAAGGCATTTCCTGCCCCGCTCAATACCACTCTGTGGAACCAGCTATCGCCGGCGGTCTTTCCGAACCGCTACGACCTGGCTACCTTCAAGAAGAGAGCGTATTCATTCCTTAAAGGCTGGCAACGCATCTGCAAGCCCTGCGGTGTTGCAGATGTCCATGGGCGGCGGTGATCACTTCTTCAGGTGAGCCTCCTGCCCGTTTGCTCCCTTAGTCCCATAAAAAAAAAATGTTGGGACATTAACATACATCACTGAACACACATCACGAATCTATGGTTTTCAGAATTTTTGTCTGTCTGTCTGTCTGTTACCGCATCACACAAAAACCACTGGAGGGATTTTATTTAAATTTGATATGGTGATAGCTGGTTATCCGGGTCAACGTATAGGATACTTTTTACCGCGGGAAAATATCTCATATCTGAGAAAAAAATATAAAAACTGCAATGTAAGAGTATATTAATATGTAAAACCTAAGAATTTGGTTTTTGGTCATCTGAACGCGGGCGGAGCCGCGGGTAATGCTAGTAAATAAATATAAATATGTTGGGACAGTAACATACATCGCCATCTAGTTCTATGGTAAGTTACGAGGCCTGTGTTCTGGATACCAGATAGTTGACACACTACACACATGTAACTTTAAATACATAGGTACATACATATTATAAACATAAACACCATGACTGGAGTACAAACATTCGTGCTCATCACACAAATGAAAGCCCCCAGCGGGAGTCAAACCCGCGTCACTACAAACTGAGCCAAACGTGTCGTCAAAATGACAAATCACACGAGTAGCTCACGCGCATACCTCGCCTGATGGAGAGCGCGTGCAGCGCGTGCGTGACGCGCAGGTGCGCGTGCAGGTCGGCGTGCGTGAGGCGGTGCAGCGCGCGCGCGTCCAGCGCCGCGTCCAGCGCGGCCGCGCGCGCGCCGCACACGCCCACGTCCTCCAGCCAGCGCAGCGTCCACGCCGTGTCCAGCCGCCCCGCCAGCGGCAGCAGCGGGTCGCCGTGCCCGCCCTGACACACATACACATATCAAGTGCAAAATGTTTATACATTAAAAGTATAGTATAACTAGCAAAACCCGCGGCTTCGCTCGCGCTAAAATTACAAAAAAATAATCTCTTAAAAGGTACGTTTCATATAAACTTTCATGCCCTATTTTACCCCCTTAGGGGATGAATTCTAAAAAATGGTAAAGCACGTATTTATTTAATTGTATTGAAGAAAATTAATACCAAGTTTCAAGTAATTCTGACGACAAATACTTTTGGGTTGTATTATACTAACGTGATTTCCCGTGAGAAAGAGATAATCTCCCGCGGTAAAAAATAGCCTATGTCACTCTCCAGCCCTCCAACTATATCCACACAAAAAATCACGCCAATCCGTATCTCCGTTTCGACGTGAAAGAAGGACAAACAAACAAACACACTTTCACATGTATAATATTATAAGTAAATAAGTATGGATATAGTGTATGTATTATATAATGTAGAATAGTATAGCATTAATAATAATAATAATAATATCATTTATTTCAACCTTCAAGGATCATATTTTGTTAGTAAAGACACACTGTAACCTAATGTTAGTACACATTTAACCTACTTAATCCTAAACCTTATCTAAGACAGCCTCGATTTGTCAGCATGTGCACCATTTGGCAATGGTTCAAATACTGACAATCGAGCCTGTCAGCAAATGCCCTCAGGATGCTATTGGAACTGGCCCGAACCCTGCGTGCCAGGGATGTGCACCGTTTGCGCATGATAGCGTAGAAACAATCTACGTGCGCCTCGGCGAACATACCCGACGCGCTGCACCAACGAGGCAGTCCCATCAGCATCCTGAATGCATTATTGTACTGAACACGCAGGGCACTATACTGTTTTTGCGTGTAATCGACCCACAGGCTGCTAGTATAAAAAGAAGTACAGTAAGCTCTAAAGAGGGTCACCTTAACAGGGATGGAACAACGAACGAACCTGTGTGCGATCATATTCGCCCTCACAGACAATGCCCTACGTTCTCTCTCTATATCAGCATCGTCTTTCAGGTCAAAGGATATCACATGACCTAGGTATTTATACTGAAACACCCTCTTTAACGGGGTACCGTATAACTTAATGGGTGGTGAAGTTGAGGGCTGAGATTTTCCTTTGTTGATGATTAAGTCCAATGTAAGCCCTACTTTAGTAAAGCGCTCATATATCTTCTATATATGGTCGACCACCCACAAGCTAAGTTTTGATTATAAGTGTATTTAATATATGATTGATTAATTATTAAATACAGCTCCAACCAAAGAAGATTTTTATCTTTAAAACCTCCAAAACATACCACATTTAACATTTATGTTGTCCCAGAGATGTTCGAATCTGACCAATCAGTGCTTATCCTTTATTTCTAATTCTCCCGTCTTTCCGTCTTTTACACCGTTTACATTCAGCCTATTTCTATGGTATTAGCAAGAAAATGTTTAGTAATTTTCTTTTACGGATTCTAAACACCGGACATTAAAGCGCGAGGAAGTATTTAAATTACATTTCTTTCGTTAACTTTTCAATGAGCGCGTAAAGATTTAGGACGTGTCGTCATATAATTTTATGAAAATCATTTTGCAAACATATTGGAACTTAATTGATCGATAGTATATGTAGTATAGTATATATTGTAAGCGTTGATTTTAAATTGTTTCAACCGATAAGACATCTGATTTTATGTTTTATCGTTTAGTATAGAATTCTAAAAGATGAGATATATTTTCCGCAGTGAAAGGTATCCTATATGTTGACCCGCATAACTAGCTATCATCATACCATATTTCATCAAAATCTGTCCAGTGGTTTTTTCGTGATGCGGTCACAGACAGACTGACAGACATGCAGACAAATTAAAAATCTATAGATTCGGCCTCTATCGATTATAATGACTATTTCAATAAGATTTTACAAAAAATATTTAATGTACAGATTCGATTCAAAATTTTATTATATGTATTAACTTCCAGTACAACTTACAGTATAACTTGCTCAGTAAAGAAAAAAAAACCTCATTCACACCACTCCCGATTAGTGATATCCAAAAAAACACATGCACTACTATAAATAAAAAAATTAAAAACTCACCAACAAATCAGTGATGGCCAATATAATTTTCTTCTTATGCATCGGGTGTTTAATGGCTAATTCCTTTTCCAATGTATGATGTGAGGCGGTAGATATGAGGCCGCGAGCGTCCGGCGACGCCGACAGCCATGCACGAGCATTCGCTACATACATCTCTAGCCCTAAGCTCTCGAGCCAGCCGCATGTCGTCTCACAATCCCACTGTCGTATGTCTGTTGTTTGCCTGTTTATGTGTGATGAATAAAAAAAATTAATAATGACTATGTATTGTTGATCTATTTCAGTTAGGAATAGTGCAAGTGTATAAGTTCACTTCTTATTATTTCTATTCTCGGTGAAGGTAGATAGGAAATTAGGCGCAAGATCGACAGCTTTATCTGTTCTGTGTCAACATAATTATCGACAAATACCCCGAATTTTTCTTTATCAGAAAACCATTAAGGTTTCAAACTCGGACAGAATTATCTTCCGAGTTCCTATGTTTAAGAAGTTACAGAGACATCAAACAAATATTACATAATGCATATATGGATTATAGAGCACCATATTTTTTTTCTATTTTATAATTTGACTAAAGAATGTCTAGCTGTTGAAATTTCAGCCTGAAAGCTCCAAGTCTTTGAGTAAAACCTAGCCAGTTTGCGAAAGACGGGAAATCCGCAAAACCGTACTTGGCCAGTATGGTGGACTATAACCTGATCCCCTTCATATATAAGGGACGCTCGTGCCTTTGAGTGAGGGGCTTTAAAAAGGAGCTGAATATTATTATTTAATTATAAACAAAAACCAAACAAAAGAATATAACCAGGTCATAGTGTGCGGCCGCTGTCTCGGCAACGAGGCGCGCAGCGAGGAGCGCGCGAGGTCGTCGCCCTCGAGGCGCACGGCGCTGCCGAGGCGGCCGCGCACCTCGCGCAGCGACGGCGACGGGCTGCCGCGGGGCAGCGCCTCCTCCTTGTCGGCTGCTGGCCGAATGTGGGGTTAGTGTTGGCGCGTGTGTGTGTGTGAGTTATGCGGTGTGTTGTACTAATATAATACGATACGTTTTAATTTTTTTGCGCGAAACTCTAATTCTTTTTCTAAAATAAAAGGAGCCTATGTTACTCCCTATATCATCAGCTATCTTCCAGTGATAGTCCCGTCAAAATCAGTCCAGCCGTTTCAAAGATTATCCGCAAGTCGTAACAAACAGACGGACAAGACAAAAATTTAAAATATGTGTTTTTTTTATAAGTATCGTATTTAATTTCATATGCATTTAGTAAAACGTCTGTTATTTTGACATTACAAACAGACACTTCAATTTTATTTATCTGTATAGATGTACGAGTATGTGTGTGTTACAACAACGTTGTGTGTGTGAAATGGCTGGACGGTTTTGAATGAAATTTCTTATATAGATGGTTTATCACTTGGAAATACATTCGGCTACTGGACCATTATGTTATATTATCATATACGAATATACGTGAGTTCGACAAAGCTAAGCTAATTTGGGTGAAATGTCAAGTAAATATATAAGTAAATATTATATCTTTTTCTAGTGGACTTTTTTTTATATCTTATTATTAACTAGCATTGCCCGCGGCTCCGCCCGCGTTCAGATAACCAAAAACCAAATTCTTAGTCTTTATATATTAGTATACTCTTACAATGCAGTTTTTTTAGAAATTAGATATTTTCCCGCGGTAAAAAGTATTCTATATGTTGACCCGGATAACCCAGCTATCATTATACCATATTTCATCAAAATCTGTCCAGTGGTTTTCTCGTGATGCGGTAACAGACAGACAGACAGACAGACAGACAGACAGACAGACAGACAGACAGACAGACAGACAGACAGACAGACAGACAGACAGACAGACAGACAGACAGACAGACAGACAGACAGACAGACAGACAGACAGACGACAGACAGACAGACAGACAGACAGACAGACAGACAGACAGACAGACAGACAGACAGACAGACGATAGACAGACAGACAGACAGACACAGACAGACAGACAGACAGACAGACAGACAGACAGACAGACAGACAGACAGACAGACAGACAGACAGACAGACAGACAGACAGACAGACAGACAGACAGACAGACAGACAGACAGACAGACAGACAGACAGACAGACAGACAGACAGACAGACAGACAGGACAGACAGACAGACAGACAGACAGACAGACAGACAGACAGACAGACAGACAGACAGACAGACAGACAGACAGACAGACAGACAGACAGACAGACAGACAGACAGACAGACAGACAGACAGACAGACAGACAGACAGACAGACAGACAGACAGACAGACAGACAGACAGACAGACAGACAGACAGACAGACAGACAGACAGACAGACAGACAGACAGACAGACAGACAGACAGACAGACAGACAGACAGACAGACAGACAGACAGACAGACAGACAGACAGACAGACAGACAGACAGACAGACAGACAGACAGACAGACAGACAGACAGACAGACAGACAGACAAAAATTCTAATAACTATAGATTCGGACTCTATATCGATAATAATGTCTATTTCAATTACATTTTTCAAAAAATATTTAATGTAGGTACAGATTCGACTTAGTTACAATTTCATTATATATATAGATTATTACGTCAGTAATATTAATAATAAGATATAAAAAATAATAAAGATATAAATTCTGGACAAAACATCATTTTTCACAATTAAAAATCCGTTTTTATAGTTTTATAGGTAATAAATTATAAATACAAATTTTTCCAAACCCATCATTTTGACTTTTCTACCGCCGATAATATTTCATAACCTTTGCTTCACGCTATTTCCTTGTGATATTTTCTCGCAATTTACTTCATTTTCATTTATAATATGACAATCCGTATCAGCCAATTCAGATATGATTAAATATCTATATGGCCAATTTAAACATGGGCTCTGAAAGAGAATCGAACTCTTACTTTTTGACCCAGAAGGACAAATATGCATAATAAATTGATACTCATCTATATATATAAAAGAAAGTCGTGTTAGTTACTTCGCTTATAACTCAAGAACGGCTGAACCGATTTAGCTGAAAATTGGCAGGGAGGTAGTTTAGAGCCAGGAGAAGGACATAGGATACTTTTTATCCCGTTCGACCGCGTTCCAATTTTTATGATATTTTAATTTTTGGATTTCTCTTAGTCCGGAATAGGTAAGTATTAAAACATATAATTAAAATGTGAGAAAGAAAGATTTTTTCTTTTTATATCTATTTAAAACGTACCTAGCGACGAACCCGAGCGAAGCGAGGGTGAGCCGCTAGTGATTTATATATTATGTGCACAATTAAAATATTATTATACATATAATTAATAGCTTAGTTGGTTATCTAAGAAGCATTCATACAATTATAATATTTCTTTCTGTACTTCATCACAAGTAGTGTTCAGAAAGATTTAATAACATAAATAATCTACAATCCCTACTAAGGTTATGTCATCTGGACTATCAGATATCTAGAACTTAAATGACAAAATATATATTATATTTATTGAAAGACTAAATGCTTTTTGCTGGATTCATATCCTTAGTAAGGGCTATCGATTTCCTCTGTGCCATGTTTAACTAAATATTTATAATTTTGTTTTACACTAAGAGAAAAGCATGTACAGCGCTTAAAATTACTACGACAGTTTTTAACTAGACGAAAATTTACAAGCAGCTAACATAATTAACATTAAATTTAGAATACAAATTAGCTAAGCAGGTTTCGGGAGTTGTTTCAAAAGCGACTTTATGTCTATGTACATAAGGATCATGATAAATGTACCTAATGAACATGTAAACAGCTAAGAAAAGCTTCGTATAAGAGTTGTAAAAGTTCAAAAATCTGCCTTATTAAATAGAAGGTAGAGATCAATTTAGTGTATTAGTAGCTCTACCGCTAATACTATATTATGAAACTCGAAAGCATTATAGTCAACTAGTGAAATAGCTAAGGGTTATAATTACAAATATAATTTGAATTTTAATTTTTCAGCCTTTAATAACTGAAGTTATTATAGAATTGCTACCCTCAACTAATTACGCTTCATATACTGTTCATTATAAGTTTGAAGTACTGTGACAGCTCGCAAAATTTAATACTAAGCAGCAAGCGTTATAATGGCATCTGTTAATTTAAATTAACGTAAAGGATTTTAGTATTAAAAGGTTTAAGGGAAAATGTGCTTTATATTAATGCTAATACGGCTTGAATTTCTAGGGTTAAGAGTTTCAAAACATTCATTTATTATGGAGCAAAGGCCACGTCTCGAAAGACTTAAGTTTAAAAGCAATGTTTTCTTGTAAATAATAACAAAGTTTTAGATACGCTTTGTAAAGAAGCTAAAATAAGCTAAGGATATTGTGTTAACGATAACGAACAGGAAAAACAGAGTTAAAGAGATTAAAAATAAATTATGTATAGCCGTATGCTAAAATAAGAGTCTGTCTGAAGACGGATATTTAGAATATAAAATCCAACGCAAAAGCTGCCTTATCGTTACTGAAATAAGATTCATATTGGAATGGCAACTAATTAAAGTTAAGCAATATTAGGAGAAGCGTCTTTACGGGTATAGTAATAAGGTTGAATTTAGATTGATAATAAACGCGTGAGCAGCTGTACGCTGTAAGACCTAGGTTCGGCACAGAGTGTCCGCGGCCGCGCGCCACCACCATGTTGTTTTTACCGAACGCCACGCGCGCCTCCGAGCTGAGAACTGACGAGCGCGGGAGGGAAGAGTACATGTGCGTGTTGCGCTCGATCTGACGCCCGTAGTTCGCTGGCGGCGTCTGAAATTGATCATATTGAATAGAATAGAATATATCTTTATTGACACAATTGTTTGTTGTTACATAAGTCTGTTGAAGCCTCTGACTCCCAAACTAGATTATATGTTACCAGTTTTTGTTTAAGATTTCGCTCATGTGATAGATGATAATTTAAAAAAAAAAAGATTAAAGAATACGTGTATAAATGTCTACACGCGCAAGAAGTAAAGCTTCTGTAGTTTATCGGTACTCTTTATGAAATTCAATTTATGTTTTAAGTAATTAGGATAAGTGAGATACTAAAAAAACGCATATTAGGCATATTACAATCATATATTTATAGAATATCATTAAGGGAAGGATATAATATTATATATCACTAGCTGTACCCGCGGCTTCGCCCGCGATCAAACTACTAAAAAAAACAAACCCTTTGTCACACCGACAGCAGCGCCACCTACCGTGTACAATTGTGAATCTAAACCATTCCCAGATCCCCTTGAACACACACAAAAAATTTCATCAAAATCGGTTCAGTCGTTTGAGAGAAGTTCAGTGACATACACACTCACAGAAGAATTACATATATAAAGATTTGTCAGACAATAACAACGGTTACCATGGCAACAAACGTACGTACATTTTCGTAACGCATTCACCAGCTTACCAAGTACGCACGCTTGGTGCGTAAAGAAGTTTTACTTCAAAAATCTTAGATATAGCTATCTGTGGAGCCGTTACAGAGTGAAGAAGAAACATATTTGCAAACATTTATATTATTATTAGTAGGATTTTTATGCACACTTCTTCACAATAGCTCTAGGAAATATAAATATTATAATTGCATAACTCAATAATTCATTATGAGTCATAATGGCGGTTTAAACAGTTGAAACAATCTTAATGATGAATTTGGGCGCCTTGAAGTATAAGAGATTCATGGAAGAGAAGAGCTTCTTAACTGGCGTTATTTTTTCTGTTTTTTTTTTTAAATAATATTTCTAATATTTATGAAATATATTTAATTACAAATAACATGAATTAACGAACCTAGACCAAATATTTGCACATTTAAAAAAAAACGTTTATTCTATGTTAAAGAAAAACAAGAGATACTTTTCTAAATTTCCTCTGGCGTTTAAATATTACCTTAATCCATGGATGCTATAGCGTGAAACGAATGCCGCTAAGCTCAATAAGGCATTTTTTATTTTATATTAAAGCTTGAATTAAATCGCAGATATTTCTTGCATACTGTGTACGGTAACTTTGTTTGTGTCATTCTAATTTTAAACATGAATAGCTGCCAATTTAAGTCAAAAGTTTTTTCCGATATTCGGAGTTTAATCAAGAGCTCCAATTACTTTCTAATTATGGGCAAGGAAGTTGCTTGACGGCATTCTCTAAAATCCTATTTTCAATCGAGCAAAAGGAAATATCGTACGATTATAACATTGTAGATGTTGGTACCTACATATATACTATAGAGCTTTAAGTAAAGTACTGTGTCTAACCTAATTATATTTTATTTCAATAGAAAAGGCAGAATTCATAATCAATGACATAAGTGATAATATCAATTATATCCGAACGATCCTTGGAACAAATAAGCAATGATAAAAAATATTAATTAATAAAATGAATCTACGACATAAAATATAACAAACTACTTTATAGGTATAAATTATATTTATTTACTAATATGGCTATTTAATTATTTTTAAAAGCCAACGTCATCCTCTCTGCTCTGAGTGTAACTTGAATTGATTTTAAAACACTTAAGGAGCTAATAAGAGATTATCCCCATGATTGTATTGAATATCGCTTAGTTGCTATCTGAGTAGAGTAGGTTAGTGCATTATCCCGAATAAATGGAATATGTAGTTACGTCTATCCACGTTTATATGGATCATTAAGCACTCGTTAGAGCCGCAGAGCGCGACTAATGAGTCCCGCTTGTCTTTACCGTCCTATTTCGTTTTTTTCTGTTCACAAGTAAATTTGGCTTTTATGTATGAGAGGCCTAGATGCAATGTTGTGTGATATGTGAACTTATTTTGCATGATGTTACAAAGAAAAGTAAAACATTATCAGGTTAATTTTGACGGTTTTGGTTAACATGTGGACTTTAAAGTTAATTGTTATATTTGTACAAAAAAAAATCTTTTTATTAAATATATGTATTGGATGTTAATTTTAATTTTAACTTCAAACCCTTGTATTTTAAATGTTCCGAAACTTGAAAATGCTCAAATGTAATAGCTACGATGATAAAAAACTTTGGGTCACTTTAAAAAGTCCCAAAGTGCGTCCAAAGGGATTTCTATATATAGATACACATGGCAACTTAGAAGGTATAACTTTCTCGTCAGATTTGATATAATAGCTGGTCAGGTTGACAAAATTAAAAAAAAAGTCATATAACGTTTTAGAAGCCTAATGATCCATTAAAAGGTAGCACCATTAAATATTCACAAAATCTTTTCATTATATATTTATTACATCAAGTTTGAATGGAATTTTAATTAGTTTTCATTTTCCGCGGACCAAATTTTTCATTACGCGGGCACACATGTCGTGTGTTAAAACAGAGCTTTATTAACATAACATACATAATTGTATGCATTGTTGAAAGCATTTTAACATGAGCTTTATTTAAATTAACTAGGTATATAGTATAAGCTTTTGACAAAAGTTTTATAAAAGATTTTAATAGAACAATCAAAATTGTGTTGACCGTTTTGTTACACAAACGTTTTGACAATATTTGAATTATATCACTTAAGATCTATTAAGTTTCAATTACAGGTATAGTAAAATTGTAGCATAGTTAAAATCTGGCATAATATTTTTTTTAATTAAATATATTTTATAGAACTTGAACCTTTTTGATATTATTGGTGCATTACACGAGAACAATTAGATTGATTTTAAAGGTACTTCTATGATGTACAGATTATATATTATTATCTGTACATATTAAAGATAAAAAACAGTAATTTCACAATCGACTAAAATCCTAAATATACATATATTTAGCCCCGATTTTTACCACTATCATAACATAAACCAAGAACCATTTTAGTGCACTCAACAAACTACATTATATATATGTACAAACAGAACAGCAGATAGTAGCTATATGAAAATGATTAAAATATCCTAAAGTATTGAAAATAATGTATGGTTCAGCTATCACAAGTAGGGTCTTATTCTTACCCGGGGAGGTGCCGGTCGAGCGACGGGTGTAGACTCTGGCGGCGGCGAGCGCTCCACAAGGCCTCGTTCAGCGACTCGTAATCGGACTTCACTTAATTTCGATAACAATTCCAATTTCTGGGTTTCTAGCGACGAACGTTGTAACATTTCCTACAATAGGAAGAGAAATGTTAGTGTTTTGAAGTAAGAACTCAATTTAAAATAGGATCTGTCTAGGAAACTAATAGATAAATAGTATATAGGTATTTAGGTATGTTTTTCCTGGAAAATCTTTGTATGTACTATTATTGTGATGAACATACATCTTACATGGGAGGCAGTGGTAGCCCAGTGTTAACGCGCTCGCTTGGATAACCGACTGAAGCGGGTTTAAATCCCGGGTCTCGCACCTCTGATATTTTCATGTGCGAATCATTTTCAACATGATTACAACTTGTCTTACCGTAAAGGGAAACATCGTGAAGAAACCTGCATGTCTGAGAAAACCCCCCAGAAGTCCGCCAACCCGCACTTGGCCAGCGTGGTGGACTATGGCCTGATCCCCCTTGTATTGAAGGGAGGCCCGTGCCCAGCAGTGGAACGTCAAAAAGGCACATCTTACATTTGTGACTTTTTTTTGTTTGTTTGACTTTGTGAAACTTTCCATTTGTGATTTTGTGAAATTTAGATTTAAGTCATGGTGAGTGACAAACTTGGTTAGCATTCAATTTTTCTTTTGTTTAAAATAATTTAAATAACAAATAATAAGATTTGGAAAAGATTTGAAACGTGGACTGACGCTTAAACGATACGTGAAAATAGTGTAGTATTGTAAAAGAATGGTTGTAATGTGGAAATTCCAGTGCAAAACACAGTATACACTATACACATATATGAGCGTGATATATTAATATAAAGCATAGATAAAATATGTTGGCGCATAATAAATTCCGGGGCCAGTGAGTATATCACAGATTACTCATAAGTATGAGTAATGCTACAGTCTCGTTTGTCTGTCTGAAAAAATATGCCTACATATTGTTGAATGCATCCAGTAACCGTAGATATTTAATACGTAATAAGCTATTTAATATAACAATTTTATTATAACACAACAATAAAAACTATAAATAAGATAACAATATACATTTACATTTGAAATAAAAATTAACATATTATAATTAATTGATTAATTTAAAATTTATTTATTTATTTCAAATCAAATCAAAATTTCAAATTTTGTGGTTGAGATCACACTTTAAGCAGATAATTTGCCTGTATTAGGAGACCCCGCCCTTTCATAACAAAACGTAATTTTATCTTTTATCTGATTATAATATTATGGGTAATACTACAAACTTAAATAGATCAATTAAGACAAACAAAAAATACGTAAGTTAATATAGATATAAATTAGTTGGTACAATATATTCTTGTACGAATGTATTTTTCTACATTAAATAAGGAGTTTCAATTCCTTAGGAATTAAAAGTGACAAGTAAAAAATGCAATAAATACGATATACCAAAGAGAAAGAATTCAAAGTTCATAATTTAAGATCCACACAATTCAAGAGCTTTAAAGTACGCAGGAGGAATAACATTAAACAGTTCTAAAGGAGAAATAAATTGAAATACAAATAAAATGTGTGGTAAAATATGGAGCGTAGAGGCTAGCCCGTCGCCTAGGAATGCGCATAATTACACCTGACCCACATTCCTCTGTACATATGCAAACAAGTGTAAAATTCTTTTTCTCCCAACACCTACATATATGGATATAATCGGTTTTTTGTTCTACTATACGTGCAAGGGTCTTTATGCAATAAAGTAACACCCATAGTATAAAGAAAGAGCTACCTACACTATTTCTGTACACAATGTAGACGCAAATAAACATCCGCGCTTGTATCCATTGTAAAGGATATCCTACTGTGGCAGACGAACGGAAAACTCCAATAAGATTTATTTTGATTTACAGGCCTGTATTCAAATCATTTTGGTCCTTATTATTTTTTCGTCGTTTCCTGAATCCTAAAATTGACTTAGTTTATTATTTATTCTATGAGATCATAATTATTATACATTTTAAAGAGTATTTTATAAAGCAAAAAATCTTATTTTGAAAGTAGGTACGTATAAGGTTATGCATTATGCAACATTTTGATATAATAAGTTTATGTTATTTTATGGATAATTCCTTTAACCTGTTTAACCCTTAAAATTGTAAGGAGCGAGGTACTAAAAAGTTTATTCAACAAAGCAAGCAGAGCTGAAACATAAACAGGCGTCGGCCTCGGGAAGAAACTTTATCAATCAAACATTTTATAGCTGCATTTGCTCTTATCTCGAATAAAATGCCACGTCTGTTGTAGGCTGCCTCGCGAAATACGCAATACGTAAATGGAATACGAAATTAGAACTATTTGTTTTATCTCACTCTACTATTACTGCTCCGATTGCTCCCGACAGATACACGTGTACATTAAAAATACATAAAAAATATAAACACGTACGCTAAAAAATATTTCACATAGCTAGCTTTTTTTCAGTTCCGTTTTTAAATAGCGCACGCTAGACGTATCAAAGCATAGTTTGTTTTAGTTTCTTTTTGATTATTTACATTTTTATGCAGTAGGTATGCATGTAATCTTATGATTAAATAGGTCAAAGAAATAACAGAAATGTTCCCTGTTTGGTTTTATTATAACAGTAGACTATGCTTGTAGTTCTACCCGCACAAACTGTAAAGTTTCGCATTTATTACACGACAAAAAAGAAAAATATTAAGAAGTTATTTAAAATAAAAGAGATGTGTAAGTTTATAGAATATCTCACAACTTTTTTAGAATTCTTATCTTATAAGTAAATGTAGAGTTGTAAAAAAATTCCTAAGGGCTTATCAATCACATGAAATATTGATATACATATATTAACTATGTACATAAACATTTTATATAGCTGTGGTAGCTACTATAACTATACAAATGAATATTTTAATTAATCGATATGATTTATTTACAGGCTTTTAAAATATATATCTCACGTAGAGTCACTGTTTTATTAATTTTCCAGACGTAATATGACTCACCATTTGTTTTAACCACATTATCTATTCCACAGTAAACTAAACAATTGTAGCGATAAATCTATTTCTTGACGGGAACCAGACTTTCACATGTTTTGTTATTCATAACAATTTTAATATATTTATTCTCTATATTAAAAAAAGTTATGATTTCTTTAACTTTGTCTAATAAAATATTTTAACCAATTAGGGTAACTAAAAAATTAGAAATTACGTATGGAAATCGTCTATACATATAATAAAATTGTAACTAAGCAGAATCTGTACATTAAATATTTTTTGGAAAATTTTATTGAAATAAACATTATTATCGATACAGAGGCCGAATCTATAGTTTTTAGAATTTTTGTCTTTCTGTCTGTTACCGCGTCACAGAAAAACCACTGGAGGGATTTTGATGAAATTTGATATGATGATAGCTAGTAATCCGGGTCAACATATAGAATACTTTTTACCGCGGGAAAATATCTCATTTCTGAGAAAAAATACAAAAACTGCATTGTAAGAGTATACTAATATGTAAAACCTAAGAATTTGGTTTTTGGTCATCTGAACGCGGGCGGAGCCTCGGGCAATGCTAGTTTGCTAAATAAAATCTCAAAAGATTTGTTGACGAATACTGTCTGTATATTATGATCACAAATAGCAGAAGAGCAAAAATTACTCAACAACAACGTACCTATTACTTATTAATATGCATCATGCGTAATAACTTCATAGAGCATATTTATAGGTATTAACTCAGCACCAGTGTTGTGTTAACAAAGTAAACAATGAATTAACCTAGAATACGAATATAATACTTTTTTTAGACAGGCACTTTGCGTTGTTTGTCTGTCTATCACTTTCGTAATCCTTTGACGTCCAAACTTTATATTAGTAGTTTGATTTGGAAGTAACAGCTAGCTTGCATTTTGGAGGGGCCGACACTATTTCATGTATAGTTATTACTGATGACTTGAGAGATAGAAGCATTATTTTTAAAACTTAATAAGATCATTGACAAATTTATAAACCGTGAATTTCTTTCTCTCGCTCTTCTTTCATGATTAACATTATCTATATATAAAGGGTCTTAAAGTCGCAACAAGCTTTTGCGGTATTTTGATAGGAAAATAGAAAATAAAAAAACATATTATGCATTATAAGCCCACACCTTGTCAAACTTATTTAAATAAACCTTGACCTCACGTCGCATACGCCGTATACAGAGGTTTTAGCTTCTGAATATTTGAATCTATGTAATAAATATATGTAATAAATAATTATTTAGTTTTATCAAAGAAGAACAGAATACGATTAATTACTTTTGGAGTATTTTTGAAAGCGATGCACATTTTTATTAAAAAGTAAGAATTATTACATCTTTTATTGAATAATGTACAATTTATAATTCACAATACTTTTCAACTTTAAAGTTTCCATGTTAGATTAGAATGGAAACTAAGTTAAATGTTTATCAAATTAGTAGAGATGTGGGTGTCTGAGACTGTTACCGAGCGCAATATCTTGTTAACGAACATAGTGTACTCCGCTTGAAACTACGCAGCCCACACCAATCATGTTTATTCAATAACCACTGGGACACTAGCCTCTCGGCATGCTAAGAAGTTTAGCGAACTGTATAGAAATTTTACCACGTATCGCAATTCTGTAGTTATTTTAACTAATAGGAAATAGGAGCATCTTTCATATAATTTATCTGTGTGTAATTTTATGTTTGTATGTATAAATAATAATTTAAAATAATCATATTTATTACACTAATTGTAAGTACAAAATTTATTGCTGCAGACTTGCAGAGTAATAACTCATTTATTCCCTCAATGACCGCGGACACGCCGGCGTTACAGTTAACAATAGATTTCTTAGTTTAATTAATTTCTTAGAAATTTACCTGGAGGTGTTAAGATATTTATATTGCAGGAGATGCATATTACATATAATTTCAGTAAAATTTAAATAAAATTAACATTCTCACCTTTTGTAACCTTTGTTCTGTATCATCTAGCCGTTGTCTTGTATCATGTAATGACCGCTCCAGATCTGTCATTTTTTCCGTTTGCGCAGCAATCTGTTCAGACAACACTTGCACTTGTAACTGTAAACTTTCCTTATCCGCTTCCAACCGGCGCACACGATCTTCGGCATCGTTCTGGAATAAAGAATTTTATATTAGAAATGTAGTAAGTTAATTTTTTATTTAAAATGTGAAATTACAGCACTTACATTGTAAGTATAATGTAAATAGACTATTTGCTAGTAATTAAATAGTTGCTTTTTGCAGTTAGTACAGAAAATATATTACTAAAGATGATATCAATACAAAATATAAAAATGAACTAAATATGTATGTAACATTTTTCACCCATTTATTTATACCTTAAGTGAACGAGAAGTTACGGGCAAAGAAGGGTGTGAAGGCCATGTGCGTTCATGCATGCAGCACGGCGGCGGAGGAACAGGTGGTCCATGGCACCAACACATTGGAGGCCACCAACCTCCTTCCGGCCAACGAAAATGTTCGTATGAATTCCATCGACGCTGAACGTCAGGTGGTGTATCCTGATTTCTAGAAGGATGACGTGGACGTGGAGAGGTACGGACGCTTGATGGATGCTGTGGCGGCTTCGTAGATAATGATGATCGCGTTTTCCTGTCACGGTCGCTACGATCACTAGGCGTACGACGTCGTCGATCTAAACTAGCCGCCGCATAATCCTCCATTCGTGAGCTCACTAAAGGAGAATCACCAGTATCATCAATTATTTCACCACTTGGCATCCACTTAAAATCATTATCGCAACGTGTTGTGTTATCTCTTCTATTCGGTGTTAGTGTACGGTAATCAGCATTGGCTCCACCAGTTTCATATTCATGCTCATCAGAGTCCTCTTCGGTTGTCGTGCTATCAGAGTCAGAAGAGTCTGCCCGCGGGGGTATCCCGGTACGATCCGTCCAGGCTTTACATTTCACTGTTGTTTCCTCAGGACTATCGGAGTCGCCTGTTACGAGACAAAATACGTTTGAAATTTATAAATAAAGAGAACCTCACACACAACAAATTTCCTTAACGTACCCATTGGTGAGTACATGTAGGAACGCACAGCAGGGTGCACGTAGCCCACTACTGTGCGTTCCTGATCCTCATCAAAGGGCTCGGTAAGATACTCTTGATCGGACATGAGGCTCCTAATAAACGACACTGAACGACAAACTCAGTACGAGTCACCGATTTGTCTCTATTTTAAATTTGGCTACGTTCCAGTACAATACTACGTCAGTGTTTCGTTCATAGAACGTCAATTACGTACTCTCTTGCTGGGGTGGCTCCTCGCTGGAATTAACAGAGGCGGAATAGTGATCCGATGCTTCGGATGCAGTTGACAGGGGACGCTCGCTTATTTCGGATATTCTTCTGGAACTTAAATCTTCAATATTTATTTTCTTTGATGATCCTGAGACATTGCTGTCCTCTTCGATATTTAATCGTGAATTGAAAGATTGAAGGTTCCCATTAACAACCGATCGACTGTGCAACGCCGCTATGGTGGCTGCCACGAGTGAGCCCCCGCGGCCGAGCTCACGCATGTTTTCGTTCAAAATGAAGAACGCACGAATACGGCTATCGAACGCCCGGAAATAGATTTCAGTACGTGTGCCTGATGCATTTTGAATACACCGTACCGACTACCGCTTAAATTCGTTTCTAATCAACAAAGTAAGATCGAATATATCATAGTATAAACAAACACGATCTTGATGAAAAACAAATACTCTTTTGAGCAAGTATTTACTAACGATACATGTTTAGACATTGATATGAACAAATCACACACGATAGAACGTTAAGATGCGTAAGCGCAGTAAGAGCGTGCGTCGCGATGCACACAAGTAGTCACACTTGCGTACTCACCGGCATCCAGTTGACGCCCTCGTACAACGAACGGCGTCCCCATCCGTCTCTACGATGTTCGCCTTCATAAGATGTTACTGTGTATTGTACAGAGTAAGAAACACCCGCGGGTGATATAAAATATTCTCTGTTTTCAATATCCTCTATAATGAAATCTGGATTATATGGTGGTTGGGGATAATAGAGTGGGGCATTTTCCTCTTCTATATATTTTGACCTTCTACTTTGAGGTGTGAAGCAATTCATAATTCTTGACCGATCTGTGCCAATCAAAGTATGTATAATGAAGAAAAATTATATTAGGTATAGTAAATTTTCTCTATAAATCAATAATAATTAATTTGGCTTAGAATTCTATATAGAAGAAAAATATAATTACTTAATGTGCTTAATGTTGCATTAAATTATTTATTTATAATTAATTCAAAGACGAAAATATCCAATAATATTATAATGCCTACGCCTGTTTATACGACAGAGAATGGTAGCGTTTTACAATGAACAGTCAGCAATAAAACACCCCTCGTTTCGGAAATAGAACGACAGCTGTCCCGTTAGAATATTCGATATTATTTTTAACTTAACGGGAGGGCTCGTATCTATGTTTGAAATACATATAGGTACATAACTTAATTATAACCCTCAAATTAGACTATTCAATTTACTACGATCCAATACAATTTTATTTAAAAGTAATTTGTGAGACAATGCCTGCTAATAATTAAATTAAAAAATTATAATAAATAAATTAAAAAATAATGTTTAATAATTGCCGTTTTCGAAAATAAAATCGATAATAAATTGCAGTAAAATAAAAGGTAATTTATTGAAAGATATTCAAATTAATCACTTTCTAACATCTCCAAGGAGCGCGTTTTATGTTTGCAAGAATGTTATACATATAAATAATTCATTATTACAGAGATTGGCGTTACGTGAATTCCAAGTTTTACTTTTCTTGCACAATAAAGAAAATCTATTGAAGCATTTAAAATTATCTTTGAGCCAATTGATGATATTATTGCATGAATAAAACAAAGAATGATATGAAGTATTATTATTGTAACATGTCTTCATACACTCCAGGCCAAAAATTTAATAATAATAAAATAATAATTATTATTATAAGATCATTTAATTAAAATAGTAACATTAAAAAGAACTCAAAGCAAACAATGTAAAAGATTTCATTCTTCAACTTTCTCTTTGAAATATTTTTCAGCTTTTCTTTAAAATTCTACGTATGTTTTTATGTAAGATGGATTTTGATAGATATGAGCATTTTTATTGAGCTCTATCCACAAAAGTTACAAGTAGAAATCAGGACTGGGACGTAGTTTTCATTAGCTATTGCTTTAAATTTTTCTAAATTTACTTTTTACAATTTAAAACTTGTCTGTGATTCTTCACCTTAATGGACCACATTTCTTTTCATTTTAACTCGAAAAGATCAGAATTTTGTGTTAAATTGGTTTACATTGATGTTTTAGAGTTGCTTAAAAAAATATATATCCTCGCGAGACGTGGTAAATTCATCTATTTTTGTAATTGAAGAACGCATTGGGTAGGTTTATTTGTAAATAGCTTGCTAATATATCCTACTTATTATTTAATATTATAAATAGGTACTACCTACTTAATATATAAATTCTCTAAGTAGGTACCTAGGTAATGATGAAAGGCATTTACCTTATATGGTATAGGCATCAGGGTAGCAAGATGATCGCGCAAAGAAAATTCGTTACTAGAAAACTACTTAGAAGTTATACTTTGTTTTTATTCGGAAAATATTACATGGTTGTCTATGTAACATTTTTCCTTGGGACTTAAAAACAGTTTATCAATGTTTTTTTATAAAAAACTATTATTAATTTATAATGAAAAGTACATTTACTTTATTATATCTGAAAACGTGGGTCAATACTTAAAGGAGATATTACTTTCAAGAGACAATGAAGATCGGTCGAAGGCAAAGGATGGCAATTTGTACAAACATTTCATATAGGAATGAAACAAAAAGCCTCTGGAGCTTTAATAGTTTGATCTTCAATTTATTTTCTTCAAGGTTTCAAAGCTGTTTGATTTGTTTTAGGATAACAAAGAGTGAGTGCCAATTTTTGTCTCAATTCATAGAGACAAAAAATAAATGTACTGAAAAAATGTGGCGAAAATACTTATCTTCCAGTTACTTTTTACAAATAAATGATCGTATAAAATGAAATAAGAAGCGTAAAACTGTTTAGTATAGAAAAGTTATAATATCATCAGTCACGGGATCATAGATTTAAGATTAATAATTTATATATTTATCATAATATATTAATAAAAAAAGATAATTTATTTATCATATTTAATATTATATTTCTTTTTCACAATTAAACACTGAAGAAAATAATCGAGTATTTTGCGATCGATCGAGTGTCAAGTATTATCTACTCATGAAAACGAAGCATAGCTCTGCCAGGGCCATAAATTGAATGGCAGCGCCAAAGTCCTTAAATTGAAATTTACTTTGTTAAAATAAATTGAAAATGCTCATTGATCATTGCCTGGCTGGGGGGAAATAATAATTATGTTACGCCCAACTCGATAAAGAAAATATAAAAGTTTGGGCTGATTTGATCATTATTGAAAATAGAAATTATAAGATACTGATGTCATTTTTTTACTGTTACGTCATTCATATGTTGTATTCATAGGTTGTAATTTTTAAAATATCCATACTAATATTATAAATGTGAAAGTGTGTGTTTGTTTGTTTGTCTTATCTTTCTTTCACGTCGAAACAGAGTGATGGATTGGCATATTTTTTTGTGTGGGGATAGTTGGAGGGCTGAAGAGTGACATAGGCTACTTTTTACCGCGGGAGATAATCTCATTTCCACGGAAAAACACGTTATAATATAACCCAAAAAATATTTGTGATCAGAATTACTTGAAATTGGGAAACCCTTCAATACAATTAAATAAATCGTGTTTTAGCACTTTTCGAAATTCCCATAAAGGGGTAAAATAAGTGATGAAAGTTTTTATGAAACCCAATTTTTAGAGGTTTTTTGTAGTTTTATATGCCATAAATCATATTATTATGGTTATATTTCCCTTGTAAATTTTAAATAATTACTTTTATTTTTATTTACACATAGGTATATTTAAAGCCGTAGAATCGATTTTGATAAGAATCACCCCCACCCGAGGGATAATGGTGACATTGATATAGGGTCTATTTAATTTTGAAAAATGAAAAGTTTCTTTTGGTATGCTTTGAAATCACAAACTAGAAAATTGAAATGAAAATTTCTTTGAGAATTCCTTCAATCACGGAAATTTTAAATTATTATTATTATTTAAATGATATGATATATATCAGGCTGTACGGAACAGGGTGAAGGAGAAAGAAGAAAGAGTTTCTCGATGGTAAGAAAATATAAAAATGTATGACAATACTAGCAGAACCCGCGGCTTCGCCCGCGTTCACAAAAAAGTCTTTGGCTTTATGTTCTCTATCGACTAACCTCGCTTCGCTTGGGTTTGTCCTTATGTATTTATATAATATACATATTATATATAGTTTTACAATGATATATGGAAGTCTGCCTGATTTGTGGACATTTATGATTACTATTCGGCTCTATTGTGTAGTAGCATGATATATAACCTATAGCCTTCCTCAATAAACGGGCTATCTAATGCAAAAAGATTTTTTTAAACCGGATTAGTAATCCCTGAGATAACAAACAAACACAAACAAACTCTGCCCCTTTATAATATTAGTATAGATAAAAAAAATACCTAAGGACTTAAACAAAAATGAAGGCAAGTATCAATATATGCACGAAGACAAATGAAAAAAAAAGATACTTATTACAAAATAATAAAATTACATGCCTTAGCAGATACCTATGTATTTAATATACACATGATGCATGCATGTTTAAAGGTTTTGTTACAAAAGACGATCCCTTAATGATATTAATAAAAAAAATACAATAACAAAAAGAGACTACGTCATATAAAGCGAACTAAAAAGATGGAAATAAGAAATACGTTGACGTAGAAAAAAAGTATCATACGGTCAGAGACACAGTTACATGTCAAAATCTAATTGCCTATCTTTTAAAGCTCGATCTCTTAGAAAGGTCAAACGGCTGTACAGAATTCAACGGAAGTTTCTTTTTATAGCTGTATTTTTACTTTAAAAAAAATGCTTATTGCTTCGTGTTAAGCCCTCTCAAGTTCAGCAGAGGCCATGATCAGTGGTAGCATACTAATTAAAAATACACAAGAGTGCGTATAGTAAGTAGACATACACACGTGTTTAAATTATTACTAACTAACAGATACATTGTGGATTGCACCGCTCGGAAAGTCTATTGCAGTAAAAACTCGTAAAATATAGCTATAACAGCTATAAGTATGAAATATCGCTGAGACTAGACTGTTTACAAAACTTACGCAGTTGGGTAGGTACTCCAATAAGAAACTTGTCGCATGTTCCAAAGGGAAAAACGAAACACAAAGAAAATTCAACCTGAACTTGACAGCGACGGACTGCCTGCCTAGCCGAGGCTAAACAACTTCTTAGGCGTATTTTTTATTATTCTTTCTGTACTCGCCCACAGTTATCGATCAGCACAGTACCTACTGACTTATTCGATTTTAGTAACATCATTAG